ACATGAGAATAATTAGGTTGAGGTTTATAATGTACTCTATGATCTTAATATCCTGCTCGAGGTACTTGGTAAAAGTAGAAGAAAACAAGCACCTCTTACATGTTCTTGGCCAATAAAACATACGTTTTGTAGGTGTGTATATACACTTCTCTGTTTGGCCCCTTGTCCAAACATTTGTCTTCATCTTCAGGCTCTGGCCATGCCACCCGCTCCTTGCTGTTAGTTTGATGATTAAATACATTTGTGGCCCTGCTGTAAACTTCCTGTGTGGTTGCACCAACGGCTCTGTGTTCCACACCGTTGCTCCCCAAAGGACTTCCATGAGCACCACTATTATCCCTGCAAATTAGCCCAGTTAACCCAGTCCTGCTCCAGCTCACTCTTTGTTAACCCCTCATTTTTCACCTTGTCTGGACTACGGACCAAAAGGCTTGTAGTAGCTGCTGCCCCCACCTCACCGTCCCCATCCTGGCAGATCCTAACCCCTGTGAATATTAAACAGCACAGACTGCAGGAATGCCTCGGCTAAATGGGCAGCAGATGTTGTTGAGGGGATTTGGTTGTGAGGTGTTTCGTCTGCAAACTGAGCTGTAAAACATCGCAGGCCTTGACAGGTCCTCTGGTGGAGCCTCTGAGGTGAAGCGGCACAAGGGCAGTTTAACCGTGTAAGCGCGTCCACAGAGGCCTACTGGTGGCTGCACACTCAACCATGCATTTAATGGTCACTTACGAAGAAAGGTTCCTGGAGACGACCTGGACAAAAGGGACCTACTTCACAGTCGCAGCACAGCAATGATTGGGAGAACTCGCGCTGTCCGTCCAATGGAAACAACGTAATCTCTGTTTGGTCCATTTGCTGTTGTCCTCTACATAACAAACAATGGTTTTTGTCAAGAAGGAAGTCTTAACATATGAAAAACATGTCAACGTACAAGGGTATTTCATTTCAATACATGTTAAAATACAATTAAAAAATCCTATATGTTATCCAAGAATGGGAAATGTTGCTTACCTGCCGGTCATGTCAGTTTGAGAGGAAACAGGGCCGAGATGTCTGGGAGTCTGGGAAAAAAAGATGAATGACTGCTGCGCAAAAGAAAATGATTTCGTAGCTTGTTCCAAATTCTAAACCAGCCATGGCTCCGGGCTACGGCTGCCGACATAAACTGTGACACATGTGATTTCTTACTCCCAGCACAAATTATGATAGTTTGGACTACTGGTGCTCTGGCTCTGAGTCCTCAGAGGCGCAGGAAGAGGAATTGGTTCTGTGCTCAAATAAGTCAATGGGCGACATGAAAAATTGGCCAAAATTTCACAATCAAAACATGACCCTCTCATTGATTTAAAGCTGCACTTACCAATATTTTAAAATAAACAGTGAATCAAATCAAGTTAAATGCAAGAGTTGATGCTATTAGTGACAAACTGGCAGGAAATCACCTCTTTCAGTTTTATGAGTAAAAGCTCTGATAAATCAGCTGTAGGCTACACTACATGGATTTCTTTAGTAGTTGGGGGAGACCAAAACGGAGCTTAGAAAAATGTTAATATTGGGCTTAAATCCAACCAGAAACAAGACTGCAAATGAACGCTAACGTTGCTATGTGTGCAAAAAATAGCAACCGTTTGCTAACCAATTTAGCGAGACAACTATAAAAAGGGGCTTTTGGACACTTTCATTACCTCGGTCCACGAGGGCACATAGGTGGCTGTTTACAAAACGCGACAGCTGCCGTCTTCTCCTGCTGTCCCGTTTACATTGAAAAGAATGGAGGCAGTGGGAAAACACCGTGGTTGATAGTATGATTGTGTTGGTTTTACAGGCCGTCGAGTGACAACTCATTTAATGCAGGGTTAATAAATCATGGAGGTAGGTTTTGTAGCGCCTTCTGAAGGTCTGCAAATGCCCCTTGTTTCTAACCTGCTCAGACTTTATAACAGAGATCCCTGAATCAACTTCATCCTTATAGTGTGTTTGTATGCACTCTATATCCCATTTACGCCATTTATCAACACAAAGATTCCAGAAAGATAATCCGGTGAAGTGCTACAGTAGGGGGGAGGACATCTTGCTGCTATTGGGTATGATTTTTTTTTTTTTCTAACTGATAAGACACCATTACAACCAGGACATGAGTTCCTATGTGTAGGGTAAGTGCAGGGCGCAGCCCATTTACTGACAAGCAAAGCTTAGCATGAGAACTACATTCAAGGGTGGCCAAGATCCACGCAGGCCATCTGCCAACAATCCAATACAGCAAATGGTCGGATCGCCCTGAGACCCGCGGCGGAGTCACTATGCTTAAAAAGACGCGAACAACCTTTAATGGGCAGGAAAGCCACTGCGGCAGAATACAAATGCGGCCTGTTTTCTCTCATGCGTCTGTGGCCCAGACATTCATACGCTCCCATCCAGCGCGCCCTGTGAAGTTGATTCATTGAACACTTTGGTACAAAAGGGAAACTTTTAGTCAACTCTGGCAGTGGCTGACCCACCGTGTGAGGTGTCTGGGGGGGGGGGCGGGCGGGGGGGTTTAAAAGCGGCTTTGCTTTATCTCAACATCACAAGACAAAGTACCGGAGGGTTTGCCAAGAAATCGAAGGTATCAAATCATGTCAGATGCAGGCTCACCGTGGAGAGTCTCATGATGGTGGGTGTTTGCCACCTGCTCTGGGACGGACACGAGGGGGGGGGCGGGGTAAACGGGGGGTCACAGCTGTCAGCAGTCGCTTAGCCGAACAGGCCGAGTGGGACCGCTGATACGAGGAGGGCAGAAACCGAAGCGATGACATGATGGGGGAACGCGGGGCGTTTACGCCGTCACACTACCACCATCTCCACTCAGCGTTGTGTGTGTGCGGATCGGTGGGTGTTGTTTGTGTGTGTAAACGTTCTCTCTCGGGACTCGTGTGACGCTCCCACCGTGGAAAAATGTCCTCGACCCCTATAAAAAATTTAAAAAAAGAGCGATGCCCACTTCCTTCTACCCTTAGGCGTGCCCGTCCTGTCTCAAGGGAGAGGGGCCCCCATAATTTATTATTTGTTCCCCTCTTGTTAAGGAAATACTTTCTCAATGGCTCTCTCCCCTTTGTATATTTTCACTGTTCTTATTTTCTTCCTTGATTCAACCTTGTCCTCTCTTATTTATTTGCTTTCCAAACATCAGCTTGGCTCATTACGTCCGAGCTGCCACGAAGAGACTTTAAAGAATTACTTTTGTCCTCAGTGAGGACAGTGTTTATTTGTCCGGGTGAACCTGAAGGCGGGGGTAAAGGGTGTTTTGGGTATACCTATGTGTAGGTGACAGCTGAGCGGAGTCACACAAGCTGACCTCCATTAGGCCTTAATCAGATTCCTCTGCTGCGGATTTAAAATTTGTGGACAGATGAAAGCAGCTCAGATGTCAGAATGTACGAGCCCGGGCCTGCCAGTCTTAATGTAAAGACATTCCTGCACCACTGGGAGTTAATGGGATGTTATAGACCAGGGCACGTGTTGTGTGAAATTCAGTTCTTTCAACACCAGCAAACTGTCGTGAAACATTCAATCTCACAGCAAACGTTACCCAGAGGAACTAAACTCTGGCTCATTCCCAGCAGAGATTTCTTTGTTTGTTGGTGTTGGGCAGGTTTGGCTGTTTTCTCAAACCCCCCCGCGATCCATCCAGAGACACCATCAAGGCAAAAAAGAAAAGGGGGCGGATGGGGATGAAAAGGCCAACTGACTGGCGGACCACTGATCCATGACTCAGCTTTGAAAATCTCCGCCTTCGAATCAAATTGTCCAGCTTCAAGGAGCAGAGGTGCCACGGTCCTGCCCCGGGCCGCTCGGTGTCACCGACCAGCTTTCAGGGGTTAATGCGCATTTTACTCAGTTGTCAAGGACGTGTGATGGGGGGCAAAGGAATACAGAGGAGGGCAGAGGTCACCAAACTCACAAATATCACTGTCTTTGAAATGCTTTAATTGTGTTCGGAAAGAAGATGACGGAATTAAAAGATTTTCAAACACAACCACGAGTCCTTTGTTGAGTTTTAGCGTTTTGTGGAAGAACATTAGTTTGCTGATTTGCCTCATAAGATTGTGGTTACATACATTTTATTTTGTATTTTATTAAGGGTCCAGATTATTAAACTATTAACTATGTGGGGTTCCCTGCGCAATGTAGATGCTTTGTATTTTTCTGGCTATATCCTTTCCCCAATTTCACTGGATTTCTAGCATTTAAATTTGACTGCTCGGTCACTTGGACTAATTTGCGACCTGCGCAGGGGTCGATTTCTGCTACCCTTTTTCTCTGTATTGAAGAACATTTATGGCAGCAGGATATGAAGCCAAAATGTTATAATTTCCTGAATTTTCGTACAGGCAATCACCTTTTCCCAAGAGGCTGCGAAGCAAAAGAAGGGAACATACAACTCTGAGTTGTCTCTGAGATATTCTCATATATAACACGAGGCAAAGATGAACCGGGCCCATGAGATCAGGAATCTCGACTGCTTTGTCGGCTTTTTAATTTGAGACATATAGAGGAGAGCGCTGAGGGAATACGACGTTCTCCACCTCCTACGAGGTCTTGATTAAGCTCTGCAGCCCCGAGAAAGCCGACACAGGGGCTTCCTCCCGATCCGGCCAGGTTTCACTCTGGGACAATTAAACAAGTCACCGTGTCCACCCGTTCCCAGCCCTCGCTCCACACACTGAACTTAATTATTACAGAGACCAACTCCTCAGCACAGAGGTTCACGGAGTGTGGCTAATCTTACCCGATCCGTTATTAGCGGCATTTTTCATCTTCATGGCAGAGGTAGATCGTTAATAGTTGGGAATGTTCAAATCTCTCGTTGAACATGAAGATGGAGCGCAAAACATTCATCTGACCGGGGCGCTCTGCGTACTTATATTTTGTGGGAGAACATCTTAAAAAAAATTAAAAAAATAAAACAGTTATCAGGAAACAGATTTTTGCAAACAAAATAACACACTATGAGGCGATCTCTCATGCAGCTGGTTTTATTTCTTTGAAATCTAAAAACACACAATGATGCTGCTTGTGCAGAAGAGAGAATCACAGATGCTTTATCCCAGACAGCTGCAAAGTTATGTTGAAAATGAGGAAAAGATTACAAAGGAATGCATTACCAAAGGCTTATTTCAGTAACAGTAAATTGAGACATCGCTTTTCAAAATGGAGCAGTAATGAATCACGCAAGCGGCTCTTGTAGAAACATCCAGGTGCTCATTTTGAAAGAGCCGCAGAGAAAACAGCAACTTCATGAACCATTTGAAAAGCAAACAGTGCGCTGCACATCTGACAGTCGGTTATATGTAAAAAACAAGCATGAACGACTGCGAAAGCAAATGGAAGGTGGGATGTTTTTAGTAACCTAAAGTAGCGCTGTCAATACGTTTGCTAACAGTGATGGGGTCATGGGTTAAGAGCAGGTAATCAGACATGGATTGAGTGATGGATGAGGTGGTATCGGGGGGGGTGACATCACGGAACAGCGGCGTTTAACTTGTGCGCGTCTGTCTTTCTGTTTGAGTCGGACTCGTTCAACAGAGAGCGGACAAGCCCTTTATGAAACATAGCATTTAGTTGGTAAAGATAAACCCACTTAAGGAAATATCCCTGCCAGACACTGAAGGGATACACATTCATCGCACAGCCCCTCCTCCCACCTCTTTTAGACAGCTCCATCCTTCTTGGAGTCTCGGGGTCATCTGCCAGCGACCTGTTATCAATGGCCCGGCTTAGGCCTCCAGACGGCATTAATCGGTCATGAAAAGTTTCTTCTTACATTGCTGCGGTGGTACCTTAAGCTTCATCCCAGTGCCGGTGTCAGTGTGCTTTGCCTCGTTTCTCTATGCTCTGTTTTCTAATCCGTGCGAGGGGGGGCGGGAGTGGGGGGGGGGGGGCATCCAGCCTGCCAGTCGGACGCTTCGGCCCTCACGTCACAGGTTGCACAGCCTCTCCTCCTCTTCGGCCACCAGACTCCTGATATGAATGAACCAGAGAAACAAAGCACCATGTGAGCACATTGGAGTCCTCGCAGGTAGAAACCCCCCATCCCATTCAAGACCCCGTTGTTATTATCCCCCCCCCCCTTAAAGGTTCTCAGGGCAAATCTAATTCCCCGACATGACATCATATTTGTGTCCATCTGATTAATGACAATCCTATATTTGATCTCTTAAAACTCTGTTTTTGGTTTCTACCAATGCTAAACGATTCATTGTGTTAACAAGCTGGTCTCCAACTGTGTCGGCCTGCTGTTTGATGGTGGGAATGTAACATATAGTGGGTTTTTCAGTGAACACAGCTGTGTGTCGCATCTGGAAACGTTGGTCGACGAGAGAGATGAGAAACCAAAGCAAATTTGTGAGCCAGAAAACCGCCACAAGGACCTGAAAAACGGTTCAGTAATGCTGAGGGGAGTCACTTAATTCACTGTTAATATAAAATGATGAAATGAAGCAGCTTTAAAATACAGTAAAACCTGCAGCGCCGTCACCCACGCCACTGAACTAAAAAGGATCTTGTCCCCGGTCGAGCTACTTGTTGCTGAGTCATGCAGCAGCGCGAGCGAACCGCAATGAACAGCGGAATGATTAACAGTGTAATATGGTTCACATTAGCAGAGAGCAAAAGCAGCGAGCATCTGCCTCAACCGCTCGGAGGTGCTTTCACGGGCGATAAGCTCGCCGCTAATGGCAGCCCGGGGTCATTAGGGTCTGTCGTTGCAGACAGTTTGCCACGGCTCGGAGAGAATAAACAACCACCGTTTTCATTTCTTATTCATGGTTTTAATCACGGATGACAAAACATCCAGTAGGAAAAGAAAAAAGTTGCCACTTGACTGTGCCTTGAATGTCATTGGGACGGTCTGTTGGGAGGGAATTAAAATGTGCGCATGGAGACGGCTGACATTAACAGGCCGGCGTGGGGGAGAGCTGGCGGTGACCCAGCACACAGCGCTGACATGCGAGGCCCTCTTCGTCCATTCTAATGAGGCACCGCGAGGGTCCGAGGCACCGTCAGGGTGCCCCCCCCCCCCCTCCCCTTGAGGGGGGCGTCGGATGCCGATGATACCGGCGGAACCGGGAAGGAAGTCAGTAGCAGCAAGATGAGGTTGTGGCTCAAGTGCGTCAGCCCGCACGACCGGATTGGCAGATGGTTAAACAGCATCAGCGGAATGAAGGAATGTCTGCAAACGTCTTCAAGGTCACACACAGGAAACTGCGTCTCGCTCGGCGGCCGTTTCCTGCGACCCCAGTTGGCCCCATGATGTCAGCCCTTTTGTTTGTAGTATATCTTATATTGCACGTATCACATAATATGCTTTGACAATGTCGGACTGGGTAACACTTCTGCAGAAACTCCTCGCGGCAAAACAACGCCGGACACAAACTTTCCAAGTGTTTTCCTTTGTGTGATATCCGGATTTGCTCATACGCTATGTGGAGAATGTCGAACAGATCATCAAGTCAATTTAAATCTAATGAAATCATCCCAGGGCCTCTGTGTGCTTAGCCCCTGACGGTTCATTCTCCTCGACAGGTTTAAATAATGTGCGGCACCGCAGGGGACGTCTGTTTTCATTTGACCCCCTACCGCAGAGACGGGGATCTACACTACGTGTCAGCGAAGTCACAGCAATTCACATTTTAATTGCAATCAGAAACTTCGGCAGTTGACTTTATGACGCATTTAACAGGAGAGCTAATCAACGAAAACCACCCGGCGCGGTGTTTTTGTTGGAACGAACACCTCCTTGTTCTCCACCAGACATGGCGGTCCATCTCTGACCCACAGTGCTGGTTCACAGTTGTCCTGTTGACTGACAACCCCGCTGACTGTTGGGCCTCACTGGATGAAAGCCTCATGAACTTCTCTTGTATAATTTAACGGTGCCATTGTCATTTAAAAATAAGGATTAGAAACTTGTATTTTGTTGCTGAATGTATATGGCCGATCCGTCAGCACTAATATTATGAGCGATACAACATTAAAAGTTTAATTATTTATTGCTGTAAGTCAACCCCAGGACGAAAGATCAACTCTATCTAGTTTATTCTGACTATATATATATATATATATATTATATATATACACCCCCCAAAAAAAGAAGTACGCTAGCCTTCAATAATAGATTTCATGTTAGAAAAATGCTAATATTATCATAACAATAAGAGCAGCCAGGTTACCTGATGCATATATGCACACGCGGCTATTGTTTACCAAAGGTGAGTGCAGCAAAGGCTGCTGGAATAAATATTGGAATATTAATGTAATTCAGTTATTGGGTAAACAGTCTGCCCACAGTATATACCGCATGAATAGATGTATATTTGTCAGTAGTTTCTGGGTTATGCACTTATTCAGACAATTTATTCAAGCTAATCTGATGCAGAGTTTTGTCTAGCGTTGCAAAGCCCAGATGAGTATTATTGTTATCGAGAGTTTTGCATTCATAAAGAACTAAATAATTAATAAGATATATTATTCTCTGACCTGTAGGCAGTAATTTCCATGTCTCTGGCCATCTTCTCACTGAACAGCTCCTTGTAGTCTTCACACTGCTGCTTCATCTGCACTTGGAAGTCGGCCTCTTGGCGCTGCACTTCATCTACGGTCCACTGAACACACACAGCGGGATAACAGCGGGGAATGAATGGCAGAATTAGTTGAAACTGCTGGCCCTTTGCAGCCTATGATTATTCCCTAATCAGTCCACTCTCAGACCTCCAACTCCGCAAGCTCGTCCGCGTATGCAGCCGCCTTCATCTCGACCTCGTCCTCCAGCTCCTCGTTACGCCGCTCCAGCTCAGCGAGCGCCTTTTGGAGCTCTGAAATCTGCAGAAATAAAGACAAAATACAGCAGAGGTTGTTTGTACACATTTACCCCAAACATGTCTTTCCTTTCTCGGCCACTGTTGTGTTACTGGTGTTACTGGTCAGCTCAAAACGAGCACATTTCATGTGTGTTCTGTTTGAGAAAATACACTTTTAGCTGCTCCATGTTTGACTTTTATCACCAAGAAGTCGTTAACTGTGGGCTGTTCTATGCTGAGGGAGTCGTTTTATGAGAGCTTTTCCAAACAAGCGAGCGGTGTGACTTTATTGATACCATGTCGGCCATTCAGTCCATCACTTTGTTTTTTCGGAGAGTAACATCTCAAAACTATTGAATCAATTGCCGGGATCCTTTGTGCAGACATTTATTTTTTCCAGATGATGAATCCTAAGGTCTTTGATCCATTGCGGCTTGCGGTTTCAAAAAGGCGATATCCATCATGGCCGTGACATCTGGTACAGTGACGTCCTCCTCCGGGATACACGACTGGTATTTCAATGTATACTTACTCTAGCACTGTGAAAGTTCAAATTAACATAAGCTTTTGGTTTATGACCAAATACGTGCCAAACTAATGGAACCCCGAGGAAGAAGACCTGCTCGGCTTATAGTTATGAAGGGCTTATTCTTAGCTAATGTAAATGATTCTTAGTTTCAGGTGATTATACTAATGAAAACATATTACAACAGGAACCCCTCAAGTCCTAAAATCTGCTCCTCTAAGTGTGCCAATCAAACCGACCTTTGAAGATATAAAAAAAAAACAGGTTTCTTTACTTCTACAGCGAACTAAAGCGGGGCCGTGGTTTTCCTCCCCCCCCGCGTCCGAAGCTGTGGCGTCCTGCCGTGAGTAATTACAGCAATCACAGAAGTTCAACAATTAGCTGTCACAGCCAGATGGGGATCCATGCGGTCCCGCCCGTCTTTCAGCGAGCCCATGCGAGCAGAAGAAGAAGACCCCGGGTAACCACTCACGAGCTGATGACTCTTCACCCCCCCCCACCCCTCCCCCCAACCTGCTCCACTCACTTACTCCCACACTCCTCCGTTCGCCCTGGCATGATAAGTGAGGTCCGCGCCGCGTGCAAGTGGTGGCGTACGACCCCGTCAGTGGCTGCTCTCTATTATATACATTTCTGAGTCAGGGCTGATTTCGCTGCAATCTGTTGTGTCTCGGCGAGGAACCGGACCCGAGGCATCGATCACAGGCGAGCGAGAGCGAGAGGAAACAGAGCAGATCAGGCCGTGCTGTTCACCCGTCAGGCCGGATCGAGCAGAACCGGGGGGATTGTGTTGGCCGCGCTATTTAGGACAAAAGGTGGCTGATGTTCGGAGTCTTGTGCTCGCTGTTTAGTCAAAGAGCTCCATGGAGTTGGAGCCGCGGCCCGCAGTCATGGGGACCAAAGCGCCGTGTTTGTTACAGATGCGGTTTAGGCGTCAAAGTGGGCTAACGTGAAGTAACAGTAGGTAGTTTTCTGCAGTTCCTGGGTGATATTACCCACAATTCCCCATTTAGCCTCTCAACTGATTCCTGATTTGTCCGTTTAATTCAAAGCCCCAATGCGCCCATTTCTCCGAGGGTTTATTTGCTCTCTTCTGTTCACAGAGTTGGTGTGCGTGTGTGTGAGTGAGCGCGTGTCAAATTTTAAGACGTTTATGATGCTGCAGGCGCTCTGAAAGACTGTACTTAATAACGAGGACATGGAGGGCAATAAATCCCGTCTGAGCTGAAGCCGAGCCCTTCACATCTCCTGCTGAAAGTGTCCGCAGAGTAAACACTCTGGTCAGCAGGATCTCCCACACTGTTCTGCCCTGCTGTCACTCCGCTGCGCTCTCCTCCCTTCGCCTGCTGTGGGAAACCATCCATTCTCACCATTATGCCTGATTTAGGAGCTGAGGCCCGAAGCGAAGCCAGTCGAGGGTTCTGAGACTTCGCTTTTTGTCAGTGAAGTGGTGGGAAATGTGTTGTGGGAAAATTTGAATCGGAAGGAAGTAACTGAAGGGTTTAAATTGTGCGTAAATGTGAGACTGAAAGGGTCAGTTCGTCCCCTAAAACAAAAAAAAGGATGCCTTTGATGACAGTAGGGTTAACCAGCAGTGTTAGCAGAGGTTTATAAGTATCTGTTTCCAAAATGTATATAGTCCAACTGGATAATCTTGAGAAAAGTCCTCTTTTAAAGCAATAACGCAACGCTTTGGACAATATGCTTTTTCACTCGATAACACTTTTCATGTCAATCTGGAGTCATTTCAGCCAGTTTACTGAGCTTCACATAAAGACTGCAAATGCACAGTGTGGCAGTAACCTTTTTTTTTTATTTTAATACAGATTAACCAGAGGACATATTTGTTATCTAATGATCTTTAGAGGGGCTGGTCGGCAGATTTCGTTACCTTTGCGTGCAGCCAGTATACCCGTGTCACCTCTTCATGCTAAGCTAATCGGCTGCTTGCTGTAGATTATCATCTAGTGTACAGACATTGACTGGTATCAATCTTCTTATCAGACACTGTGCAAGGAAGTCAATAACACTGCACAAGATGTTGTCTGAGAAAAGCTCATCTTAAAATCTTTGCAAATAAACCCACATCCCTTATCTGCCTTAATGAAGAGCGCTTTCTTCTGTGATTTGCCCAAACAACCTAAAAGAAATCATGAGCACTCACCAGCGTCTTTATCTCACAGACGTCCTTTGTCGCTGACGCGCCTTTGACGGTCGACCCTGCAGCTACGCCCTCTTCTCGTTGCTCTCCGTCGCCACGGCGACCCACAGCAGAGGAGGCGGCGCCGCACTCGTGCTGCAAAGACGAGGGGGGAAAAAAGAGGGAGAAAGGCAGCCGAGAAAGGTGTGACCTTTTGGTTTGAGCCGGCAGACGCACAGAGGAAAGTGCTTTTTTTGGGGGGCGTTAAGTGCGCTCCGACAGGGCGGCAAAGAGCAATCAGAGCCTCTCATGCCGGCTGATGGGTGAACCTCTCCTCCTGTCCACCACACTTCTGATTAGATGGAACAAATGCAGCAGAAACGAGCGAGATGAGTGTGCACAGGTGTGCGGGAGTCAGCCAGCAATCACCATTACTGTTCGAAACCCAGTGGCAATCATTTTTAGCATTGAGACAATTGCGTCCCGTAAATTGAAGGCAGGCCCAGACAGGACGGAGGCCAGCTGGCCAGAGGAGGAACTACGTGGGAGGCGGAGAGAGGGAAAAGACGGGATTTGAGGAACAAGAAACACACCTATGTATCCAGGCAGACATACAAAAGTATAAATACGCTGGATACCCTTCAGCCATGCTTAGTTTAAGGACACACACACACACACACACCAGCGTCCACTCCAGTAAGGCTGAGGAGCCTGGGAAGGCGGCCAACAGTCTGATTACAGCCCTGACCTGTGAACCGGGCAGACATCCTCGGCCCAGAGGAGGTCAGGCCCACCGGAGCTATAGTCTGACCTCAATGCAGCACGACTTAGCATGCACTGCACGCACACACACACACACAGGTAGACAAAGGCATTCTGTTCGGGTCAAGTCCAGCATCTCTGATTCTCAAGTTGTTCCCCCGTGTTGCGTTAAGAGGCAAAGAAAACAAATGGGAGTACGGTTGTGTGATTTGTGAAAGTTGAGCTTTACACGCTGGACTTGAGCGAGACGTTTCAGAGGGAGAGAAGGTGACCAGTAGTCGGTAGGAGGATGGCAGCCGGTGGGGGAAGAAGCACTCGCATCCTTTCACTTAAATATAAGTAGTAATGTAACAAATTAAAAATTCTAAAGAAGTGCTAATTCTGCAGAAAAGTGTCCCCCGACTCTGCTCTATATGCTGTAATAAAAGAGGTTATTACAACTGATGCTTGAATGTGAAAGTACCATTTCACTGTTAAGACAGTCAAGGTTTAGCTGCCGTTTCTTTGTGTCCGGTTAGTTTAGTCCTGTGGTCGACACACTTAGGGGTCGACCCCCTCCAAAAGGTCACAAGATGAATCTGAGGGGTTGTGAGATTATAAATGGGAAAGGAAAGAAGGAAAAACGTCATATTTACTTACTTCCTTCACACGGGCTATGAACAGCAGTCTTCTGGGTAAAAGCTCTGTGTTTATTTGTAGAATATATTTGTTTACTTTTGGAGATTCCTTTCCAAACGTATTTGTAAGACATCGAAGCAATTATTGGGAGATTCCTTATATTGGCATTAGAGTGCTGGAAGAAAACACATTTTCTTGAGCTGATCTCCTGAAAATACTTTGTACTAATACTAAATCGTAGCGCTGCGTGTGGATGGAGCTCTGACATATCAGATATCTGAAACGTGGGAAAGGACCCAAACCAGCTATTGCTTCTTTGTAAGTGGTAACAAAAGGTTTGGAAACACTGGTTTAACTGTTCAGAGTGTATTTTATAACTTACTCGTGGATATTTGTATAAATGTATGAAGCTGTCAGACAGCATATACCTGTGAGGTAATGGATTAGAACCTTCAAATTGTCCCTACAGTAAATTGAGGAAAAGTACTTGTCCGTGTTTCTCAATGAGAACCAAAGCCCTGATGGGATTTGATGGGATTTGATGGTTGTATACAGACACGGCACCATAAAGCATTTGGCACAACGAGGTTTGCGCTTCACGGCGTGTTTGCGTGTCTTACGTTGCAGCGTGTCGTACCTGGAGGCTCTCAGCCAGCTGGCAGTAGTACTCCTTTACGTCCAGGGCCGGCGTGATGTCAGGGCCGCCCAATGGAAAGGCAGCCGTTGCTCCCGTGGTCCCTTCAGCTGGTCCCATCAGACGCTCCACTGCCTGCAAACGCACAGCGGGGAAGTACAGTAACATCCTTTACTCGGTGGTGTAAAAGTATTCAAGTACTGGCAATTTATGTTTGTCCTCTTATGTTTAAGTGGGAAATATTCTTTCTAATGGAATACATATGAAATGAAAAGTCTGTAGTCCTTGAAATATGTGCTCCTCAACATGCTTGACCTCCACTTCCGATGTGTTCAGTAAAAAGAAACCCACATCCATTACAGCGATAAATGAACTGCTGCACAGGCAGGCTTAACATTTCTCCCTCCACCTAAATAACGACAAGGCCGCCGATTTGTCAAGGGAATACGAGTGGTGATGATAGCGACAGTTAATAAAACAGAGGGAACTTCAGTTTTTACATTTGGTATTCAGCTGCATTTCCCGGACTGGGAGTTATCGAGCGTGTCCCGCAGGGAGAGCGCTAAACGCCGGGCGGCCAGGCTTTGCAGGGAAAAACACAGAGTGATGGAGTTGGTCCTGCTTCACTCTCTCTCTCTGAGATGTGATACTGGGGTGTGTCTGTCATCTCCTGGAGAGGTGGAGAATATTGTAGAGGGTGGAAAGAAACGGGTGCGTGTGATGAAGGTGAATTGGATATTGTCCCAGCAGTGTCCCTATTTTAAAGCAGTAGTTTGACATTTTTCACTTCATGTCAAGATTTACAAGACAGGATGTCCCTGTGCTTAATGTCAAGATGTTCAGACAGTGAGAAGAACGTATTAATTGTGTCCTTCAGATGAAGGCCACATTAGCTGCACACCAGCACGCCTGCTCCTCAGCCTGAAGGATCTTTCTCCCTCTTCTCTCGTCGTCCGTTTAGGATTACGTGGACATTTTGGAAGCAAGGGCCCAACTTTGACTCAATTACTTAACTTGTTGTTTTAATCCTGTCACCATGTGTTAATGTTGACAGCACTCCTTCTGGCTCAACTTCAAGGTGAGTCGGGTCATCACAGCTGTGTTTGTCACAACAGGCCCTTGGCATTTCTCCATCATTCCTTCCCAACCTAAATGCCTCATTTTCATAGCTGTAAACAATTCCCGTTTCTTCCGAGTGCAACTAAATATCCTTTCTCCCCCCCTCCCTCCCTCCCTCCCTCCCCTCACCGTGGTGTGTTGGTCCTCCATGTTGGCCAGCTGCTCCTCGTAGATAGCCACTTGCTCCCTCAGAGCCAAACACTCTGCTGTCACAGCATCGACATCCTGCAAGGAAAATCTAATTAAAACAGGACAGGGCTGCAGTTAAGAAGTTCAACTTCATTTTCTGGAGAAGAAACACTGCAATTTGTGAACTAAAAAAAAAAAACACAGGATGCTTCGGGAAAAGCTTTGTTTCTGCACTGAACTACCATTTTAAGAACCATCAGCACATCCACCTGTTTCCCTGAACAGAAAGTAAGACACCGCAATGCAGAGGAAGGGGGAGGAGGAAGAAGATCAGAAGGAGGATAACTAGACACAAAAGCCAGCAAGGCTTCTCAGCTCATCTGCTCTTTTTAAAGAAGAACCAGATCAATTTGTGCTGGCCGCAATTAATGTGCATTCACATGCAGAGGGGGTTTGGTGGTGAAGTTGTGCAGCTTTGCAGAGTGCATGATGGACGGCAGTAAGCAGAAAGTAGTCAGAATTGAGCACAAGTTGTTGAGAATCACATTCGTTACCACTTCAGCAGCATTTTAACCGACGTGCCAACAAACTAAATGAAGGCTTTCAATTCAAGCTCTACTTATATTGACTAAAAGCGCGTGTGTGTGTGTGTGCATGCTCTTTTTTTGGTGGGGGGTCCATTTTTTGTTACCAGCACCACTTTTGAAACAGACTGATTATAATTGATAGTAATCATATTTTACATCTGGTGAATGTTGTAAAACTCATTTCATTTGCAGCTGCACTTTGCTGGAGCCAACAAGGCCCAGGACATGACTTAAAACAAAAAGTAAAAACCAGGGGAAATGTGTGGGCCTTAAAAGAAAAAGTGTAGGGGGAGTTCCAAGAGAGGAAAGAAAAAAAAATCCATTTGTTGTATTATACTAAAAAACGAAGCGAACATATTCTGTTTCATCACCAATATGTGGCGAGAGCTGAAACTAGCTGCGAGTTGAGCCGGGTTGCGTTCGCTCATCTGCTCTGCTCCTTCTTCGCCTCCCTGTCGGTTTCCCACCAAGTCTTGTCACCCTGCAGCTGCTTCCAATTCAGAACCAGAGAACCGAGCCAGCGGGAACATTACAGCGACGTATTTCAAGCCTGCGTTACATCTGTAAGAGAGAAATTAAAGCCTCCCTCGCATCTGGCCCGGCCGGGAGGAGATGGGCTCTGGCATGCACGAGGGAAAGAGGGCGCGGAGGGGTGTGTGGAGGGTGGGGGGGGGGGGGGGGAAATGGAAAAGTTGGTGGCTCAGGTTGCAATGGGCCACAAGCCCAGACTGTGTGACTGCTGGTGATCGCCACCCATTGGGCAGCACTATGGAGGAGCAGCTGTGCAGTCTCAGCTGATTCACCAGGGAGGGGGGGCGAGGGAGCGAGGAGAGAGGGAGCGAGGGGTGAAGCTTGACAACGCTGCCACCTAGTGCTCAAGGTACATTCTCACAACAAAAAAGGGCTCATCGTGTATTGCACAGTACAAGAATACAAGTTATACTCTCATTGGATTTCTGTGGGTACAACTGGCTGCATTTCGGGGAATTAGGGATCCAGTGTTTCTGCAGGTTGATCCACGAGTGTGTGGAACTGAGGCCCTAAATATCAGTTGCCTCTTTTAAGCAAATATACTCATTCTAAACTTGACCAGATAAGGGCTAAGCCGATATGGTATTGCCGGTAGGAACCATAATTTAATGTTAAACAATATGACAACTCGGAAAGAATATCTAGGCAAACAAAACTGCGGTTTATAACTACAGGGTTGATATAATTGTACAGTGAAAAGATACTTAACATAAACCACTACATCTGCAATTATAGATATTAGTAAGCGGGTGATATTTCATTTGGGCTTTGCATCTCATCAGCTAGTTTCAGTTCTAGAGCTGATTTCTTACAACAAGGTATAAAAGTAAACTAAATTGGTCAAAGAATACATTATTGCATTGAATTGTTCATATATTATGTTTAGAAACCCTTCATGGACATCATGGAGTTCATTTCAGTATTGTATATTTCTAAAACCTGGTTACATCAGTCAGCTTTCTTCCAGGTACGGACGCTAAAAGTATTCACAACTGGTACCTCAGCGACATCTTGTCGTCCCTGCTGCAGGAGGATCTTCTGCTGTGCGGCCTTCTCGTATTCTTCCATCAGACGTTCCAGCTCCTTTCGCAGGTCCTCGGTGTCGCACAGAGTCTCATCCTGCAGGACGGGGGGTTGGAGGGGGTGCAGTGACGACAGTGATGGATACAGACTATGGGCCATGTCTTTGTCGCAGTACAAACTGAAGTCGAATTGATGGGACGGAGTGAAAAATGCAATGGACCGTCTACGAAGGGAAAGAAAACCTTTCAGGGGTGTCACGCGGACAAACATGCGGCAGAGCTGACGCACCCAGCAGCAGCAGCAGCAGCAACTACCTACCCTCTCCCTGCGCAGTCGCTCCACCACTGCATCCAGACCGTAGTCGGCCTCGGCCACGGCGGAGGAGACGCGGGCGGACGCCCGTCGGCCTTTCAGCTTCTTCTCCGCGTCGACAATCTGGCATTTTAGAGACTCATTCTCCTCCTCAAAACAACGGGCCTGGAGGATGCAGAGCATTCATTAAACAACAACAAACCAAAAGGGTGTGATGAGGGAAGATTATTGAGTGCTGGTGTGTCAGTCGGAGCAGCTCTCCCTCACCAGGTCCATAAGCCGGACCAGTCGGTCATTGAGGGTCGCTATGATGTGGCGGTCCTGGACGAACCGCTGCAGGCCCTCCTTGTTGAGGGCCTTGGCAGCTACAAAGTCAAACTGCTCGCAGTGGCACTCGTCAAGAGCCGCACCCCTGAGAGGACGACACAATGTACCAAACACAGGATTTATGAAGGGATCCCAGGGGGAGATCTCTTGATCCATCTTGTGGGATAGTTTAAGCTAAAATACAGTAAAACGTTCATTTCATATATTAGGAAGGAAAACAACTAAATGTTTGTCTACAACGAAAAACTTCTACATATATATATATTTTTTAAAGTGACAGACCTGCCGGCGGCGCGGTGCTGCCCTGCACACTGCGTACTCAACCCTCCCTTTCCACTCTGGCCCTCATCCTCAAACAGCTTGCGGTAGGACGACACTCTGAGCACGGCCATGTCTCTGGACGGGTCCGAACAGGGCCACAACGTATCAGGCAAATCGCGGCGGGGCCGCCGAGGTGGCGGTTTTATACTCACAAAGGATGAGAATGCAGCACTGAGGTGAAGGATCTCTCACCGGCCACTGAGCAGACTAAATATACCGTGAACGTCGCGCTGATGCGATTTCACGTGTGCCCGAAGAGTGAGCCGCAGAAACAGCAGTCAATGAAAACACAGGGTTCAATGGGAAAACAAAACGGCTTTTGACAGTTTTATTTCTATTAAATAAATTAAAAGCACCAAATGTATGAAAATGGAAAACATGGTGCAAGTGTTTCCTCGTGTACCTTAGATTCATGAACAAAATGTGACAAAACTGAAGGCAAAGAAGCTAAATGGATCAACACGAATACATTCAAGGATACAGTTGGACAACACTTGAAATTAGAGGTTATTGATTTGGTGTTTAACTCAACGACAATAGTACAAAGACCAGATGAAAAAAAAAAAGTAATTAAGGGCTATTGTAAAACGGATCTCTCAGATCTGAATCACCAAGAACTATTCATTCAGGGTCGAGCCACCTTTGGTCAAAGCTGAGGTTGATAAAAACAATCACAACTTAGTGTATTGATGGCAAGCAGACAGAAAAGAATATGCAAATATAGAGCACCTTCATCCCAATTTCTACAAGTGTTGTAAAATTACATAATCTCCCAACATTAAATCCTGATAATCTCGTGAAGCATCGGAGGAGAAAACCTCCGGGCTCAAAAGGGACACTTATATCATCCAAGGAATATTTTGGTCGACTTGGAAAAATAACGCTGACATCTCTAAAACTGTAAAAGAGGAAACGAGCCTCCACTATACACAGCATGGTAGTTTCCTCATTTCAATAACGACGGCATGTTTCACAACCGTGACTCAGTACCACAAAACGAGAACGGTTGCACAGAGAAGTAATGATCCTTAAAATCTGGATTCACCATTTAGGAACACAAAACAACGAGACGTGAGTCTCAACACGTGGCAGAAGTGAGGGAAAAGACATGTAAACCAACACGGACATCGACGGGAACACCTTTGTGACAAACTCACTGTAGACACAGATTTGCGTCACTATGACGACAGCCAAATACAGACGAAGCGGGGAAACGATCACTATTTACATCCCGTAAGACGTCAGCAGCGTCAGGGCGACTTGATTCCGGTTAACCAGGAAGTTAGTGTGTTAACGGACTTGTTTTGTAACTCAAAGTAGAACTGGCAAAACGAGGTGTGAGGCGCTCGGCGGGAGTTAAACAAAACGGTAAACATTCAGGAGGTTTTACCACAGTAGGATCATAAAAATAAGCGATGAATATCTTAAAAGCAACAGAGAGCTGAAAATAAACTGTATTTTAGTAGAAAATATTCAGATGTGTCAAACTTTGAAGAAAAACAAATATATAAATAATAATTAAAATACAATGAATATTGTAACCAATTTAACTAAGTTATTGAAGATATTTATAATATTGTCCCCTCATTTAAAACAGATGATTGTCGTAATTTATCTAAAGCTTAAACATTTTTTGTGATTAATATCCAAAATGATCCCATTTGAAACCATTTGCTTTATGCATTACACTTTTATTCAGTCTATGTCTTAAAACTTCAGGAAATATTTTCTTCTTTAGTGTAATCGAGCCTTTTGCTTAGAATCTACATAGTATATAGTGTTTTCACATTCTTATCACACGCGGCTTAGCGGTTGTTTTGGCATTATAACCCAAGAGGAAGTTTCAGCAGAGGGCGAGGACGAGCCGGTCGGGAGCCACAGGGCCAGAAGGCGCTGAAAGTGAATAATAGGCATCAGTTCAAGCCTATTCCAAGTGCTTCCAAATCCAGCAATCCAACACACGTAAAGCAGTGTCGAGGATGAAAGCTTGTGAAACGGTTGGGTGCACTGCGCTGGTCTCCAATGGATGATAAACCACAGTTTAGTTCAGGTCCAACAGGAAGGCAGGTCGGGACTCCGTCGCTCTCTTCTATTCCTCGTCTCCTGCCATCAGGAAACCCAGGATGAAGTCGATGGCTTTCTGGCGCTCGTGTGGCGTGTGCTTCCCCATCAGGTTGGGAGGGGGTCGGATGAGGAGGCTGGCAAAGAGTGTAGCTAAAATAAAATAAAAAGACCAGGACAATGAGGTCAAGTAAGAGAGAAGCAAACCGTGTGGTTGGGATATTTAGTGCAATGGCTGACTGACGGTTTCGCATTATGAACGTTGAACTGGCTGCGGTGCACATTGAGGCAGGTGTCGCTTGCATACCTATGAGGCTGGCCGTTAGGTTGTTGTTGTGAGAGTGCTTGAGAAGCTCCTTCAAAAAGGCCATTAAGTAGCGAAACACGTTGCGGTGAGCTCGGGGCAACTGGGAGATCAACTGTCAGAAGAGGAGAAAGATAAGTCAAACACAACCGTTCTACACTCTTTTGTGTGCAGTTGAATAAAACAAATTCAGTAGACAGATTTAGTCAGCTTCTCCAAACTGGCAGCGGACCCACAGCTGTGTAATAAATTGACTATGAAAAGGAATCCCGTAGAGCCCCATTTGAAAAACAAAAAAATCTGTATTGCCCCTTTAAAGCATCGTCACTGCACCTGTTTGCAGAGGCGGCTGTCGTGAGCGCATTCCAGGCACCGATGGTAGAGTTCATAACACAACACGGGCTCCGGCAAGGCCTCCAAGAAGATCAGCAGCGCCTCGGCGACAGAGTGGTTACAACCAGCTACACGAATAGTTAAAGAACCAAGAAGCAAATATGGATCGCTGTGAATATATGGACAAAAAAAATAAAAAAATCTGACCGGCTAACGGCACAAGGCTACGTGATTACTACCATTATTGCTATAGATTCACGGGAATTCTAATAACACCGACATATCCTCATGACAAAGAGCACAACAGAACTCGTGAGTTAGTACGGAATTGTTGTGTCTCTTGGTTCCTTTAGTTTGGCCTTTCAGTGATGGCGGGGCCGGGTCTCAGGGGAGCGGAAACAAGGATACAGATGGAGTCCGGGATGCTGGTGTCCAGACAGTCGATGATGCCCTGCAGCTCGTCTTGTAGTCCTGGGGTCTGGAACAAGTCCTCCTGGTAGACGCGCAGGGACAAATAAGGGACATTTAACTATATGTTAGTTATCCCTCAAACTTATGGGTCTTACGCGCCATCAGACACGTACGGTACTGCAGACTCTTGTCGGTGTCTTTTCGGTCGGCCCGGTGTTTAACCAGTTGACATAAGTTAGTATTTTTCAGCTGCAGCCTCTCACCTGATCACAGGACTTGGTGAAGAGATGGTTGACAAGAATCCAGACTTCTTTGGGGATCTTTAGAGGTTTGTCCTCGGTGCCTGAACCCTCCACCATCAGGAAACTCATCTTTGACTTTTCCTGATCAGAGACAACACAGTACACTCAAATAGAGGCAGTGAGAGAATATTAATGTATATCTGTAATAATAACCACTTATTCCCAGTGAATCATTGAAGTCCATGCCGTGTGATTCATAGAGGCTCCTGGAGTGACTGCACATGAGACATCTCATCAATTGATGATGGAGTAAGAGCTAAATTGAGGTTGGGGTTATTTGCAGGGTCTCGAACTGCGAATGAAGGGGATCCATTTTTAAAAGGAGGGCTGGATATCACATTATTTTAGTAACTGTAAATGGATTTTGTCGAATAACGAGAGACGTCCAAAAATAACCACAGCTGGAGCTGCTGCAAAGAGCGAGGACAACTGGAGTGGGCCTTTAACGAAGCCAGAAGCTAAAACTTCTCCTCGTTATCTTTAATCATGTGTACGCTGGGGCTGTGCAGTCCAGGCGACCGCCTGTGAAATGGGATTTAGTGCGTTTGCATGTGTTTTAGGTTTCATTGCACTGGTGCACCTTGTCCTCAATAGGCCGGGGGGGATTTAAGGGGTGACTGGTCCGCACACACAGATTATAACTGAGCTGGCCTGGTCTGCTCTAGCATTGCTCTTGGGTTAACGATTGTGGACCAAACGGCCTTTCTAAATAAACCTAAGGACAGATTGTTGTAGCCCATATGGACTGCACATTAAAGGAATAGTGCAACATTTTAGTAAGCACGCTTTGCTACTTACTTTCCAAAAATCTGATGTTTGATTCCACGCTTGTGACTGTAAATTAAGGATGGAAATGGAGCTAGGAAAAGAATATCCTGGAATCGGAGTGAAACAGCTAACGTGGCTCTCTCCAACGTCCAGCAAGATCTCTAAAGCTCAAAAGTTGTTTTTGTCTGATAAGTCTTCAAAATCATGCATCTCACTGGTTAACAAAGCAACAAGCTGCCACTAGCAAAGACCTCTTGCGTTGTTTTAACCTCACGTCCCAAACAAAGTAATGAATTATATTTTCTAAAAGCTGGAACTATTCCTTCACTTTCTGCTCGCAGTATGTGAACCTTTATGGTTAGAGTTAGACATTAACATGATTCAGTCCATTCTGGAGCCACTTGTTGACCTTCTTTACTCACATTAATGATTTAAATAATACCATAACCACTTTATCTTTATGACATGAGTGACTGAGGAAGGTCGATAAAGTCTCATAAAGCACACGCTCAGTCTTTTAACAAAGGGAATATTGACCCTAATTTCCTCGATGGCAAATCTGTACGGAGCTAATATTTTACCTTTTCCATGTAGCTGTCTTCTTCCTGAGCAAGAAGTCAGCCCAAAACCACAGTGAAGAGTTGGAAAGGAATGATCAAGGGAATTAGAGGCGATGAAAGGAAACAAAAGAAGTAGATAGAAGAAGTTTGCATGAACACAGAATCACAAGATTATGGATTGATTTTGCATAAGTAATCAAATGCACCAAGCCAGTGGGGGAAATTGAATAGATTCAATAGAAATAAGATGACAAAATGATAGTATATTCCAAAGGAAAATCAGATTAGGTAAAAAATAGCAATCTGGGTAGACAGAGGAGAATGTGTGAAGACCGGAGGAGTCTATTTATAAAAGCACCAACATCGGCCGATCCTGAGTCAGTTGTCCCTGGTCTCTAAGAGCTTTCTTCCCATGTTTCTGCCACTTCCCCGTGGCCCCTTTTGGCCAGAAATATACAGGTTGAGACGCCCTTTTGCCCCCCCCAAATATAGTTCCCTCTCTAGCCGGGTTTAGCCCGAGGGAGGGGACAAGCTCTCACGTGTCACTGCTCAGCTTTCAGGTGGTGAATAGTTACAGAACGAGGCGCAGCCACCAAATACCAGCTAAACTGCTCGGTGTAGAACAGGGTCCGTCTTTCTCAATTGGAGCTGCAACTAACCGTAGGAAAAGAATACTAATACGGTTCACTAATCCTGTCACTCTTAACATGTATAATTTGATTTCCCTTTTCCTCACCAGGTCAATGAGTCTGGTGATGGGGATCTCTCTGATGGGCTTCTTCATGCGGCACAGGGTCTCCAGTGAGGTGCCGAAGCAGCTGGGCAGGTAGTTGCCAGAGATGGTAATGAAGTAGTCCTTGCCACGGTCCAAATGGAGCACCAGGATGTCCTCGATGGCGTCTTCTCCAGAGTTCAGCAGAGTGACCGAGTCCTTACTGACGTACACGTCCAGATAGATCTCCAAGGTCTCATCTGTTCGGGAGTTTCAAATGACTATTACAGCGGCACACATAACAGCAAAATGTTTCCTGAACCAACAAAAACATGTCAAATGTTAAATACTAAAAGATTACAAATCCAAAAAGTTAACAAGCCTAAAAGCAATCAAAATACTCACTCGGCTCTAGGAATCCGTCGCTCGGCTCGGCCCGGAGCCAAGGCTTGCAATACTGCGAGTCATTGAGTTTGGGGATGAAGGCAAAGTGACAGGGGACCTGACCATCATTGGTTATTACGAAGCGCTCCCTCTGAAGCTGCCGGAATTTCACATTAGCAAACGCGAACTGGGAAAGGAGAAAGAACATCAACAACAGATTCAACAGAAGCTTTATTCCACCATGGAGGAGAAATGACAACCTGCTGCTCGGTCTATAAGGTTACCGGGGATTAGTGTGTGAGATGATGTCATTGAGAAGGGGTGAGGGGGAGTGTTTATACCTCTCTCTTGTCCAGGGTTACAGATGGAAGGAAATCATTCTCCATTCTGTCCATCGCCCGAACAATCTCCTCAAACACCTTCTTGTAGCGCGGGTCATTTACCACCTTAACCTGCACACAAACACACAGCTCATATTAATCAGACTGAATAGCGGAACCATGCGTGTTTGAACAAAAAACAGTCAGTCAGTCAGTTGTTGTTGTTTGTTTTTTTCACTTGACAACATCTTTCTCACCCCTACGCTGAAGAGAGCGCTGACGGGTTTGTGGTCACTGGTTTTCAGCTCCATGTGACTCCGATATTTGAGCTGCTTGACATTGTTTCCTCTCCACAGGATCCTGTCACACCAAGCCGGGACACGGCACTTCCCGCTGCAGCAGACGGCCACAGTTTCAGAGGCAAAGTTAAATCGTCAGACACGTACGGTACTGCTGACTCGGTATTAGCGACAGGCAGGTGTCATGTTATCAGGATGCCAAATAAAAAGGAAATCATGACAAAAAAAAAAAAAAGAAAGAAAAAAGGTACCTCGAGTCCCATCGATCCGTTTTGGGGTCGTACTTGTATGTGGGCATGAAGTTGATTTCTCCCTCCATGAAGTCCGTGAAGGCTTTCTTTGTCTGCCTCTGAATGTTTAACTACACAACAAAAAAGTGGCAACTTTAAAATCTATTATTTGGTTATGGGTGGGTTATAACCAATGTGGTCATTTATTGTCATTTATAGAATCGTATTGGGATTAAATCATAGGTCAAGGGAATTTGTCCTTTTAAAGGCCTTTGCAAAAAGGGTTCTTTCGTGTCAAAATGACTTGATACATAAATGATTCAAAGCCAATGAGGGAAACTGCAGCTTTTTTAAAGACTTAAGTAGTAGTGCTAATAGTCGTTTAAAATTTTAAAAAAGGCCTTTCAACAGTCTCTTACCTGATCAACCTCCTGAAGCCTTTTTAGCTCATTCTGAGAAATGTGAAATTTGACGTCCGCAGCGTCGTACAAGCACAGACGATAGTTTAAATCCCCGAGCCAGATTACTACACTGAAACACAAACGAGACAGACGTAGTTAGAAACAAAGAAATGCTGTATTAATAGCAAAAAGTAATCTGTTGCATGGAAACATTTTTAACAAACCCTCAGCACAAACAAGGAGTGTAAAATCGAACTTGTGCAATGTGCAAATTGGTTCAACGTTCTGACGAATGAACGAACGGACGAGGAACTTACTCGTGCTTGACGATATTGAGAGGGGGTTGGTCCAGTAAGTGGAAGGTCATGCGGGCACAGATGTCTTTGTAGTCCTGGTTGCGGCGCTCAAAGTCTTCCACGTGTGCAGCTAGATGGGAGTTGACGATGCAGAAGCTGGTGTTGTGGAAAACAAACCTCACCGCCACGCCTCCTTTGTTCCCCTGAAAAACATGAAACATGAGGAAGAGCAAACAGGTGCATTTTCGAAGCGGCGTAGTGAGTGCGGTGTGAACAAACCATTTTTCCCATGATTCCGGTCCCCACGTGCTCCGCGGCCACTTCTTTTATGAGGTTCTTGTAAATCTTTTTAACGAACACGACGAGCATCATCCCAACCAGACGTATGATTCGGACCTGTAGACATGAAGAAAAGCATGCGAGTTGGAACATCTGCAATCTTGTGGTTGGTTGGCGTTTGTCCAAGCGAATTCTCAATGGTCGGACAATCATCCGATCGTTTCTTCCCCGTCTTCCTGGCCGGGTTAGGGTTGGTGGACTGGACTAATTGTCTGTATCCGCCTCTCTTTGACCATCATCCTGACCGCAGTGCGACTAAATCTATAAAGCCGGTAGTTCATATGTGAGGATTGGTGGATTAATGCATTTTTGTGAATCGGGCTGTGGGGATTGGATCTGATGACACTGGCATGCTCCGATGTGTTAAGTCTATGCTCCACATACAGTGCATCCGGAAAGTATTCACTTATGTACAGTGAATGCATACTTATGTACATGTTATGTTTTCGTTCTTTATTTTTAACAGATTTCCAAAATTTTGCGAAAAACTGTTTTAACTTTGTCATTATGGGTGGTTGTGTGTAGAATGTTGAGGAAAATAATGAATTTAATCCATTTTGGAATAAGGCTGTAACATCACAAAATGTGGAAAAAATGAAGCGCTGTGAATACTTTCTGGATGCACTGTATCTGGAACAAAGTCCCAGAAAGCTGCAGGTCTGCAGAGTCCCTCAGATCCTTTAAATCCAGATTAAAGACTTTTCTGTTTGCTGCGGCCTTTAATTGACCGTTTCTGCAAGACATTCTTAAATTACATTACACACAATTTTATTCCATTTCAAATCTTTTAACGTCTTTTTTATGTTTCAATGTTCTTAACTGTTGATAAACCTCCTTGCATTATGTTTGGATGTTTTAAATGGTTTTATGTGAAGCACTTTGAATTGCCTTGTTGTTGAAATGTGCTATACAAATAAAATTGCCATGCCTAAAGAGCCCAATCGTTTTGTTTATAACATAACTGCAGGCAATATGACTACTTCGACGGGTTGTTTTAATTTGGAGTACCATATGAATGCAGTCCAGTGTGTGCTGGTCGACCCAAGAGTCTGCCTTTATCATTTTTGTATCAACACGTTGATAAAACAAATACCACCTTTTTTTACATTTGTTTATAATGAATTTAGTCTACCAGGTAGAATCTGGACAGTATTGATTCATTTAATTAGCTATTTTTACATTCATACAGAATTATCATATTTATTCTTTACTTTCTTTTCCAAGGTAAAGTGTTGACAGGAGGCACTCGGGATCAAGTCGACTTTGTATCTACTCACCTTCTTATATTTAGCTTTTGGGTGCAAGCTCCTCTCCATCGCTTCCACCCACAGCTGCTCCTTGGACGAGTCCATGTAGAAGAAAGCTTCGGTGCTCAAGTCCAACTCTTGAAAACTAGAGACAGAAACCAAGTCACCATATCATTGGATGTTTTGAAGCGAGCAACGAGGACGTGATGCTTTGCTACACGGCCAGAAAAACGTCATGAGAAATTGTCACTGACCCCAGAGCGTAAATATCCGGAGGTTCTGTATCACAGCAGAGCCACGGCACGAGGCTGCTGTCTGGAGCCTGGCCGTTCACGTTCCACGTACCGGTGAAAAACCTATTTTTCAAAATAAATAGTATTCACGCACAGTATTGCATTATGATTGTATTACTATAACAATATACAGAATGAAGAAGGCTCGCTCACTTGAAGGTCTTGATGTCCACATACTCTTTCTCCTTCTTACCCAGGAGGTGTTTGACGAGGTATTCTCTTTGTCCTGCCTGGCTGGAGGACATGGGGCTGTCGGACCAAGACGTCGGCCTGGCCATGCCGTCATACCCGGACCTAAAACTACTGGAAGGGGTAAAAAGTAAATCTACATTTAGCACTGGAAACGTTTTGGATAGATTCCTCTTTGCCATGATAAGCCAAAAAATAAGCGATAAACTATTTTCGGCCAGTATCCGGTGTTCCTTGTAAACCCGATGAGGACGTGTCAACTTACTCAGGTTTGGAGTGGTCTCTGGTCTGCAGGGAGACCGCTCGGTCTTTGGGGATGGGTGCAGCAGGCAGAGGATTGGATGGCGCGTAGGAGGCTTTGCGCGGAGGTAGAGGGGGAACCGGAGGAGGCTCCCTCACAGCAACGATGCGATTCTGGTGGTTCTTCTTTTCCTCCACTTTGAGAGCGTGATTGAAGTTGTCCTCAAAGCCGAAGTCGGAGGCGAGTGATTGAACCAGATCTTCGAGGATTCAATCAACAGCAACAGAAACCGATTTTTTTCCAAAGTAGTTATTGTTGATGCTTTCTGGGTGGACGCACGGTGTTCTTGTACATTACCTGTCTTGGTCTGATTTGTTGACCGGCTGTTGTTGAGGTTGGGAGGCAGTGCGTTGGTAGATTTGGGGGGGTTGACCCCGGAGCCCTCAGAGTTGGCCGTCTTGTTGGCTCTTTGCGGCGGGATGGGGGCTGCTGATGCAAAGGGCTCCATCGCTTTGGGTTTCGGGAGTTTTTCAAACTCTGAAAAAATAAACAGCATTGTCAGAAGGAAGCAAACAATGATCAATGCTCAAATACAACCTTACTCCTCCAGAGATCATATTAAGAGACAAAATAATCATTCAAATGTTCAACAGCTTGCCTAAGATTGAACGTCATATTTATAATATTTAACTTTGGTTAAGGAAATTTGCATCCAGTTTCAACTGACATCACAGAATTAAAAAATAAACAGGAAGAGCAACGCGGGCATTACACAAAGAGGACAGTTCCACTGGTGTACTGGGTTACGGATTACTGTCGAATGCTACATACAGAAATAACAACAGCTCAATCAAGGCTGGACGATAAATTCATTTCGAGAATTACTCAAATAACTGTCTCGCTATGATTCATTGGAATTCAGCCCAGTGACTCTCTCCACCAGTGGGTGGGGGTATACACAGGAAATCAGCGAGCGGTATAAAGTACCACAGTGAATAAATGTTAGATGAGTGATAAATAATGTACCATCTTACCTTGTTGCTGTGCACTCATCACCTGGGCTAAGAAAGTCTGAGTCCGATCATCGTCCTGCAGTTCCAACAGCAGCTGCGGAGCCCTTTCTCCGCTGATTCGTATCCTAACGCCGGCTTGAGGAGGGGACAGAAAGCACAAACACTTGCAAACATGTTGGCAGCTTTACGACTTACGAGTAGAAATGTAGACTGTCGAGAAAACAAAGCAAAGTGACTGAACAGTAAACCAACGCAGCATTCTTGAAGAGAGCCCTGGTAACCCTTGACCAGCGTCTGCTACTAAGTAAAGGACATTAAGCTGAAGACATGCTTGAAAAATGGGGCTGTGATGCAGTAAATGCCGTTCCCATAATACGGGCTTGTTGTATTCTGTCCGGCTTGCAAGAAGCGTCAAAATGACATTTTCTGCATAATCTTCATTTGAGAACCAACACAGAGAGAAGGACAAATAGTAATTTAAAGATAGGTGAAACATACTTACAAGCTACTGATAAGTTAATAAGAAGAGCCTCTTCAGCCTCTGAAATGAAAGAGGAAAGAGAGCTTGAACCGTGCTCGTGCAGTTCAAAGGTGTAGCCAAACAAAAGGTGTAATAAAATGTTTCAACGGTCGGTTGATTTTTGGTCGCCTGGACAGTGACGTAACACTGAGTAAACAGTAACACTTTCGTGTATGGCTATGGTTAACAAATGCAAAGAGAACTTTACAAACATGCCGCCACTATCGGGCAGGAATCACAAACACTGTTTGACGTACCAACATTTTCAACAGCAGCTGGCAATTTAAGTCGTGGACAATTTGATTCTACGTAGCAAAGTCAGAACGGCACATTTGGAGGACAAAGGCGACACATACCTCGCACAATCTCAAAATGACCATTGATGGGAATAGACAGCTGGGCCACTGGACGAGACGCGACAGCATCCGGGGTGGCCAGAACAGCCAATCTGGACGAGAGCAGCACAAAGTCCCACTTAACATCATGTTTAATAGAATTTAAGATCATTAAAAAGGCGCTAAAACACAAAGCATATGCGGACAGACTGCATCTACTTGGTTGTTATTCTCATAAACGCACATATTTGTGATTCAACATGGGGTTTATGTACAATTAGGGTTAGATTGAAATAATTAGGGGATTAAAGTGAATTCAAGATGTACATTAATCTGAAAGGGACATGCACGCATGCAAAATCTCATTGAGTCCATTTTTGCAGGCCATTCGATTTTAGTTGAATTAATAAACATGTAACTAACAAGCGTACTGCTTAACAAGTCTTGACGAAAAGAGTCCAGTGTGGCACCCTGGCGGAGCGAAGCTTTGAGTCATTAAATAATCAACACAAGCAGATTCTAATCTGTGACGTGGGTCAGTGTGGGCGGCGTCACATTTCACTCTCTCACAATGGTTGACTAACAAAGAGGGTCAACGCTAGCTTGCTGTGCACTGCCCACACTTCCTCCTCCTCCACCTCCCACCAAGTCAGATTACTGTTGCAGAAAGGAAAATGAGTCAGCTCTGCTGTGCCAGAGGAACTCACAGTTTCCCCGAGTCTGCAAAAAGATCCCTGTGATGTAGCAGTCAAATACACAGACCTCCTCAAGAGCACGGACAAAATAATAGAAACACCCAAAAAACAGTGACTCTGAATTTGAAATGTTGTCATTGAACTCCTCGAACTATTTGGCGTCAACTAAATATTTATTTTATCTAAACTTTGGACGCCGAATATCTTTGAAATGGATTATTTATACCTGTTTTATAGCTGCAAATTAGTGTGCATGCATCACTTGCAGTGTCTCTAAAATCCCAACTAAATGCAAAACAATATCACTATTAAGAATAGGTTTAATGAACAACACTTGTATAGTCTCACCAAACCGGCAAATTGATGCTATATTTACTGGATTCATTGGAATGTGCTTTTTCTATTATTTTCTTCACCTTGTGATAACGTCACGTTTCATTCCGACTCCAAAAGGGTCAACGAATGTCCCTTTCACGGGTTGTGATGAAGATGCCCGTAAAGAAGCAAGAGAAACCCTGACATCACCTGGTCTCTGTGACTCCTCCGTTGAGTGTGTTTAACGCAGTTAGCGGAGGACGTAGTCCGGGTGCCCATGTGAGTCGGATTACAGTCGATGACTATGTGGAGGAATTCTGGATAATGGCTGGTGAGCTGACTGCTGGTAGGAGTAATTGTTTCTCCCTCACTCTAACTGTTCTTTGCCACAAATTGCTACAAGCACAAACAACACTTGTCATTTTAAAAAAAAAAAAAAAAAAAAAAACACCCACAGCATTCCATTTACCAAAACAACTGCTAAAAGATGACATCACCGGGGCTAAATTTGCTAAAGTATAACTCCGACCCAAATATAGCTTGATGGACTGAACTGTTCTGACATTTGTAGAGGAGGTCAGTGGAATTCACTGATCCACACATTCATTTCAGCTGGAAACACTGAACATTTATTTTTACTATAACCTGTAACATCCGTTGCAGGTCGTCAGGCTCTAAATAAGCAAAATGTTAGCCTTTTGATTCTTACAGAAGCCTTGACCCGTTTGATTAAACCAATCAAACTGCTTCTGGCAGTATAATTTGAGTAATGTAATTTGCTGGGAAAATGTATTCATTCTATAAATGCCAACCAATCCTATTGTACTTTAAACTGCACAATAAAAATCACCCTGCTGCTCCGAGGGTACACCCCTTGAATCGCACACTAAAAATCACATTGCCCTTGAAAGGCAACGCAGAAAAAACACCCCACCACAAGAAAAGCTGGACAACTTGGAATTCATCCGAGCAAAGCAAAAGCTTCAGAAAGTGGACGTGGCCGATGAACGTGTAAATCTCCCGAGGTGCCCGCGGCGTCCCCCTACGTTGACCTCCTGCCTGACAGAAACACGTCGACGTATTGGGTCATCAGGTAGTCCGATACTTACACAAACTCTCCCCTGCGCTCAATTAGTGACAGCAGTCTGGGCTCCTTCTGGCCAGCCCGCAGCTCCTGGACTTTCACAGTGTGAGGAGCATCACAATCAAGGAATTATTTTTGGACTGAGGATGAGAATGTTTCGTGGACATCACAAGCACTGAGATGTTATTTTACCACAGCTGCAGACGGACAGACAGACAGACAGACAGACACACTCAGGGGTGATGGTCTTTGTTAGAAGGAGCCATGCTTGTTGATCCAGAGGCAAATTAGCGTGAGGAAAGAACAGGCCGGACAGCACTGATGGATAAGAAAAAGGGGCCGAGTTGGTTAGTGGCAGCCAATGTGACATTAACGTGACATAAATCACGCAGAACGTTTGTCAGCCAAAGAACAATGTGGTTTAATTTAACATTCGTGAGCTAAAATGAGCCTGGTCATATCGGTGTGCAGCTTACTAGTGAACTGAACTCAAAAGTCGGCTGTAACGTCGGTTCTAAAACAAACAGGGAAAATTAACTCTTATGAGTGAACCAGCAACGCCTCGCTTAAATTGCTTAACGCTGTCAACTTGTTGTTAAAACTGTCAAATTAGCCGAATTAACTGACGTTAACTCATATTACCTGACGTCACGGCTAACGTTAGCCAACGAGCTAACGCAAACTGGAGCTAAAAAGAAAACACACTCGTACAGATGAGATTATAACGTAATTCAAAAGGATATTGCCAAGCACACTTCGTCGCTTATCCCCAACGAGGACTCCATTCTTACCGAGTTATGACAAACAGCAAGTTATCATTAAATAGCGACTTGGTGTTGATTCGGTCCGGGAGAGAGAAAGTTAAATCTCCACCCGGTGCGGCGGCCTTCCGGAGTGACAGCTGAGTGTTGCTAATGCTAACCGCTTGTTAGCCGGCGGTGATGGTGGGTGGTGGTGGTGGTGGTGTTGTTGTTGTTGTTGTTGATGGTGGTGGTGGATGCGGGCCGGAATGTCCAATTAGAGTCGGGAAGTCACGATATCCCGATACGTGAGCTCCATTCTTCAAAACGCCTTTGGGGGGTTTCTGGTCTGAACAGGTTGGCTGACTGACGCTGCTACATGTCTGATTTAAGCTAACGTTGGCTGTTTGACGATACGACAGACTAGAGAGTTTAAGAAGCGCACTGCCTCCCTCGTCTGTCCCACAGCTCGAGTTAAGAACTAACGTCACAATGTAAATAACGCCACCTTCCGCCTCGGAGTGTGGACCGGGTGGGTACAAAGATGCGTGCCAACCCCAAAGAGAGGTGACACGATGTTTATTTTGATGTCATCTAACAGTTCATGCAGCTGAATGCATTTGAATTGACAACCATAAAAAGACAGAAATCGTTGCATTTTTGCAGCTTCTACGAATGTGTCTATTTGCTGCTTCAATTTTTAAAACAGTTGTAGTGAAGATATGTGAGACTTTGTCATTGTGATTTCATTTCTCACAATTTTTTAGACTTTTTACAAACCAAGCAATCAATAGATTTGTGTCTACTTGTGTGTACTTGCACTTGTGTGAAAATATCATAAATTAATTTGTAAACTGTCAAATAGTACAATCACTCTCTAAAATGAAGGACCGAAACAACTGTAGGAATAATATTATTTGAGGCAGGGTCTGAATCACAATTTGGTTAACAGTGAATTTAAATAGCATATTGTGTGATGTAAATCTGAAGAAAGATTGTAATTAATCCAACGCATTAGGATTTTGTATTTCTCACTCTTTACTGTTAGTCACTTTGCCATGACTGACAATACATGGATAATTAAATTAAAGTACGTCATTTCAGTCCACAACTTAAATCTTTCCACAAGTATGCTTTCAAAGTAGTTTCACGCATACATTTTACTCTTAGGTTACTCTCAGTGGTTGTAGGTTTTAATCTTATGAATGGCGTAAGGGCTCGAGTCTCGATGTGGCCAGATGTCTCCGTTGGGCAGATCCCTCGTCTGTTCCGCCTCTCGGTCAACCATCTCCACCGCCAACGTGGAAGCACTGAGGACTTCTGTCGTGCGGTAGGACTGTGTGAGGCGACGGAATGACGACGTGTCTGAGACGTCATCGTCGAAGAGGTCCTCCATGAGCTCCTCGCGCTTCCTGCGAGACGCCTTCAACTCCTCCTTCAGGTCAGCGGCCAGGTTTTTAACGTCCCTCACCAGCGTGGACCGTATGCCGAACAGGCAGAGCAGGAACACCAGACCAGCACAGATGCCGGAGACAAAGTACAGAGCAACTCGCTCTGGGAAATCTGGAAGAGATCGATGCATGCGATGCTCATCAAAACAAGTAAAAAGTGTACCGATACAATTTACCGAAATGTGCCCTATGTTTTTATATCTAAAGGGGCTAAGGGGACAAAAATACTTTGAGCTGACACACCCTAACACACCGGTATAACCCTTTACTCGTGTGTTGGAACAACAATGAGAAGTCAACCCTTGCCTGACGTTTACAGGCGTCAGTGCACATACCCAATATTTTTTCAATGATCTCCAGATAGTTGGTAAAGAGCACGTTTTGAGGCCTGTAGGTGGGGCCAGTGTACCATCCACCTGCAGGTGAGAGGGGTCTGGGCTCAGTCTGCTGCGTGCCACAATACCTGTGCATCGTTTCTGCTTACGCTCACCATGTGTGTAGTCTGAGATCATGAAGGGATCCGTTGACCCTCGACCCACATCCTCCAGAAGATACCGGGGCACTGAAAGGAACGTTTTTTGATTTTTATTTTTGTTAACCTAATGCAGCAAATCGTGTCACATCCAGTTTACGCCTAGTTTGTGTCTTACCACAAGTGAAGGAGACTCGCAGGTGCTTCCTGGTGCCGGGGAAGCAGGGGTCCCCGAAGGTTTGGGTATCGGCCACCAATGAGCAGTTCGCTCTGCTGTGACACCTGCGTGACACTTTCCTCAGAGCCGAAGAGGACAAACACTCTGGAATATATTCATTAAAGCATGAATGAGTTAGTGTAATATGTTCGTTGTAATAAATCAGTCAATTAATGCAACTTTAGGCTCAGGTTTCAAATGAAATACATTGGGCACACAAAGTATTCTCCATTTCGTCTATAGAACTGATATTTGTTCCAAATTCGGGCCACTAGATGACTCTAAAGCGCCTGGTGTCCGACCCATGTCCGTGTGCGATCCGTGTTCCTGAGGGCAGTAAGGGCTGCCGTGCAGCAGGTGTCCAAACGTGGCCGAGTAGATCGCCAGGACGGTTTCGTTTTTACACATCAGCCTCAGTCGCTCATTTTCACACACCAGCCTCGTGCGGTGGTGTTCTGAAAAAAGCAGATGGCACAAACACACGATTACAGAGAGGCATTTCGATAACTTTTTCATTGTAGCTGTTGAATAACACATTTTATCTTACAGCCGTGCTGCCTTAAAACCAACGGTTTTATTTGTTTTGTCAAATTTGCTGACAAAAGTCAGATAGTCCTACAGTCATTTTCAAACTAAACTTTCGTGCTTGGTAGAAATGAATGTGAAGTAGAGGACTTGAGTAGAAGACTATAGGGACATACCTGGTCTGCACTTGTAGGAGACTAGAAGGTACTTGCTGGTGAGGGGACAGGGGTCCTGCCCAAATACCGGACTTAAAACAGGGATGTGACAGAACCGCCGATCCCGGCACTCTGACTCCACTTTCTGCGAGCAAAACATGTGTGTGCGTGTGTGTGTCATCTTCTGTGTGGGTCAGGATGCCATTTTGGACTTGATTTCACATTTGTCTCACTGTGGATTTGTTTACCTGGATAGCAACTGGGGAGGTGCATTCTTTATCCTCCTCCGCAGTTGTGTTTGCGGAGGGACATAAGTGCTGATTGGGAACACGTCGTCCGTAGAAAGCTGAGACGACGGCCACGGACGTCCTCGAGGGGCACTCGATGACGAGCGTGTCTCCTTCACAAGCGTGAGCGGTGTGGTTCTTCAGGATGTTGTGCAGATAAACTGAGAAAGAACACAACATGATGATAATTTCACTTCAAGTGGGAGACACTTTTTAAGTTATTTACAGTACAAATGTGGTGGGGGGGGGGGGTGCTGGATGTAGGGTGCTTATTAAGACAGAAGAGTGGTTGGATATGTCACTTTGACCTTAAATTTATAAGTAAGAGCAGTAAAACCAGGGTGTCAGATTGGATTAATTGCTAGTAAGACAATTGTTTTCCCTTCTAGAAACTACTGGATGACTCCCATCTTTATAAATAATACCCTTCATCAATCTTATGAGAAGTTTTCTTTCAATCCTTGTGGTTGGGCCCTGGCTCTCGACTGGTTGGCGTCCCAGTCACTGGGTGCAGCTCTCCAACACAATGTTTGCACAATAACTCCACACACATACACAAATGCATGACAACAGAGCATAGCGAGTCAAGTCCCCCCACTGGTCTGTGTGTGTGTGTGTGTGTGTGTGTGTGTGTGTGTGTGTGTGTGTGTGTGTGTGTGTGTGTGTGTGTGTGTGTGTTCAAGGAGCAGATGAGAGGCAGTACCAGGCGCTCACTCACAATGAACTATTATTAGGCTCCTCAGAGTCTGCAGCCGCATAAAAAATGGAAACCTCTATCTGAGGTCAGATAGAGAGATACACTGCTCATAATAGATAAAACCTACCTCTGACTTTGTGTGAACATAATCATTGTTAGCATAATGTCATCCGTCACGCGTTGTGGTCAAGAGTCAAAACGACTGTAGTTTATGTAATGCTTCGGGAGTGTCTATTCTGTGAATATCTAAGTTCAGGACCTGGACCTTCAGGAGCCTCTTTACCCTGATTGTGGTCTTTCGGCATGAGTTCCACCAGCTGTTTTGGAAAGCAGGATGTGAAGATGATGATTAGGGGATGCTTGATGTCCATCAGAAGCTTCCTTTGCAGTTACAGTTTACAGCCGAATTGTAACCAGTCAGCGTTGTTTCTTTCCCCTCAAAAAAGAAAAGAAATTATAGACACAAAAAACACTTACGAGACAAATCGAGAGCCGAATGTGCGGTGTGGATCTTCAGAGACGAAAGAAGAGATAAGAACAAGCAGTAACTCCACGGCGATGTCATTGTGTACTTCCTGCATGACAGACCTCAGGGTGCGTCGCACTGATTTGTTTTGCGATTGACTGCCCGGGGGAGAGCGATCTGTAGGTCAATGATGCCATTGTTTTTACACCAAACAGCCGCCCCCTTGGAGCCAGCTGCAGTGCTGCTTCAGCTATAGGCTATGTATTGTCGGGATGTCCGATCCCCCCGAGTTGGTTGATGAGAAGGATCGCAGCACGTTGATCAATTAAAGTCAAAAAGTTAACATTTATTTAGAAGAGAAAAAGATTACAAGAGCAATTCTCCGCAGATATCTGGCTCCAACTATTGCTTGCAAGCAGGAGGTCAAACACACACGCGTTGGGTGTAATGGCGTCTCCGAGCAGTAAAAACGCTGAGTTTTTATACACATGTGAAGGACATTCTCCGTGCCAGTTACGAGAAGCTACAAAGCTGGTTGAGATAAGAACCCAGGTGAAGCTGAGGGTAGCACACACACAGACAAGATCATCCTCAGTGGCCGGTGCAAATCATAATTAATTGACATAAATTACAAACGTGGATCCGAGAACTTTCGTACCGAATAAGATATGAACCAAGTCCATGAACAGAAGTCTTTTGTTTTGAAGCGTCTATGAGATCGAGTCGACCGCCCTCCCTTCTTCTTCTTCAGGACAAAGCTGCAAACTAACATTTTGTATCATGCTGCTCTTTGCACGTCAGGGTCAAATACGGACACTTGAGACACGACTTTAGCACAAGACAATGTTTTAACATATTTTACCACTACATGCATCTCACAGTATCAATATATATATATATATAATTTTCATGGCGCTTAGGCTATGAACACCTTATGTATATAGCCTATATTTACACTCAAGTTGTTTGGTTTGTATTAATGTTCAGTTTGCGCTGGTTATAATCCACTTCTATGCAGAGCCAGGCTACTCCCATCCTAGCTCTGCTAGCTTTGGGATTGGGTGTCTTGCTCAGGGACACCTCAACACGGGACGTGGAGCTGCCGGGGTTCGTACTGCAGACCTTGCAGTTCCCGGTGCACTCTGTTTACTCCATGCGCCACCGTCACGTGGTGTTTGGGCTTTTCATCAAAAGCTAAGTCGGCAAAGAGAGAAAATAAACAATGAACGTCTGTCAAAAACCGTTTCTGTTTAGAAATTACAAAACACAGTCCTGTTGAATCCTTTACACCAGCTTACTGGTCTTTGCACGTGTGTGTGTGTGTGTGTGTGTGTGTGTGTGTGTGTGTGTGTGTGTGTGTGTGTGTAGTGACAAAATTAAGACTCATTCTCTTGAACTGGGATTTCAACAGTGAGGGTCATGTTCATGGAGATAAGCCGCTGGTTTCCAGGAGGTCACTTCCAGCGGCTGTGTGTGTCCAGTGGAGATATGTGGATCTCAACACGAGCTTTCCTATCTTTTTGTCGGTGGATGAGGAAGTGAAGGTCACTGTCAAGTTTTTTTTTACTCTTCCCAGAAACACTCTCTTCTGTTTAATGTCCACTCTGCGTAGCCCGAATCAGTTGGTTCCAGTTTACAATAAACTGGAGTTGTGTCCTCTCTGATTGTTCCCTCTCTTTCTCAACCCTGTTGTGTGGCGGCTGTTGTTATACCAAACAAACACTGACAAATAATCCTTGTGAAATTATTCTGACTGACCTTATCAGCGATTGCAGCAACTTGGTGATGGTGAATTGAAATGCATATCTGAATGGCACGTCAGTAATTTATCACGCAGGCTCCAATAAACACTCCCTCCGTGGCCGCGGGGAGGACGGAATTTACGGAGGCCAAGGAGGCCGCATTTTAATCAGGTGCACAAGTAAGAGTGACACTCCCACCTTACACTCCAGTAAAATTCCATTCACCTCCCATAGGATGTGTCCATAAGGAGACGGCTGATCCCTCAACACCCTCTATTTGGAGGAGGGTTGGTACCACTGTGTGGGAAGGGAGATTAGCTCTCAGGTATTTGAAAACTCTCAGGACATAACCTCCCTCACTTTGTAGGTTTTTCAACAACCTTCTCTGCCACTGAATTTCTATGATGGTCTAGTGTGATTCATCAGGATTCCAGGATTTCATTGAAATTTCAATGTGATGGGTTTCTTTTTTTATGGCACAAACCCACTTAAAACAAACCTCACGTAGCGGTGTATCTTACTTTTGTATGAATTCCTAGTAACACATTGCATAATTCTGCACATGATGCGTGTCTCATTTCTTTAGGGAAGTCTGAACCACAGTAGGGGGATTTTGTCATAACATCGCTTTTCCCCTTTTTACTGTAAGTGATAGTATTTTGCAGTGAGCCAAACCCTCTCCCCAAACTCTTTATAATATGTGGGTCATGAAACGCAACTGCCGCATTATTCAATTCTAATGAACACTTTACAAAGAATTGTATGCAAGTTAAAAGCAGATTTAAAAAAATGTTTAAGTATAAAGTCAAAGGATTTATTACTTTGCCTCCTCTACTCATGCAAAACAAGCACTAATTCAAAGAAACGCTTCACCAATTTTTGTTTTATACCCACAACACTGAGGGGATTCCCTTCACCAAGACGCATTACTCAAAAAACAACTGAAATATCCCTTCTTTGTTTGGGATAGACCCAACTCGACCTTTCTGTGGGATTAAGGGAAATCATAATAATAGAAAAATAATTCACCATAAAAACCAACAGCAAGTTACACTAACACATTTATGTTAACTAATAAAATTACAAACTGATTTGAGGAAGAATCCCTGTGACTTTTCAACTTTTGGTTTCATTTCTTGCATCACTGACACCAAAACAAACATTCTGTGTAAATCAACCAGATTTCAATCAACCGTGCCAAGTTAAGGCTACTTTCTACCAAAATGAATTGTGTAAATTAGTGTTTTGAGTCACTGTTATCAGTTCCTGTGTATCGCAATATGCAGTAGAAACCTATTTTAAGCTCATAGATTCTGGCATCGTCTTTATAAGAGGGAGCACGCACCCCGCCCATTTCTCTGGGTCCTCCCTCTCCTCCTGACTAGTGAAGTATGTTCAGGGCGATAGCCTTCAAGGAGCCCACAGACCAAACCCAACCAGCTGGGTGTTTCACTTTCTCCTGACATCCACGACCACAGAGACACCCGAAACCACAGCGGCGTTTGTTCGAGGGCTCTGCTGTCAGATTTCAGAGTTTTTTCTCTTTCTTCAGCTCCGCGGGTGGATTTCTGGGGTGCAAAGAACCCAAGGGGGAAGCTTTTTAATGAAGAGAAGTGAATTTAACTTTTTGGGGGACGACATGGCACTCCGGCAGGACTCTGAGAAGGAGCCCAGCGTTGAGTTGTTCATTAAGGTCAGTCATTTCTCTTTCAGTTTTGTTAAATACTTGAAAGGATGTGAGGGAAAATGAATTACAACTGTTTACACTCTAAAGAAGAACTGGAACTGGAAATCCCTCTTTCTCTCTCTCTCTCTCTTAAATTTTTTATATCCTCTCTGAGAGAAGAAAATGAACAAAGAATTTGCTCCTCACCACTATTGTAAAATAGTAGAAATCTACAGTATTTTGCTTCATGACCAATCAGAGGGCAGGAACAGGAGACCTGTTCTACAGAAGTGTTTGTATCCGAGGGTCGCGGGACATTTTCTACCCCTGAACTCACGCTGGTCACCTTATCATGGCCCTCACAGACGGAGCTGAGAGCGTGCAGGGTGACTGGCCTCCAGCCGGAGCCGACCACACCCACTTTACTGACGCACACGTTCCCATGTGGTTCCCCATATTGAGGCATAAACAACCTCTGGCCCAATCGCCACGCGTTTACATACATCAGGATCTCTTCATTATATTCATGCTACACATGGGAACATTATGTTCTTGATTTTTGTCTCTTCTGATATATAAAACAAGGCCAAGTAATTGCAAGTCGTAAACATGTATTATCTATCTTTGTAGATAAGATTCAGTCCCTTAAAAGAAAAAAAATGATTTTTTTGCTTCAACGCTAAAAATTGGATGAGAAAATTAATACCAATGTCGTGGTTGAATTGGATTGTCATTCTTTGCCTAGAGCAAACAAGATGGAAATAGTTATGTAGGTTTATCTTTGGACAGAGCCAAGCTAACTGTTTCCTGTGTTTATGCTAAGCTAAGCTTAGCTGTACACAACAGTGAAAACAGTATCAATCTTCTCAGCTAACTTCCTACAAGAAAACAAATCACATCCTAAAATGTCAAATTTACCTTTGATATTAAGAGAGGAGTCTCCTTTTTCCACTACAACACAATGTCGGCTTTTCCCTCCATTGAGGAACCCGCCCGGACGCACTTTTCACTTGTTTATCAGCAAATGCGAGGGGAAGAGAAATGCTGTGAAACGGGACCATTGTGGCTCATGTTGCCGTTCAACTAAACATTAGTTTCTGTGTTTTTCAGGCCGGACATGATGGCGAGAACGTGGGGAACTGCCCCTTCTGTCAGAGGCTCTTCATGGTCTTATGGCTGAAAGGAGTCAAGTTTACAGTCACCACTGTTGACATGAGGAAGTAAGCTCCCCTCCTCTTCCTGAGCATCTGGTCCCAGGGACTGTGACACAGAACTCGCTTAAAGAAGCAAACCAGTGAGAAACTGAGAGTAACGCACACCATTCCTTACTTGTCAAAGGTGTGTTGCGCACATTGTTCCTCTGAGGTTGGAGTGTACAAAGACCTCTGTGTCGGCGTCAAACAAACAGCGTCTTTAATTGCTGCTTTATTGTGTGAGTTTCTTAGAGCCGTTACCGGTGAACAAATACGATCGGGAAAACTTTGCAAAGGGCGATGATGACTGAATGAGTCAGAACACACGCACACAGAAAGCCTTTGAAACGGCAAACTCCTCCCAGCGCCTAAATGCTTAAACCATCAATCCACACAGCCGCGTTTTGTTCTGACAACCTCGATAACCAACGCGCTCTCCGCTTCGACGTGCACGACAACGATCTTGATTGAACAAACTGGTATGAATACGTCTAACGGGTTTTGGTGCGGGCCCCCCCCCCCGCCCCCATCCTCCCTCTCCATCTTTTCCCGTCCTCCCGCTCCAGAAAGCCAGCCGAGCTCAAAGACCTGGCCCCCGGCACCAACCCTCCTTTCCTCCTCTACAACGGCACCCTCAAAACAGACTTCATCAAAATCGAGGAGTTCCTTGAACAAACACTGGCCCCTCCCAGGTATTGTTTCCCATAATCATTGCCCAAATATCAGGTTAATGGACGATGGCTGATTCACATCCGAGAGGTTTACTCCCAGGTTTCTCCCTTCGCCTCCCGCAGGTATCCTCACCTCAGCCCACTAAGCAAAGAGTCCTTTGACGTGGGTGCCGACATTTTTGCAAAGTTCTCTGCTTTCATCAAGAACAGTCCCAACAACACCTGTGAGTTGAATACCGTTGCGCTTCATCAAACATGTCGATCTTAACTGAGGGGCGTGATGTAAAGATGCAAAGAAAAGTGATTCATACACTTTCAATGTGTTTTCACCGGACTTCATGTTAGACTAGATGTTGAACTTAGTACTAAGGACTGTACTTAAATTCAATATGGAGGTACTTTTATTTCCAGTTTATGTTATTAATAATAGAAAAAGACAAATAAATACATGTTAACTTACAAATATAAAATAATCAGTGATAACAACCCAATAAAAGAAACTGTACGGGTTATTCTGCATCATGAGTACTCTTATTTCTGTACCTCTAACAGAGAGAATTGTGGGAATGATACTTATTCTTCCACTTTTAAATAAACGTAGTGGATTAACTCTTATAAAATATTTGTTAGTCACATTTCGCCTCTCGGCACCTCTCTGTGTTTCTGACCCTCCAGTCCATGAGAAAAACCTGCTGCGGGAGTTCAAGCGTCTGGACATCTACCTGAACTCGCCCCTCCCCGAAGAGATTGACCTCAACTCCAGAGAAACCATCACCGTCTCCAAGAGGAAGTTTCTGGACGGCGACCGGCTCACCTTAGCCGACTGCAACCTGCTGCCCAAACTGCACGTGATCAGGGTAAGACAGGCCTTCACACTTCATTTGAGGTCATTTCTGGTATTGTTTAGTTTTTTTGAGGTACTTGGAATTTGACTTACTCAGCAGTTCCATTGTATTGTATTTTGAACTTTAAACTTAGGGGAAATATTGCACTTTTTACTCCACATAATATTTTCCTATTAGGATTTTACATAGAAAACACAAAATGCATTTTTAACGATACATATTAACAGTTTTACACATTTAACTGTTTACCACATTTAACTGTTTCACTGTAGAGGTGAAAATCGTTTTGTTAAATAAAAAGTCAAAAAATGAATACACATATGTGTATAAGACCTTTTTATAACCTATAATAATATGGAATACTTTGATATTATTGTATTGGTACTTTTTCTTGAGTAAAAAGCCTTTAGGTATAATCATCTTTCTTCTTCATTTGTTCTTCAGATCGCTTCCAAGAAGTACTGCGACTTTGACATTCCCGCAGAGTTCACAGGCGTGTGGCGATACCTTCAGAACGCCTACCAGAGAGAGGAGTTCAAACAGACGTGTCCCGCCGACATCGAGATCGAGAAAACTTACTTCACCGTGGCCAACAAGAGGAAGTAAAACCTTTTGAATTGTCTGTAATCAATGGGCTGTTTTCGGTCATTGTAACTGTGCATGTAAAGATGGCGATCTGCAGAAACAAGAATAAACTGTGGCAATGGATCAGACACACTTTCACCTGAAAAAAACATTTCACCTGTTGCTGCAGTACGACTTTGGGACGAGCTGAAGACAAATGTTTTATTGTTTATGTGTATTGACTGTTTATCCTTAGTCACTCACAGACAGTTGGCCAAATGTGCAATCCATGTTTATATTTATATTGTAAATAAATATTTTTCCAGGCTTTTTAAGATCAAAACACCCTAATTAAAATCCATATATGATTGTGTTGGTGTGAGCTCACACACATTTCATTTCTATACAAATCATTAAATACACCGCTGTACCTGGTATGATTCAATTGTCTCACTATCACACTAATAAAGAACATCAAATGTATTTGTATGCTGACTCGTTTTTTTAATACTCCATTCCTTAGGTCAAATAAATAAATAGTAAATACCTTCAAAATATCAAAACCAAAAGCAGGCATACATTTTTTTTCTGATACGCAAGTTTATTCTCAGCCTCAAAAATATATCTGTTGATCTGGTACAACGGTAAATATACCGTTTGATGGTAAAATGATGGAGGGTTTCCCAACGTGCCAAAAGCACACCAAACGTCGTGCAGCTGCCGGGCTCTAGTTGGTGACGCAGTACTTCCAGAAACACGCTATCAGGCATCAGAGAGGGCAGAAATGCAAGAAACATTTCAGGAATCAACAATGCATGTTCTAATGTATAACATATTTTTACACATATAACACTTTTTACACTTTGCCTAAACTCCTTGAGCTTATGACATTTAATATTTATTATACGAGTCACCTAACGTCAATCTGTTTCTCCATATGGACAGAGAGTGTTACAAGTTGTACAGATTGTAACGTCCTTTAAAGGTAATTTGTGGCTTTGTACATCCTTCGTCAACATATTTGAGTGTACTTATACTTTACTTGTATGGTAATAATTTACTCCATACCACCTTATTTCATAATCAGTAAAGATGTACAACACATAATGATTTCATTGTAAGTGAGATATAAATTATTATTAGACTGTTTATCAACAACTATAACTCCTTAAAGGGAAGCTCATAAATAAACAGATGACAACAAAAAAAAAAAACTTTTTACGATATAATATATGACTTTTGTGTGTGTGTGTGTGTGTGTGTGTGTGTGTGTGTGTGTGTGTGTGTGTGTGTGTGTGTGTGTGTGTGTGTGTGTGTGTGTAAATATTGTGAAGCATGCTTGACAGTGGGGGAGAAACACACCTCTTTTGTTTGCCTTTGGCAAGTTCTGTTCTGATCTAAGAAAACCTTGAGAGCGAAGCCTGTCAGCTGCTTCCATCTTCAACACGGCTTCTCTCAGGTCCTCCACCTAAAATCAAGAAAAAAAAACAAGATGCTGATATATATTCTTTTACAATAAAGACTTATATTCAAAGGATATGCATTTGATTTCAGAGTCCCCAAACTCTGGAACAGCCCTTAAACATTCACTTGTTGCCTCATTTACTTTCATTATCATCTGCATACAGCACAATGAGCCATTTCACAATTAATTCTTTTCCATTGCATGTCAATGCAGCATACTGGGTGTATTTATTTCCTTTCTTAAATGTCAAAGATGGTCGGTCTTACCATGTTTGCAAACTTATCTTGCTGCTCAGAATCTTTAGCTCCTTAAAAAAAACAATAATATCAGAATTAACAAAACCATTACTTTGACTATATGTGACACGTTTATCAGGATAATATGTGTGTTACTATTACCTGTATTCCAGGACTCCATCCCTCTGTTGTGCTTCATCAGCAGAGGATACAGATTATTCACCTCTCTCTGCTCCGCCGCGGCAGTGTTGGGTCCATCCTGCACCTCTGACACTAATTTCTGAAGGAAATCTGTTGATATGAACATCCCTCTCATCATCCTGTCATTGTGACACAAAGATTCTTGCAGCAGAATAACTTTTTTTGTCATATCTTAAATTAACTAGACCAAAAAAGATTATTCAAACATTTTATGAAAGTTAAGAACCTGGTGAAGACATTTCTGAAGAATAGGAACAGTTTCTCCATGTTTTCTAGATGTTGTCTATAATTTTAATCTTTCAGCTGCACACTCTACCAACCGAGTTGAAGACGTGCAGAGGTGAGTAGTGCAAAGAGTACAGACAGGGCCTTACCTGCCTGCGGCTCCAAGCTGGTATCGGGGTACAAAGGAAGCGCATGTGTCCGTCTTCCAGAACAAATCACAGCTACGAGGTAGAACAGAGCTACAGAAATCATGGTGCCGCTGTCTCTTGATGGCCGGATTCTGGTCCGTAACTCTGCCCGGCAAAGAACTTTGCTTATATATCCTCAGTGGCCATCCATCACGATCGGATCAATACATTATCATCACACCCAGTCTCTTCTTAATGGTTTTGACGCCATGGATCGGGCGTCATAGACACAATTTAGGGCACCCTGTCAATTGAGGCAGAGCCTATCTTTGCTTGTGCAGAGAGGCCAAACAAATGTTTACTCTGCTGCAGTAATCAGCGGCTGTCCGGCAGAGCTCTGATGGTTTATGTCCGACACCGTTTGTGTGTGATGGGCTGCTCCAAAGTGTCATTGCTCATGTCCGAAATACACAGCAGGTGAAAATATGTCCCTGCAGGTTTGTATGTCACTTTGTGTTGAATCGCTAACAATTCTAAAGCCTTAAATTATGCCTGTTTGAGGAAGCAGACACACTGAAGTTAAAGGCACAATTAATAGTAACAATTTGTTCTTGTGTCGTGCTTTTTGTTCATCTGGAGTATCATTTGGAATTTTTTACTCCCGCACAGTTATCATTTCTACTTGTAGTTCCACTACGTTGCCACCTTCAGGAATCAGGAATCAGGAATCAGGAAACATTTATTGCCAAAATATGTCAAACATACAAGGAATTTGTCTTGGCGGTTGGTGCGTGACAGTAGACAGTGTAACAACAGACAATAAGACAGCAGTGCACAAGTAATAAAATACAATAAAATGAAATGGTAATGCAATGGGTTAGTAGAATAAGGCTATGGGTTAGTATAAAACAAGAGAATAAAGTTAAAGTTAAAAATTTAAAATATTTTACATAATAAAAAAACAATAAGTTAAAAAATATTAAACATAAAGTGCACTGGCGAACAAGTGACAGCCAATGAGTTAAACCAACATATGAGCTGCACATCACACATACATATTTTTTTTTTCAAGTTGGATTTGAAACGATATATAGTGCATTTCCTAATTTGTTTGAAATAGTTCTGCTCGATTTCTCTCGCAAGTACGATATTAAATTGTTCATCATATATCATTAGCAGTTACCATCACAAAACGTTAAGATGTTGTTGGTGCTAGATGGTCTATGGAGCTTTTTGTCAAACTGAAAAGTCATTAATGCTCCTCAGATGAGTTTGTGACATCAGGTGATTTATACGGTTGTCTCCACAATGTTGAAAACAACAACATTTGATGCATTTGGCGACTGAGGTGTCAGTGGGAAGAGGTAAAAGCACATCAAAGCAGTGACTTCAAACCAGACAGAGAAATGGCCCATCTGGAAAAGGAAGGAAGCAGTAACGTATTATCAATGTTAACATGACATGCAGGATTTCTTTCATGTGGGAATCGTGATCACAGGAAGAGTACTTTTTTAGGTCGTAAGTGGTGCATGTATTTAAGGAGAAGAATAATCAGCAAAATAAAAGTCCTTGTTTTGGTGTAGCTGTCATATTATCATCATTAAATGATGCACCTGGGGCCGAATATGAAGTTCAGTATAGTCCAGTGGTTTTGAACATGCGGGTGGATCTCTGTTCCCAAGATAAATCTGAGCAGATGATTCTTTGTTGTAGGAGAGGATTCCGCTAGACAGATTCGCATTCATTCTTTCAAACTCTTTTTTTGTCAAATATTTGATCTTTGTCTTTTTTTTTAAATGAAATCTGAGAAGTTTAGAGATGATATTTATCTCTCTGGTGGAACCTTTAGAATAATACGTCTTTTATAACGTGTTTTACTTCATGTATTCAATATTCAAATTCAATCCAGTTATTGAATATTCCATTTAAAATAAGTGTTATTTTTACTGCTTGCGTATTACTACGTTTAGCACGCGCTAACAATGTAACCCGACGGGGCTATTGGATAGAGACCTCGTCACGTGACCGCCGTATGCGGAAGTAGCTCACAGTGAGCAACTCTCCGGTAATCATGCGACGGACTGACGGCAGTTGTTGACTGACTACCCGTCAGGACTTCGGCAGTCCCACCAAACAGTTGAAGCCGGTAGACGAGCGAAAGCAGGGGCTCCACCTGGCGCGTCAGCCTTAACCAGAGCAAGGTAACAATGCTCTTTGTCCTTTTTTTTCCTTCTTTTTTTGTATGTATGATGCTAACGAAACACCCCGAGTGTGACGTGAACCGTGCGATGCTAGCAGGCTAACAGTTAGCGAGCAGTTTGGCACAGCTCCTTGATGTCACTTAATCGTGGCTCGATGACGTGAATGCCAACTAGCTGCCCAGAAATGCTCACCGACGTGTTTAACGTTTCGTCGGAGCACTTCAGCTGGCAAACTCGTTAAAACAAGAAGAACAAGCGTAACGTCATTTTAACGATATCGAATCTGCAAGCAACGCTTCTCGATAAAGGTTTATGAAGACGGTGCAAATAAGTAAATACAGGCTGTTTTTCATATGTTGTCCTCGGCCGAGGTCTAACTGATGACGTCCCAAAGTAAATACAGCTGGAAGCAAAAACAGGGAATGTGGTTAAGAAGGTTAAATGGTTAAATGCACTTTTTCATAAAATACTAGAAAAGTATTGAGTCAATCATATGGCCGAATAAGACCTAAAAAATTATTCTACTTATTATTCAGTCCCTTCCTTCTTCCTGATCATCAATCATAGTACGACTTTAACAGACACACTGATTTCCTAAGCCACGCTGGAGTCCTACAACTGATGGGCTTTAGGCAACCACAGGTTTAGAAAAAAAGTCAACATTTCATAACGTAAATTACGCAATCAACAAAAAGCATGAATAATCCGTAATTTAAACCTTTTACGATCTTATTTAAGCATTCAAGTGCAGGATTCTCATCTCGCACAAGTTGTAAGTATCCATGCCCCACACATAAAGCGACGTCAATCACAAGTGGTTACGAATTGTGCTTTGGAGGCGACAGCTGATTCAATGTATTTTCTCTTTAGTCCGCTGCCAAGATGTTGTCCGAAGGAGGTTACTTCATGAAGGGGATGGCCATGGGAGGCATCTTCTGCTTGCTGCTGTCGCTGCTGGGCAGTTTCAGGCCCGGCGTGGAGTCCGACACGGACAGCCACCATCATCACCATCACGTCCAGGCCTCGGGCAGAGATGAGCTGAGGCGCTTTTCTGACACTGAGATGCAGAAGTTGAGAAATCAAGTCCAGGTCTCTTGCATCATCATGGTCCAGCCCAAGATCCTCGCCTACTGGGCTACTGCGCTGGACACCTGGAGCAAACACTGTGACAAAGCTGTGTTCTACACCTCTGAGTCCACCAAAGCACTCGAGGCGCACGACCTGAATGAAAAAGACGACTGGACGAGGTTGCGCAAAGCCCTAAAGCACGCTTACGACAACGCGGGAGAGCTGCGCTGGTTCTTTGTGGCACAACCCACGACGTTCGCCATCATCGAGAATCTTAAATACCTGGTGCTTGCGAAGGATCCCAACGAGCCCTTTTACCTCGGGAACGCGATGAAGTCAGGGGAGCTCGAGTTCGTGTCGTACGACAGCGGCATCGTTCTAAGTTACGAAGCGCTCAAAAGGCTCGTACGCGTGTTCCAGGACGAGGACAAATGTCCAGAAAGGGGACACGCCCTGTGGAAGCTGAGCGAGGACAAGCAGCTGGCCACGTGTCTCAAGTACACCGGCGTGTTTGCGGAGAACGGAGAGGACTCCCACGGAAAGGGCCTGTTCAACAGCAAGAGCGTGGAGCGCCTGATGGCAGACAGCATGCAGGCCAACCCCAACGACGTGGTGGCGGGCTGCTGCTCCGACGTGGCAGTCACATTCAACGGGATGTCGCCCAATCAAATGCAGGTTATGATGTTCGGAGTCTACAGACTCCGTCCGTACGGCCACGATTTCCACGACTTGTTAGAGTTCAAAGCTCCCGAAGGCTCAGATAATGACTAAATCCGTCAAGCTGGATGCGGCTTTTTTTAAATGTTTTGCTTCTGTGATGGCAAACCTAACTGTGGGGCGATTGGTTTTTCTAATTCTGTTTTTAAAACTGAATCCCAGCTGGTGATAACACGTTTATGTACATTTGTACCCGTTTGCACTTGGCACAATCAGCACCCCGTTCCTTTGGGATAAAGGTACAAAAATAGGCGACGGGTGTGCCGTCCCTTAGGATGAAGACAAAGCGTGGACATATAACTTGTGACATGACTCAATTATCTGAAGTTTTAGTTATGTATCTTAAAAGTTTTTTTCTTTGTGTGGTCTTAATGCTGCTTTAGTTATTAAGTGGCGGTTTTGAAAATAACAGACTGTTCAGTGCTACTTATGAGTGACGTTATCACTGAGAACAGCTATATATTTAAAGACTGTAGGCACACATGATCAATATTGAGTAAAAATCTGGGGGCACAACCAAGCTGCACTGACTTCCACTTAAGAATTAAACAGCTGCATAGGAAATAATAATCCTCAATGTTGACTCCATACTGTATTTTCTTAATTCGCAAGACACACACAGTCTGGTTGTCAGCCTGACAAGATGTTGATTCTTAAATTACTTTTTCATAATTAAATAAAATACAGTTCTGGTTTATTTGTAATGTAGCTCTGTGGTGTTGAATGATCTAACAAGGACTTTTAAAAGGTGGCAATGAGGATGAGTGAAAATCATACAATAGTTTCCAGGTTTGTACCCTGTCAAGCATAATGTGAATATTTGGTAAAGGGAAAATGAACTAATTTCTTATTGGAACTGAATGTATTGAATTGCCGGCAGCTGCGTTGTATATGTTTGTTTTTTTGTTTTTTACCACTTTCAGGTAAACAAATAAAGTTATTGCCGTTCCTACTGCTTGATTCCTTGTATGATTGTAATATGTAGTCTGAGTATGACACAGATTATAAAAACTACTGCACAATAAAGAAGGTTCAGCCGTGGTCGACTTGTGACACCCTGCCACTCCCAGATCCTGGAAGTACGCACACATCCTAGATCAACAAGTGGTCCGGCTACGTCATAACCGCTGACTGAACCAGACGAGTCATGATGAAATATTACCGAGTTTCCAAGTCCATCCCCCATTTTATTATTTCCCAACATACATTTAAATCGCCCAGAACATTAGTAAGCTTGGAGACTAGGTGTTCGGAAATACCAACTGAGATGATTTAAAGCCAGATCTTTTATTTGTGCACATGGTGGTTGATTCACAGCCTTCAGCAGGTTACGCAGCTTAAGTTCTTAGGTGTGACCGGTTGATGGGTAGCTCACGCGTTGCTCTCAGGAGCTCCACACTTGCCAGAGAGAGGGGGGACGGGCGTTGCAGATGATGTCATCATTTATAAGTCTTCATGTGCCACAATCCATCATTCAAATAATGAACGTTCTCAATTCCGATTCCCTTGTTGACTTTTTCTCTGTTTTAAAAAGACAGATTGAAAATCAGGCATCACGAGAACAGCGACAAAGTATTTTATTGTCGCTCGTGTAAAATGTAGAAAAAAAATTATCTCACATGCTGTCTGCAGACATCTTCATAACGCCAACACAAAGTGCTTGTTGTTTTCCCTCCGCCATGATGGCCTGCATCCACTTGTTAAAGACAAACTTGTGCTCAAGTTGATTTACAATGTCAAAGGAGGGTGAGATATGATATTTGTTATAATATTTTATAGTGATAAAGCTTCCCTGCATAAAAAGGATACAACAACGGTGTCAGTGGCAGCTGGGTAGAGTTTAGCGCCCGGCGATGTCAACCCAGGGCACATTATGTTGGCTCCACTCAAAACAAATTTAATGGCGCCTTTGTCTACTTGCTGGTGTGGCAGAATGAAAGGATCTGGGAAAAGATAATTAACCAGCCGTGTGAGGGAACGGAAGCAAAACCATCGAGCAGTTGGCATCAGAGGATCTTACATTTATGCAACAGTCTGAGGGTTGGGTAGAATGGTCCTTCTCTCTGTCTGAAGAAAAGCAGTTCCCCATTCACTGTCAGGATTTCAATGTGTTCATGGCTGTGGGGAAAAATAATTATATTAAAACTGGAGAAGAAAATACACTACTACACCAAAAGCAGATTTCACGTGAACAATTCCACAATAAAATTATTTAAATGATGAGTCATACCATCTCACTATTTTGACAGGATCCTTTTTTGGCATTATGTGATTAAGCCATGACTCAATGTCAGGAAATTGTTCCAAGAGCTGATTTTTGATGCCTTTGATCACTGATGTTTTCAGCTGGATGCAGTTTGAGACGTTCTCCTTCTCGTCAAATCTGAAACCGTAAACAGAGCAGGCTTTTGTGACATGGCCTTCATGTGGCAAAAATCAATTTCACCAAAGACTACAAACGTGCGTCACTAACATGCACAATGGAGTTCACTCATTCTACGATAAGGTAAATACTGGCAGTAAACAATCTTGGTTTAGGTCAAATACCTCGTTTTCAAGCCAATATCAACCAATAACGAAAGATATGCACAGATAGTTTAGGAAAAAGGTTAGTTTACAGTCGTAGAGAACATAACGCACATAAAATACATTCATCAACAATTATGCAAATCATATCACACATCCGTGTATCACATTTCATAGGCGAATTCTTCTAACTGTCGTGTGTACAAATACATTCAATTTTGGGGAAGTATGATGCTCACATTCATTTCAATACAATCTGATAGTTTTGAGAAGGTTGTTAACAGGAAATGTACATATCGATCGTATTATGGGCGAAAAAAAATTATCATAATATCCAAAATGAAATAAAGCTTAGCAAGTAATTCTGAGATGTGCCTCAACATACCCAATTGATGACACGAGTTGGGTTTTAAGGCATTGTATGTTTATAAACCAGAACAGACAGCTCTGACACAATACATATATGTGTTACGATCTGGTTGAATATATCTTAACAAAGGACATCAGAAAATATCAAAACTCGTGTCTCATTAAATGAACTTGAGACGATAACAAACTTGAAGTACGCGATTGCTAATCACTGAGCGTTAGCCACCTAGCTGTGGTTAGCTAACGTTGCAACATGGAAATATTCAGCAACGTACTTTTTAAACATCCTTGTTTGTCGGCTGTCACGGTACCACGTTCCTCAATTGGCACAACCCCTTTGCCGACTCACCGCGCTAGATCGGTTACGGTAAACTCAAGTATCTAATGGAATACAAGCAATGCTACAGCAATCCCACGCCTGTTTAGCAGTCCAGGGCCAGCGGTTTGACGTTTGCGTCGTTTTACGACAGTTGTGTGCGTTACACGGCAGTTTGGGTCAACTGGTCGATGACGTGACTCGAGGCATAAAAACAGAATTGCTTGAAGTATGTATTAGTTGTTGTTTTTGTTCAGTAAAATTATTAATTATTTTTTTGCTACTTAACCAAAACAAAAGAACGAACAAATGAGGACACATTGATGAGCAAAAAAACAACACCTGACATTCAGTCCGCGGCGTTGCCGTGGCGCCACCAGGTGGTCAGACGGGGGTACAACAACCGTGTCTGGTACCTTTTAAAAAAAACACGCTTGGGCAAAAAGTATTTTTTGCACAAAGTACTTCCGGTGGGGTCACCGACTAGCTTTTATAAGGGATCCTCTCTCCCGTGTTTACCAACCCGCTGTTTGGAGTATCACGTGAGCCGATTTGTTGCTTGCGGCTAAATTAATCCTTTAAATAATCATCGTTGTCGGCCGCTTCGTCTGACTGCTCTCACCGAAAAGGACTCCTGCAGCCGGGGGGACGCGAGAGGCGAAAAGAGGAAGCAATAGCCAACCATCTTTCTTCTCCTGCCAGCAATAACAAGAGACGAGGCTGGGTTCAAGTGGATCTGTGTAGTTTACACTTTAATTACCAGTTTTATACTGGATACACGAGTAGAGGGGGAAGGGGGGCACGACGCCGTATCCGCGTTACGATAGATCCCGCTAAAAGCTCGCAGACTCTTGAGCTCATCTCCCCGGCGAGACTGGAAGTTTCGGAACAGAAGACTGGCTCTTAAGAATTTAGTATTCCCGTTTTTTCATGTTTCCAACAGGTTTATCTTCCCCTAATCCCCCACCACCGCCAACCCAGGAGGCCAGACCCTTGAATGCCGATGTCAAAAACGACGGCGTTAGCATCACGTCTCCGAGGAAGAGGAAAATAAACGGCTCAGAGAGGGACGACGCCGCCGAGCCGATCTCCTCTTCGCCCCCCAAGACCCTGAATTCCTCCTCCTCATCCTCCTCCTCCTCTTATTCTCCCACCCCGCTGCACGTCCACAAGAAGTTGAGGTTCGAGGATTCGGCGGATCTCATCGGGCCGGATGTGAAGATGTCCGAGGAGGCCGCCGCCGCCGCCGCTTCGTGCTCCAACAACCGGAGCAAAGCCGCGGGACACCACGCCAACGGACTGACGAAGCCCTGCGGCATCTTCTCCAGCAGCAAGCCCGGCGCCGCGAAGAAACTGGTCATCAAGAACTTCAAAGGTTAGCAGGACGGTCTGGCGTTCACGGCGGTGCGACTTTTAAAAACAAACAAAAAAAACAACAACAACAACAACAACAATAGAAAAAGTGAGCGGCAAGTCGACCCGTCACACGCGGGGCGCGAACACGCGTCTGCGCGCTGCCTGCGGGCTGCGTTTTAATCCCTTCTTAAAATTCTTAAATAATAGTCAGTCAGCTGCCGTTCATTCAGAGCAGATGCACGTGTCACATGTGGGGCGGGAGAAGTTTTGATTTCATGAAGTAGAGACAACGGTGAAACAAAAGTTATTTGAATCCTTGTATGAGTTGCTGAGATTGACTGTTGGTTATTGTGGTAGTTTTTAATCTCGTGATATCATAGTTCCACACATGCAGCATGAGAAAATCTAATCCAGTTGTTTCACACAAAGAATTGGGGACTTGTGTTGTTCATGGCAACAGAGCTCAGGCCAGTTAGATTACCTTTGCAAATGTCCCAGCTGTTTGGCTAATAAAGGATAATTGTATCTTAAATCTAATTCAGCAATATTGGAAAGCTGCACACTTCTTTAATGTGTATTGATGATTCCAGCCACTAACTATTTTAATATGTGGCATTTGTTGATTCATCAGTTTGATATAATACGTTTTTCTTTATCAGGAGGGACCTGCAAACAGGAATCTTCGATAGTCTGACAACAAGAATTAAAAATAAAATGACCAACGATCCGCAAACATACACAGTCCATTGAATCTATTAGGGGGGCAATACGAATCTGCGTTCCGTTTAAAAGTTGCACCTGCTACAGTGCATGTTTAGAATATCTAATATCAAGTAGTTATTGGGTTGTTTACCTGATGAAGAGAGGAAAAGTGTGACCTCTAACAATAGATCTCATTCTTATTGGTAATAAACAGTCGCAGAGTCCTGTTCATATCTTCTTCTTTTTTATTATAATAGAATCCCAACTCACCGTTAATGTTATGTCGAATACCACATAACAGGATATTCGGTTTCGCTATTAACCGGCTATACTTTATAAAGTCGTAAACACAGCACTGGTTACACAGCAGCGTTACGGGCATGAAGAGCTCGAGTTTACAGTCTTATCGCAGCTGTTTGTGTTTCTTTTTCTTTCTGCACACAGAAAAGCCCAAATTGCCTGAGAACTACACGCAGGAGACCTGGCAGAAGCTGAAGGAGGCCGTGGAGGCGATACAGAACAGCACCTCAATCAAGTACAATCTAGAAGAGCTCTATCAGGTATCGCTGCGGCCCCGTCGACCTCCCACAGGAACTTCATCGATAGATAGAAAATGTCCTTTTTTGACACTTTTCTTTTGTGTCCCCCTCCCCCCCCCAAGGCTGTGGAGAACCTTTGCTCCCATAAGATATCTGCCAAGCTTTACAAACAGCTGAGGGCCGTGTGCGAGGACCACATCAAGGCACAAATTGATCAATTCAGAGAATATCCTTCACAGTTTCTACTCCTCCATCTTTACTGCTTGTGCATTCGCATCGAAGCTCTTTTTCCTTAACGCTGTTTGTACGGATGCCCTGGACAGTGTGCTTTTCTTAAAGAAAATTAACAAGTGCTGGCAAGATCACTGCAGACAAATGGTGCGTTTAACAACTTTTTATTATTCAAGTGGCGATTTGTTTCCTAATACATTTTAATGTTTCAATGGTGAAACCGACGATAACCACACCGCCATTAATGCTGCTCTCTAACTCTCTCACAGATCATGGTTAGGAGCATATTTCTGTTTTTGGACCGCACATATGTTTTACAAAATTCAATGCTGCCGTCGATCTGGGTGAGTGAACTCCCCCCCCCCCCCCCCCCCCCCCCCTGCCTGTAGTGTGTGAGCGCTTTCTGTTGTTAAGCGCTGTTGTTGAAACGAGCCGCTCCGGTCTGCAGGGACATGGGCTTGGAACTGTTCAGGTTCTACATCATCAGTGACCTGAAGGTCCAGAGCAAAACCATCGACGGCATCCTGCTGCTCATCGAGCGGGAGCGAAGCGGCGAGGCGATCGACCGCAGCCTGCTGAGGAGCCTGCTGAGCATGCTCTCTGACCTGCAGGTAACCGCTGCGCTGCTTGATAGGATGTCGGCTTCTTCTTGACAAATGGCTTTAATGAAACCTTGCGTTCTCCCCCGGCAGATTTATCAGGACTCCTTTGAGCAACGCTTCTTGGAGGAAACCAATCGGCTGTATGCTGCAGAGGGACAGAGGCTGATGCAGGAGAGAGAGGTGATTTAGACTCCGGGCCAAAGATTTTTCTATTCACGCGCAAAACAGTTTAGCAACTGTGTACTGCGAAAGCAGTTCAAACACAGCATGAAATCCATCACAAAAGAACAAAGTCAACAGCGCTTCCATCAGAATTCAGCAGTAAGTGGTGCCTTCTTGGTGAAGGTGCTGTTTTATCTCAGCTGAAAAGGCTTCTGCTTCTGTTTGCTTTGTTCACGTCTGCACTCTTTATTGTCTCAGCACAGAGCTCAAAACGTTTAGTGTGGGAATATGAGTAAGTAAAACATATATTTATTTATTACTCTGGAGCGAGGGACTTTTAAAAAGGGTAACATGAACTATTCAGGCGGAACTCGACATAATTAGAATGCACTACACGAACAAATGAGATTCAGCCCATCAAAGAGATGCCTTGTTGAATCTTGATGCTAACAGTTTAAAAAACACAACACATTCATTCATGTATCTGATTCTTTTTATGCAGAGGTCTAATCAAGGAAATAAGGCCAGCTGAGTTGATTTCATCTTTTGAATCTCCTTTTCACATTCAGTTAAAAAAATTGTTTTTATGAATGCAATCTTATTAAAGAAAGTTAACTCTTGTTGGACAACATCTACTTTATTGTAGATGGAGCGATGTAAAACATCTCCTAGGGGATTGTGATTTTGGAGGCTGCTCTGATTCCTGTACAGGTTTACACCCGTGGTTGTCAGTTTATAAGGTACACCTGTACAGAACTGCCACCAGTCTGACCTCCCTGAACACTATAATGCTCAGATTCTGTTAAAAATGATTTATGAGTTAATTCATTCCTGGTTATCAATTCAGATTAGCTACATGAGGGGGAAACCTCTCCGTACAATGAACCACAGTTTAACTGTACCACTAAGTACAAAGCGCTAGGTGCTCTGAAATGATCAAACCGTTGAATCCTCCTTACATACACACATTGGTTAGAATAAGATGTACACTGTATCTTACTGTGAACCTATCTATAAGTTCCTCATTGATCTTATGATTGTCTATTTGAATGAACTGCGCTGTGTGAAGTACTGTTTAACATGGGTTATAAAACATAGTGGGCACATATGAAATGTTGTTTGAGTTGTTGGAAGCTGGACAATGTATATTTAACGTAATTGATGTTCAAAGATCACAAAGTACATTTATTTTTGTAGGTACCAGAATATCTCCATCATGTCAACAAGCGCTTAGAGGAGGAGGCAGACCGAGTCATCACGTATCTAGACCAGAGCACACAGTGAGTGACGCACTGTGGTTCATTTGGCTCTTTAGCACTTCAACCTGAGCTTCCTTTTTTTTTTTCCTTCTATTTATTGTTCAGAAAACCGCTCATTGCAACAGTGGAGAAGCAGCTTCTGGGGGAACATCTCACAGCCACCCTGCAAAAAGGTACACACCAGTAAACACTTAGGGGTGGGGGGGGGGAGGGGGGGGCAGCTTGAATTCTCACCTGCTGACTCTCTTGTCGTTGGGCACCTCCAGGACTGACTCACCTGCTGGATGAGAACAGAATTCAGGATCTGTCTCTTCTCTATCAGCTCTTCAGCCGAGTGCGCGGCGGCGTCCAGGTCCTCCTGCAGCACTGGATAGAGTACATAAAGGTATGACGCCGTTAAGGTGGGGTACGAGTCCGAAGGCAAAGCGTGGTCCAAGGGGGCGGAGCTCTCGGGCACTGTTGTTGGGGTTTTTTTTTTGGCTAACTTGTTGTCTCCCGATGTCATGATAAACGAGGCTTTCGGCAGCACGATCGTAATCAACCCGGAAAAGGACAAAACGATGGTGCAAGAGCTGCTGGACTTCAAGGACAAGGTGGATCACGTCATCAACGTCTGCTTCATGAAGAACGAGAAGTTTGTCAACGCCATGAAGGAGGCTTTCGAAACGTTCATCAACAAGCGGCCAAATAAACCCGCAGAGCTGATAGGTCAGTGAGCATCACCCCCCCCCACGCACACTACAAATGTGAACCCGCATCGAAGCATCAGCTGCCATAAATATATTTTTTATTTACAGCAAAACACGTGGATTCAAAGCTAAGGGCAGGAAACAAAGAGGCAACAGACGAAGAACTGGAGAAGATGCTGGATAAGATCATGATAATCTTTAGATTCATCTATGGTAATATTTACTCTCACATTGCTTTGGGTTTAGAACTCCACCCCTCTCTTTTTCATGTAATAATGTGTTTTCATTTAAGGAAAAGATGTTTTTGAGGCCTTTTACAAAAAGGATCTGGCCAAGAGGTTGCTGGTTGGAAAAAGCGCCTCTGTGGACGCTGAAAAATCGATGTTGTCAAAGCTGAAACACGGTAAGTTTCTCAATATATAATCCTAGAGTGTCGCTTCTCTACTCTCACAAAACACCGGAATAAATCACAGGACGGGAATCTCAGCCCTGAACCGTTGCAGTCCCGACAATATTACTGCGATATCTATAGAACATTTTGGGGGAAATAAACAATAAGAACGCAATTAGTCAAATTATCTCAGAAAGAGGAGAGAGAGAATCTGCAACCATCCAAAAAACATTTTTAATGAGGCGCTGGTTTGTTGACGCTATTATCATATGCGTGTTACTAAAATGTAATCCATATTTTATCTCCTAAATATCAAGGTTATTGCCAATAGCAGTATATTGGGACGCCGCCAACCCCAAACACACGTTGACTTATTTTTGGTGCTTCCACAGAATGTGGAGCAGCGTTCACCAGCAAACTGGAGGGGATGTTCAAGGACATGGAACTTTCTAAAGACATTATGGTGCAGTTCAAACAGGTCAGAGCAACGCAGGTCAAAGCTACAACCGTATGCGTGTGAAATGTATCTATAATGCAATGTTTAGTTCTCAGCTCCCTTTTTAGTTGTAATGGGGCCTGTGTGATGACACAATGCTACACCATCTGGCAACAGGTGGCTTTCGGCAATTCAATACTTATTGGGACTGCAGCTAAAGATTATTTCACGTGTGTGTGTGTGTTTCTGTAGTATATGCAGTGCCAAAACATTCCTGGAAACATCGAGCTGACGGTGAACATCCTGACGATGGGCTACTGGCCGACCTACGTCCCGATGGAAGTACACTTGCCTCCGGAGGTTAGTGCCCTGCAAATGTAGAATTTTCTCGCGTGACGGGCTGTTTTTATAACCCGCCGCGCAATAAATGCACCGAGTGTGTCGCTCTGTAACGCCTCCGTTATCGTCGTCCAGATGGTGCGACTGCAGGAGATCTTCAAGACCTTCTACCTGGGCAAACACAGCGGCAGGAAGCTGCAGTGGCAATCGACACTCGGCCACTGTGTCTTAAAAGCTGAATTTAAAGAGGTAGACGACCACTCCCGGAATGCGGCGGCGTGTTTTTCCACCGAAAACACGGCGCCGTGTTAATTGTGTTCTTTGAATTTGTCTGCGTGAAAAAGGGCAAGAAGGAGCTGCAGGTGTCCCTCTTCCAAACACTCGTGCTGCTGATGTTTAACGAAGGGGAGGAGTTCACCCTGGAGGAGATCAAACTGGCCACGGGAATAGGTACGTGTCATCACATCGGAGTTTCGGTTGGCGGCGCTTCGGTGGAGAAACACGGGTCGTCGCTGACCCCAAAACCCGCTTTGTGTGTCCGCTTGGCTCCGCAGAGGACAGCGAACTGCGCCGGACTCTGCAGTCGCTGGCTTGCGGGAAAGCGCGCGTCCTCCACAAGGTCCCCAAAAGCAAAGACGTGGAGGACGGGGACAAGTTCTCGTGCAACGATGACTTCAAACACAAGCTCTTCAGGATCAAAATCAACCAGATCCAGATGAAAGAAACGGTGCGCGTATCGTCTCGCAGCGGTTTCCTCACCACACGGTTTCAATGGGTTTGTTTTTAACTAATTGTTTCCCCACAGGTGGAGGAGCAAGCCAGCACCACAGAGCGGGTGTTTCAGGATCGCCAGTATCAGATCGACGCCGCCATCGTGCGGATCATGAAGATGAGGAAGACTCTGAGCCATAATCTCTTGATGTCTGAAGTGTACAACCAGCTCAAATTCCCTGTCAAGGTGATTAACACAACACTGAATCCCTTCATTTCATTGACGTGTCTGTGTTACTGTGTCAACCCCCAAAATATGTTGTTGTGTCATCATCTATTTTCTGCGTTCATTTGTTTCCATTATGTGTTGTGGACAAACTATGAAGCCGAGATACTGTTTCTCAATTTTCTCAGAAATATATTTTGAATTTCTTGCTGCTGCATCCCCATAGTTGATTTAGACAAGACCAAAACTGGTTTGTATAAGAAAAACTTAATAAATGACCTCCTAAGTAAGTAAATACACGGAACGTGGACTTAGTAAGTTGCCCTGAAAATGTCACATGGCATGAATCTGCTTTTCAAGGTATAAATAACCAGAAATGTTGGCATGTGCCTCATGTGTTTACGTCCGTCTCCTCCCTGTCGTCTTCCCTTGCAGCCTGCTGACTTGAAGAAGAGGATAGAGTCTCTTATTGACAGGGACTATATGGAGCGTGACAAGGAGAACCCCAACCAGTACAACTACGTAGCTTAGAGAGAGGGAAAAAAAGTGACTGAGGAAAAGAGATGCAGATGGTCCATTCAGGCTGAGCGGATCGGTCTCTAAATATTTTGCTCCAATGGATGTTAACCATTATCATCTTCAACCCAGCGACCGACAAGTGAATGGATACTGCTCCACAGGATTGTTGTCAGGGTTGTTGTGATCCTGTGGACTGCATGCCCTTTGAAAAGAAAATATTGTCCATGTTTCTCAGTACCTCTGAGAGAGTCGGGCTAACGTGGACTCGCTAAGAGGTTGTTCCATTTGCTCTTTTTTTTTCTTTTTCTTTTTTTTTTAATGGAGGAGAAAAATATTTATTTTTAAACTTCGGTTCTTCTTGGTCCACAGTTTAAGCAACATGCTCTTTGTTATCACGTCACTATTTGTCATCTAGTTGCTGACACACACTTAACAATGCTCTAAATGTACCAAACGTTGGAGAGAAAAAGGATCAAAAAATGAAACCGATGTTTCTTCAGTAAGTGTCAAGTGGACTGTGGACTGTTGGACTAATATTCAAAGTAGGGAATTAACAATTTGGGGAATATCTGTGTCAAAGTGTGCAGCGTTTTTACAATTTTTAAGGCTTGATGAAGCTGTGATGATGAACATACAAAGCGTTCAAAGCAGAGTTTGTGCTAAAAGGAGCACTTCTTTTGTTATAGGGTGTATTCAAGCTGCTAAAACACTTCAGTTGTACAAGAATATGCATTTGCAGTTTTTTCATTTTTTTGTACATATTTCACTAAAGTGACCCATTTTTAAGGATCTCATCTGACACTCAACTGCTTTGTAGTTGTTTTTGTCAACTCTTAGAAAGTATTCTGAAAGCACAATGAGATCCGAGGCCTCATCGTTCCTGGTGTCACCACATACACACTATTTCTTTTTTTTTGTATGTCTCCCTGTGGGGCTTTCAGGCCTTGATGAAAAGTGGGAGTGATGACACATGAGGGGAAATTACGAACGATTACATATGCCCTTGTTTGTATGAGTCTGTTAGATCTATTGCTTCAGATTAAAACAACTGTTTCAAACAGGGTTTTTTCTTCTATTAATTATTGATCTCCATCACTGTCTTGTATAAAAGCAAACGATTACCATGCATTTGAGTCTGAAGCCACCGGGAAGCTGTTAAACTTTAACATTCTCGTGATCCATGGAGAGAGAAAAAATGCATACAGTCCAGCAATGAACCTTGTAAAAGTGCGAGAGAGAGCGACTACCCCGTGTGTGCGTGCGTGAGTGCGCGCGTCCCGGTCATATGACTTCCATTTCCTGCTACAGTTGTCGGCTGAGCTCCGCACCAAACACCGCTGACTTTGCGCCGCTGCTGGGTTATTTCGTCTTCTCTCCCGTGGCTGACACTCGAAACAGTGAGCGATCATGTACCGATACGCTTCGTTTGTTTTATTCCTCGCCTTTGGAATCGGTATGTATCATCGCCCTGATTATATATTGACATCAAATGTACTGAGAGTGAGACGCCATCTGTTCGTATACGCGACTAGCGATAGAACTTGTGTGGACGCCCCGGGCCTGGTGCTTCTGGTCTCCGGCTAAATGCCGCTGAAAGAGATGAAAAATATGTCTTGTTTGCGTCTTTACTGTACGGAAGTAAATTCGGACTTCGGGTGTATTTACAGTACAGACCTCGAAACAAAACACCCGTGATCGTGATGTCGCGCTAATGGAGCTAGCTTGATTGTCAAGTGTTGCCTGCGTCGACGGCGTTAAGTCGCCTTATGCAACACTAGAAGCTACATTGTTTTTCTGCCACAGTTGCATGACAACGTAAACGAAGCCAACTGTTCATCGATAATTCTACTCTTACATCTTCCCACACCGTGTTGTTCCAGTTAAGGTTAGCCAGGTTAGCTGCTAGCTTCCTTTTCTGCGTTAGATAACACTTGTTTTGAAACTCAACTTTGAGTCGATGATTAAAAAAAAAAACACCTGAGTCACGTCTGTGGCTAAATCACGTTAGCCACACGCAGACACCCCGGGGGGTAAATCAAAACGATAAACCTAGTAGTCACAATGATACCAAAATACTAATTTAATGATTTGTGTTTACTGGTAGAAATGTAAGCATTAGCGTTAGCGCCGGTTTGCTGTTAAGCTAACGTTTGGTGAACGTATGTGACGTAGCTGGTTAAAAACAAGCTACTAAGCTAAGTTGACAACAAGCTAACCTAACCGACGCTGGTTTTAACAACCTTCATATTACAACTATTATATAAGTATTAGCTATTATTGTTATTACAACTTCAGCAACGGGGCATTAACACTGATACCTTTTTATAGACAAATACATTCTTGTCCGATTAGTTCATGTAAGTTAACTGTATGGAGTCTTTTGGCTAACGTTACGTTTCCACTGCACGTTAGTTACCACAAACGTTAATGTAATTGATTTGGTGTTAACAAAAGACGGGATGACAAAATGTGATGGATGTATTCTTCTGTATTTTGGTTCATCAGCTTTTATATAGTTGATTTACAGTTATTTGGGAGTTTTCTTGTGATATCTATGATAGTGTTTTTTATGATATCCAATTCAGTGAACCCGTGGTCACGTGATTTCCGCGTAAATGTACTTTATGTGTCGGGTAAACAATTATATTCCCTGTAGTTGTGTGTTATCATTGCTGGAGCCTAACCTCGAACTATTTTGCATTGAGTTAAGAGCTGGCGTCCAAATGTTTACCATTTTGTTCACATGATTTCCTGATTCACGTTTTCTTTTCTTTTTTTACAATTTGACATTGTGGAGGCCACGAATGTCCGCTGTCTGTGTGGCTGCAGCTTTAATCTCACATTTGGAAACACATGACTGCATATAATGAGTCGCCACGTTTTGCAAATGTGTGTTTTTTTGTGAGGACGGAAACTTATTCAATTGCAACTGGACTAATAATTAATTACAGTAGGGATATTCGAGTAATTCTCCTTCTTCTTTCCAGCGGTTCAGCGGTCAAACGGCACGGAGGTGACTGTCAAAGACGACAACGACAACATATGTCTCTATGCCAAACTAATGGTCAACTTTACAGTCTCCTATGAAGTGGCTGGCAATACGGTGAGGCTCCCACTAACTATAAGCTCCACTATGAGCGACTGTGTTTGGTATTTCCATTCCATCAGGATTCACAGTATCCTATCCTGATATTAGTTTTACCAACATGGCAAAGCAGCTCCGTTCTTATCAGGCAGCCTCATTAGTGTGACTGTGACAACTCTTGGGGAAGCAGATGTCATCATGGAAAGGGGAAACGGGGGGAGTCAGAACAAAGCAAATATATTCTTCCTATTCAGTATTCCAGTTAGTGAGTTTTGCCGATCCATGTCCTGCAATTGTCATGTCATGTGAGCTGTGCTATGGAAAGCAGCTCAAAGAAATGTATTGACATACATTTTCAGATGTTTTCTAGCCTGTGTTTCAAAGCATTGGATTTGTCATATATATTTTAATATATATCCTATAACTGTTTGTAATTTTCGCGGATGCCTTGACACAACATTTTTTATATGTTTACTACTTTTTAATATTTGGACATTCATTATTGTTTTTTGTCACCACCAATAAAGTGCTGAAGTAACCTCTTTCTTGCTCGGTGGTAGATGCTTTTGCAGGACTTAAAACAATTCTATTCAGGGTCGGTGTGTCGGCTCCAGGAAGGAAACACGTTTTTTGGGGGGGGGGGTTGATGTGTGAAATTAGCTATTATAAATCATACTTGCATTGATAACGGTTAGACTCTGCTTCCTTTTTAGAGTGCAACAGGGATGTTTGAACTTCCTGTTGATGTCTCAACAAATGGAAGTACGTGCAAGAACACAAGCTCAACGTTGAAGCTGAATTTTGGCCCAGGACACTCCTGGAGCGTGAACTTCACCGCCAACGGAAAAATGTACCACGCTGACACCATCACCCTTTCCTACAACCTCAGTGACGCCACCATCTTCCCTAATTCTGCATCGAATGGTAACTCCCACACCTCAAAAGTGCAAACCCACATGGGCGAGAGACCTTTTACTGGTGTTTACGTAGTTTTGGGATTTCTTTCAGACACCAAAGTTGTCACTGCCGAGACTCAGATCACCAATGTGGGCATTGACACCTGCTACTCGTGCAGGAGCGTAGACACCATCGCGGGCAAGTCCGTCAACCAGACGCTGTGGAACGTGCTCATTCAGGCTTTCGTCAGCAACAACAGCACAAGTGAAAACAGTGAGTGCAGATGCAGCATGGCGGCCCGTCCTGCCTTTCTCCCGCGTTCGCTCTAAGTCCCTTTTTGTCTGTCCTCTCCCGCAGTCACTTCCTGCGCCGCTGACGTACCCGTGACCACCGTTGCCCCGACCACTCGTCCCACCACCGCAGCCCCCGTCACAAACTCTTCCACCACCGCCCCGACACCCACCACCACCCCAACCCCCACCCTCCCCACACCTGCCACCGGCAGGTACGACGTCAAGCCGGATCAAAACAGCACGGCCTGCCTGATAGCCGAGTTTGGCCTTCGGATCGGTGTGAAGAACGTAGAGGTAGTTTCAGCAGCGCAGAATTAATAATGTCGCAAACCCGTTTTACAGATTACAAACGGATAATCCGTGAAAGTTGGTGATTTTGCTTACTCTCTCTTCCTTCAATGTCCCAAGATGAACTTTGAGCCCAATGGGACTACGTCCTCCGGCTCATGCGGAGTCGACAGCAGTCAGCTGGTGTTGGTGTCCAACGCAGTGACCATCACGCTCACTTTCCTCAATGTAAGTTTGATACACTTTTTCTCAGTGTTGAAAGGATGCCGTCCACACCTTAAGATTGTTTTCTGGAATTCTTTATTTGTTTAATGAAAACGTTTCTGGGACCATCAAAGGACATTTTGAAGTAATAGATTTGTTACTGTGGTGGTGGTGGATCTATGACAAATGTTTATTCATTTCATGTTCAAGCATGTTCTTCCCCTTTTCTGTTTAAAGTACATTTGTCATACCACTAAATTTAAAGTTTCAGCAGCTGTACATTTCCTACCAATTCAACTCTTGGTATTGCCTGGCTGCCTCAGCTCAGTGTTGAGGGGGGGGTCTTCTTTGTTTACTCAAATAGGAGTATATGTAATGTTTATACATATTTCTTACAAGTGATTTTTTTTTTATTCATTTCCATCTTTAGTAATTGTAGAATTGGCTGTCTTTATATTCATATCACAGTGAATTGAATGTCTTAGCAGGAGGAAAGAAAAGGGAAAAAAAAACAAACGCTTCTCTCTTTTCCTTCAGGACACAAAGAAATTCCACCTTCATGCTCTGAACGTCACCGGAAAGACGAGCTCTGGTAATTTAAACGAATCCCTTCCACCACAAAGATCGGGAACCACTCAGAGAAGCGAGCTAATGTCGAGTTGACCGTCTCTTTTTGCCTGCGCGCTGCTTTCCAGGTGTGGCATTTTCTGAGGCGAACACCAACCTGAGTCTGTGGGAGGCGGCCGTCGGCAGCTCTTACATGTGTAACAAGGAGCAGAACTACACCATCACCGGCCTGCTCACCCTCTACACATTCGACCTGCGGGTACAGCCTTTTGGAGTCAACAAGGGTGTTTTCAGTACAGGTAGGTCTCTTTTAATGTCTATGGGAAAAGGCTCTACAGAGCGGCTCCATCCATGTTTTTAATGCAATTCATTTTCCCAAAGGAAACAACAAATCGTTTCGAGGTCACAAGTTTAAAATATGTCTTACATTTCTTTCTCCATTTAACAATATACAAAATGGCAGTTGAACTAGTGTTTATTTGATAAGATTGTAAAGTATCACAATTGACCATCAGCTTTTCGGTTTATTTAATGTTGCGAGGGATTTAGTGTAATTTTTCAATCAAAGATTGAAGAATTTTGAATTAATCCTATAATATTCAACTTTACACAACCCTTAAAATGTCAAATTCTACAGCAATCGATGGCACTGACATGATTTGTTTTGGACCTGAAAAACATAAGACAAAAATAGCTGATGACCTCTATGAACCAAGACAGTCAAACAATGTAATATTTTGAAAATGTATCGTCTACAATATCAAAAATATTGCCTGTTTTTAAAATTAAAAAATAAATCAAATTGACGGTAGAATTGAAAGTTAAATAAAATCATCGATATGGAGATTTGCGATATGTAGTGTCTTGCACTTGAAGAAGAAAGCCGTATTGACGTTATTGATGACGCCCTTCAGTCATCACCCGCAGTGTTTCACCCACAGGTTTAAACCCTAGTAACAGACAAACACATTTGAATCAATTCCACACCCGAACAATGTGCATCCTCATGATCACTCGCAAATTCATGTTCAAAATAACCTCCTGCAGCTTTTCTTCATTGGTAAGAAGTACGTCCACCGTCGTCTATCATGCCAAAGGTGTCAAATGAGCACATCGTTATGTGTGTTTCTTTTTTTTGCACGGCCGATGGTAAAAAATCTGCTGTCCTGCTGTTGTTAATCAGACAAATCCCTGTTCCACTTGTTGACATAACTCTCTTTTTATCTGCAGCCCATGAATGTTCTCTGGATGACACCAGCGTCTTAATCCCAATCATTGTTGGCGCTGCTCTGGCTGGCTTGATTCTCATTGTAGTGATCGCTTACGTGATTGGCCGAAGGAAGACTTATGTTGGATATCAGACCCTTTAAATCCAGTTTTGCAATCATTATCAGTGGGGTTTACAAGCCTGGTCCTTGGGTTTCACGTGCAATTGTTTAATTGGCAAATAACTTGGCAAAAACATCATCAAGAGCCCAAATCTAAACTAAAGTCTCTGGAAAGAAAAAATATATATAAACATGAGACTGAATATTGACGTTACTGCTCATTTTGAGATGTGAAATGCACAAAGATCATTTTCAAATTGCAGTTGCCTCACAGTTTTATATTGATTCTATAAGGCGTACACATCTATGTAAAGATGGAGGGTTTGGTCTCTTTGTCAAGGACCAAACTTGTTAGACTCCAATGTGTTTTTGGTTTTGGCTTCCCTACTTCATTGTGTTTTTGGTCAATGAGCAAGTGCAAAATCCACGCAACGGTTTTATCATTCAAGTCATCATAATCCCATGAAAGTCTCTGGAGTTTCTTTACATGAGCTACGGCTCATCAACAGATGTGTAACAGTTAAACTCCGTTGCTGTCGGATCCTGCACTCGCTCTACAGACCTTCTTTTTTTTTTCCACCTGTCATCGTTCAATCTTTGTGTTAATTTTTTTCCCGTTACATTATTGTTTGACATCACATAATTATTTGCATTATGAAAGAACAATCATTTTCAGCTTTTCTTTCCTCCCAGAGAATCATTAACAGGGATGCAGGTTTATAGCCGATGTCGGCACCTGTAGAGCAGGAGAAGCATTGGAATCATTGTCCTGATTATGGGACTCAAACCGCGTGACGTGTTTGTTGTTTGAACCTGAATAGCTTCAGCTGTCTCTTAAATTTGCACACGTAGAGAATAAATCAAATAAGAAGCATGAACAGCTTTTTAAAAAATGTTTTTCCCCACACTACCGATTTTGGCATTAATTTTAGAAAAGGGAGAGTTATGTTGTGTAGATATTCACTTTTATGGGGATGTTTGTGTGTGAATGCACTATGGCGCTCTTTAAATGGCCCCATTATGTCGGGACTGTTGTCACATTGTCTCAGCTGTGCGGGGGCCCGGCGGCGAGACTTTAAAGCCCCCGACGACATGAATAAACAAGGAAACTAAATCATTTATTTGAGAAGACAAAAGTTAGACATTTTGTTTACAGCGGTTTGCTTTCTTGCTGAGGGTTTGATGTGAATATTCTGCGTGTGGCTTCACACAAAGACGTGGAAACGGGTGGAGAAGCTCCGTCCAAACGAAACATGTTTTTAATTGGTATTTATCTTCTCACTCTCAGGTAAGAAAGCAGAAAATGCACTCCTTTTAAAAAAAAAAAATGTTTTTTTAAAGATCATTTCGAGGGTGTGTTTTGATGCTGGCAAAGAACAAACAACCCCCAAACCCTTCGTCAGATCTTCATTATAAAGATTACAAAACGAATCAATCACATGAAATGAACTAAATTAGTTTCCTTGTAGCAAGCGGCTGAAAGCAGGTTTTTGGAGGAGCTTTTGTTCCACGTGCTTGCTGTGTACCGTTCTCCCCGTTCCAAGTATTCAGGACTGCAGCAAAGCAGGCGCCCGACTAGGCTCAATACCGTAGGTGATGGCGGCGTGCTCGCTTAGGCAAAGAATTGGCATCCGACATCTCCAGAATGAAATATGAGAGCTGCTTTTTGCTTATGTTGCTGTCTGTTGTATTTCAGCTTTGTGCGGTCGCCTTAATTCTAAAGATGGGTTTTGAAGCATGTATAGATGTTTGTTTGTTTGTTTTTCTATATCCTTTTACGACGGCTGTGCCTCGCCCCATGATACGCTCTGTCATTTGTTCACTCAATAACTCGCTTTATGTGGCTAAGAAACGTTTTCAAGAACATTGCAAACAACTGTTCGGCAAAAGGGAATTTGTGCAACAAGACCATCGTGATGAAGATGAATTTGTGTGTGTTACGTGGATACAGAGGATTCCGTCTGCATCCGCTCCAGCTGTTAGCCAGATTGTGTGACTGACTTTTCATCTTTTTAGTCTTTTAAGATTCAAGGAAATAAAAAATGTGTTTCTGCCCCGAACACCCGAGTAAATGTTTATTCTTTTCCAAAACTTGTTGCCTCGCCTTCCCCTCCAGCCGCTCCTGCCCTAACCATTAATACCGTTGACTTGAACTCTTCTAAGACATTCACCTCTGTGCTCTCTTCACCCCCGTCTAGCTGAGGATTGCCAGGCCGATGCGGAGAGCTTCATTGTTCCCATAGCTGTCGGAGTTGCCCTGCTTGTTCTCATTCTTATCGTTCTGCTGGCCTACTTCATCGGGAGAAAGAGAAACATGGCCTCAACCTACGAGTCTTTATAATTTAACTTAACCCTCTTTAACGTGTTGTGGTGACCTTCCCATGTCGTGTTCAGGGCTGACTTTTTTTTTTTTCTTTTTCGTGAAGCAATAATTTGATATTTTGGGAAATGTGCAAGAGTTGGACGAGGAAATTGAAACCTCTCTTGAGTAGGAATCTGTAGCCGTAGAGCTGAGCTGAGCTGAGCTGAGCTAAGCTGGGGGCAAACAACTAGCCCAAATGTTGTTTTGTTTTTTCTTTGAATGGATCATTTGGGGTATTTGAACTATTAAACTTACTTTTAAACCAGAAAGCCATTTTCACATTTCCCAAAGTCTGACAATTTTTTTATGGATTTCCTTTGCTTATCTTCCATGATATAAGAAATAACTACTTTGAGTGATGTCCTTTTTCATGCCTTTGGAATATTTGATCGGCATTTCCTCTGGTCTCAAACTTCCTGTAGGTTTTTTGTTTTTTTTCTTCTTCTTTTCTGTAACCCTTGTGTGGGCTGTAAAGATCCCGAACCTTCTCCGAGTGATGTTTTCTGCCCGACTAAAACCACTAACCTGCTGTCTGTCTGTCTCTCTGTCTTTCTGTCTCCTCTCTCTCTGTCTCTCTCTCTGTCGGTCTGTCAGCTGAGGAATGCTTCCTGGACTCTGATTTGAGCTTTTTGGTGCCCATTGCGGTGGGCGTGGCCCTCAGCTTCCTAATCATCCTTGTGCTTATCTCTTACCTGATTGGTCGGAGGAAGAGTCGTACTGGCTACCAGTCTGTATAAACCGGCCCAGCTGCTTATGCCTCTCCGTTTCCACCCTCAAAGCGTTTAAAAAAAATAAATAAATAAAAAAACACCTTCCTTGCCCCTCAGTGCATCGAAAGCATTCCTGCTCCTTTCTGTTTGCCTAAAAATAACCTTCAGCTTATTTCTCGTACACAATTTAAAATGAACTCCGACGGTTTTCTTTAGTTTTTGCTTCAATGCCAATGACTAAATCCAGTACCAAATCAGTCATAATCAATATTGCATTGTTTGATTGTAGGTTGCATGTTAAGGAAATTAAATTTATGGCTGTGAATAGCCGCATCACCTCCTCCCACCCCGGAGAGGCCTTTTCCCCTCTCTCGCTTTCTGTGCTGTATAATAGTAGATGTGTAAATTGCTCTCTTGTATAGAATGAATGACATTGATTTTTTTTTCTTCTCTTTTTTGATTTCTTTTAATGACGTGAATGTAACGAGCAAGCTCCACTGCTGTCATTCACATCCCGGACTGTTGTTGTATTAACCTTCATGTAATGTAAACTAAAGGAAACCTTCCCTTTTGAGATCTAATCTAGTCTGTCATTTGTAGTTTGATGAAAGGGACACTAACTACGACACTTTACCAGCATTGGAGAACGTGTGATGTTTCTGTCACTCATTGGTACGAGTTCTTCTTTCTTTTTTATTTAAATGTCCCTTAAAAGATTTACATTTGAGTATTTGGTGAATCAATAATAGTGTTGTATCCTTGTGATCTCAAACAGGTTAACACATCTGTCCCCAGGATCCCATTTGGTTGCATGTATATTTATTATAACCCGACGCTCCGGTGGAGGAACAGTAATATTTAAGTCGCAGCATCTCATTTGCACGAACCCTCGGTTCTGTTCATTCGACCGCTCCCCTCCGACAGACTCGTGCCTTTTTTCTTTTGTGCCCCTCTTGAGTTGCTCGCTTGAAGCTTGTCTCCATCTGAGGAAGAATGTGATATGATGAGCTTGTTTAACACAAGCGGGGAACAAATTCAATAAAGTATCGTTCTTGTTTTGCATCACTGTCGTTCTTTTAACGGCCCCCGGCTTTTAGTGGCGGGGCAAAGGTCAACCGCGGTGAACCAAACGCGCGCGTGGCTGAGAGAACTGCTGCTGGTCCACGAAGGCCTGAAACCAGTTTGATTGCAGAGTTTTCTTCACAATATTTTTAACATTTCTTCTGCTCATCAGAGAGCTCCTGTTGGAAAGGTGCAAAGGGGGCCGGTACCTCTGAGAATGACAACGTCAACGTGGTTCGGTAGTTGTTCCACTTCGATCCGGACTGAAATATCGCTGATCAACTGTGAGGGAGGTTTTGAACTGAGACGCCTCTTAATGATCTCTTACCCGTGGAATAGAAGTACAACCTCCAACTCATGTTTAACATCCTTTAAATACAGTATATGTGTTTGCTTTTAGCTCAAATCTCCTGCTTTTTTTTGTATTTTATATTTATGGAGAGAAATGAGCTGTATGTTCCCTTTGTGAGGCCTAAAGTAGTCTTACTTTTTTCAGCTAAACATCAACACTAATTGTGAACATAGAGGGTGTTAAAATACAGAGTATTAAAAAATATTTTACAGTTAGAAATGAGTAATTCTCTGTAGCAGACTGAAGTCTCACCATGGTTCTAAAATTGATATGGAACTGGATTTTTAAACTTATTTAGCCACCAAAGGAAGGTAAAGTTTAACTGCAATTGAAAATGAGTTTGGGCGTGTTACAAGCATCGTAAAAGGTGATGTACAAGAAAACGTACAGTACATAACAGAATATTGTATTTATTATAAGAGCTATAATAGGAATAAATACAACATTGATACCATGTTTAGTAGCAAAGTTCAGACAGAGATTAATACTATCACAAAACGTTATTATTTTAAATGGTACAGATCTTTCACAAACTATTTCACAGTACAGTATGTCTCTTTATTGATCAGTCTTTTGTAGTATTTCATTCCCAGAAACAATTGTTTTTACAAGAGAAGGAAATAAGTGGTTTGTGATGCTTTATCGTAAATGTATAATACTGCTCTATTCAACAAAAATATAGTAATAGTGTATTTGCAGTCATTTGCTATGTCTTTTTTTACTGTGTAAGTACAGTACAAGTCCTGCTTTCAGTGTTTGCATGATAGATAATTCTTACAATATACATGTTGAAAAATATAATTCAAAACAAATTAGTACACATTGTCCCACAACACTGCTCACAAAACCATGATCTAACCTCATAGAACAATATTTCTAGTCTAGTTACGTTTTAAGTCATAATTCAATTTGCATAGCCAGAAAGTCTAACTATTGGGCAGAGTGTGATTTAATTTGATTAATCTTGCTAATCATTACAACATATCAGGAGTTAAACAAATGTAACTCACTCTATGATGTGCAGGAGCCAGTAGCACGCTCGGGGCACAGAGACACAACACAAACACGAGAGGAAATATCTACTTCTCGAGGAACTTGTTTCACAGGAAATGTATGGATATTGGGGTAAAGATGAGGAGAGGGAAATTACGTATTTCATGAGAAAATAATGGCTCAACGTGGGGGGGGGGGGGTATTTTTATTTTTTCCTGCCACGTTGTCACGGGAGCACCCTGCTGGCAGCGACATCTTCGCCTCACGCTCCGATATCCAGGGAGAAGGTCACGCTGCCCAGGTAGCGGTCGGTGGGCGAGTCGTTGATGATGCCCTTTCCGTTCAGTTTGCACTTGACTTGGATGTGAGTGTCGTACTGCGCTGACGTGAAGCGCACTGCCACCAGCGGTGCGGAGTAGTTCCCCTGAGGCACAAGAGTGACACCGGGCATGTTTGTTGTCACGTTTCATTTGCAACGGTGGATTTTCTGCCCAAATAGACCAACCCCTCACTCACGTGTCTGAGCTTCCCATAGTACGGGTAGTACTTCAGGTCAAAAAAGCTTTTGGGGAAAAATTGGATTTCTCCCAAGGCTTCAGGAGCTCCTCTCTGAAAGAGGAAGTTGTGTTTATTTATTTTTTATTAACATTTTCCGACACGTTGCTCATCGCTTTGAGAGTTTCACAGGCAATAGTGTGTTGATGACTACTGTACCTTAACTGCACAGGTCACATTTATTGGTTTGCCCTGGCCAGGTAAATAACCAAGAATCTATTGGGAGAGCAAGAACAGTATAAGAAACAATAAAGTTCTCCTCAATGCCTCTTTTGGTTCTATATTATCTTCGCCTCTGCTTCCCTGACTTTGCAGGTCCAAATGTAAAAATGTTGTGAGTTTGCAAATGCCAGTCTGTGTTCAGCCTCTCATTTTCCTCTGTAAGCTTTTTTTTGTTGCATCCCCCATTTTCACATAAATAATTCAAATCACAAGCAAAGGTTTTAGTTCTAACTATTTAAATGACCCTTAGAATGCGATTCTCCATAATACCAGAAGTAGTGCACAAGAGGCTTCACGTGTGTTCATCCTTCCCCCCAAATGACCATGAGATGTCCCTCGGCGGTGAGACCAACCCTGCGTCCCCGCTGTCCCCCCCGCCCCTTTAGTTTGTGCATTCACAAGTGCTCCGCTTTACGTGTTCTTTCGGTGATTGATGCTCGTCTCACCCGATTCATTCGAAGGAGGATGCATGGCTTCCCCTGAGAAAAGCCGTAGTTGGGGTCCTGCAGCCCCGAACAGTCCCCCAACCAGGACCTCCTGAACTCGCACGCCTTCCGCTCTGCGCTCTCCTCCAAGTCATCCTGCATGAAGTAACCGTCGTGTGTGCAGCGAATGTTCTTCTTCTGCTGGGGGCCGTCGTTGTACGCTGAAAATGGAGAGCAGGGAGGAAAGAAGGCAAAGGGAGGTACAGGAGGGGAGGGGGGGTGGGGGGGGCATAAATAAAACCTCGCTACAGCAATACCCTGCCAGACTCAGGCCTCTGATTAAGGAAGCTTAACAAAAGCAGGGGGTGAGAGAAAAAGGAACGAATTGAATGGCTGCACTCTGCCCACAAAGGGGCTTCCCTTCCCAGCATGCCCTGCAGGAACCAAATGGGGGAAAAAAAAGGGGGACAAAGGTAACGAAGACGAGGATTAACTCGTTGCATGCCCCCTTAATTTCAAACAAGTTCAACATCCTCATCTGGCCTCCGCGCCTTTTACACCATCCCTGGTAAACGCCCCCCCCCCCCTGGACTCACGTTTCAGATACTCATCCATGGACTTTGTGTACTTCTTCCAGGACTTGCGATCAGAAGCGTTGAAGGCAATCTCGTGGCCTTCTAGGTGCGGGGCCATCGTCATACCTGCCAGTGGAGACCCAGAGACAGTCAACTGTGCCGAGACTCAAGCAGGAGCAAGAGACCGCGAAGGACAAGCGGAGCGGAGGGACGGGAGGGAAGCGGGTGCAGTGTTTTATTTACCTGGTGGCATCACTCTGTCGTTGTAGGTCGGATGGTAGGGACTAATGGACCACATGAGGCAAAACATGCAGCCACCAAACATGGCTGCGAGAAACAAATAAAGTGCGGCGTAGAAGAGAAGGATGAGGCCTGTAAACGGAGCGGAAAGGGAGCTATTAGGGTGAATATTTCTGATACAGTATTTGCAAAGTGGCTTGCATAACAGGCGCCGCGTTTTCTCAACCAAGCTCTGATGTGAGCGGAGAAGGACAATGACCCATTGTGAGTTCCCTCTTTTGCTCAGACTGTCCTCAATCAGGACAGTCACTAATTTGTTTGCTCCTCAAAAAAAGGAACCTGTCCAGCCGTTGCAAATAACTCTTTAGATATATACAGAATTTACCATAACGATCTAATGTGAGAACTCTGAAATAAAGAAACAATTTTAAATGTCCACTGGCGACTAATCAAGCCAAACGTGCCCTAAATTAAATGGCTTTTGCTGCTCGGGCAATTTCACAGGGGACCGGCTGCAGCCAACCTCGCATCCCTCGAGCCACAAAGGCCTTTCTGTTTGAGCTCAGTGAGAATTCTCCCAGCTGTCCTTTCACTCAGGAACACAGTGAACCTCCGGTTGCCATCGTAGTGAAGGTCTTTAGCAGCCATAGAGGCCCGGCCAGCTCCAAGGAGCCCCGATCACCCCACTCTGGTATTGTGTCCCCTGTTACACACCCGTCTCACAGGACACGCAGCACAGACTTCAAACCAGAGGCCCTTTCATGGTCGGACACATGGGCCCCACTCCTCCACGAGGGTGAACACTGGGTTTGGTAGATGAAATGAAGTAAAACACACGTTCCTAGGATATTCTCTCCGCACTCAGCGGGAGCGCGTTTGCCGCGGCATACAGTGAAGTCGAGGGAGGGAGGCCCACCCCCGACAGCGCCGCATGGCGGCGACCCCGGATTTAAAGAGCGGCTGCGCCAGCGTCACTGACTCGACAAACTCGTCTGATCTGTCGCTTCCGCCGAATAAAGTGAGCTCTGTAAAAGAAAAAGCGTATCTCTACGTGATTAGCGGGAACTTTGAGCACGTTAAGTTCAGCAATGAGGTCGCCGAGGCTTTGGGAAAGAGGCCGTGGAGATCATGGTAAGATGTGGAGGAATGTGACTCCTGGCCAATGCGAGGCCCGGGACAGGCTGCTCCCGCTGGGGATGCGTCCCCAGGCAGTCTGTTTTTGTCGGGCCACTCTGAATTGTCCATGCACCTATGTAAACATTGAGCATGAGGACACACACACACACACACACACACTCTCTCTCTCGCAGCACAGTGAGCAGAGTCACTGGACTGGAGAGACATAACCCCCTAAAATTGTCCCCGTGTACATCTTTTGAAGACATTCAAACAACTGGTGGGGGACAATTCAAACTGCAAAGCATTAGACATGAGATCTGTAATGATTGGACACAGGCAGTCAAATTAAAGTACTTTTTTTTTTTGTTGCATTAATCCAAACGTTCCCCGCCCTCACATCCCAACAACATAGAACTGTGTCTTTATCGTCAACTCACTCCAGCTCTTCCCAGAGCGACCCATGAATTCCTTGGTCTCTGCATTCCACAAGTATGTCTTAATGTCGTCTATTTTCTGGTGGAGCGACCTCTCAGGTAACGGCCTGCGCTTCCATCTCTCAAAGTTCAGGTCTTCCTGCTCTAGGGGATGGTGCTCGGCCAACTCCTCCTGCTCTTCCTGCAGCTCCTGGCCGTGTTTGAGTATCACTTTGTGAGGCTGGTGGAAAGAAGAAGGAGAGAAAAAGCCCTCACCACACATTTTCTCAACTGTTAAGTTCCGACGGTCGAACTATTTTCTCGTCAAATCGCCGCAGGAAATAATTGGCACGCCTTCTGATCCGAGTATGACAGACGACACAAAGTGCCTGCGAGTGCTCTGCATATTAATGGACATCGCACTGATGGTCCCGTCCCCTGTTTCCCGCAAATTATAAAGCCGCTTGGTGACCTCTCTGGCACTCGTTGGGAGAGCTGACCTCCTCCGAGTGGACCCTCCCGCGTGGAGCAGCAGCTGCAGACAGCAGAGCCGGAGGGTCACTCTGACAGCCAGATGTTACTCAGTGGCTCTCAGGACACACAGATCCCAGAGGAGCCACAGGGCGCTTGAGAGTGTCACCAAAAAAGTCACTGAGTTTGGGAGAGTTTGGCTTTTTTAAAAGAATCTGCTGGTAAATGTTTCTTGTACTTGATTAGTTAGTTCATAATAGCCGTTTATCAAAAAAATCAAACTCCGTTGTTAGTGGGAAGGGTTTCATAATTGCAGCATTTGCTCCGGTGAATAAAGTCATGGTAAAGGTATGTGTTTTCTATTTAATATCAGCACTTACAAGACTTGGCGGATGATTTTTAAGGAGCTCGTCGTCAGCTCCTCCCTCTGTGGAACTGGGCTCCATATTCTTCACAGAAGGAGAAGGTACTTGTTAAACCAATCACATCGACCTTCCATTGACTTACAGCCTCACGTTCTTTACATCTGCAATCTTGTCCAAAATTCAATCCGCACAACTTTCCACAACAACGCCGAGATACCCAAACAACTCACTCTGCAAGCAGACACAAGGAATAATTACTGCAGCTGCTAAACAAATAAATATATATGTGTATACTTATTAAAAGATCTGACATACCTGAAGTTTTCTTTGCAACAGAAACGCGTCTTAATGTTTTGAAAGCCCTCTTGAGCCCCGGAGAGAAAAGAATATTGCTTGTCAAAAGGTGTTTGGGGATTTCATTAGAAAGTTGTAGGCATGCAGAGGGGACCGGGCGCGGAGAACCTCCTGCAACTAAGCGCGCATCGTAGTGAATGAACGCTGGACAGAGAAGAACTGGGGGTGGGATACAAAGTGCTTTTTTTCTTTTCTTTTTTTTTTCCTTTTTTGGACCTGGGGACGTTTTGGCAGCGGCGTGGACACCAGCACTGCATTCAGAACACGTACACCATCAGCCATTGTCTGCTGAGCTGGGCCAAGACTAAAGCAAAGCATGAATACAATACTTATAGCGTGATCCAACACACGACGCGGGGTTCGATTAATGTCTTGCTGCGCACTGCACGTGCAAAGACAGTCGCACAATTAACTTTTTTTTTCAATCAAATTTTATATATATATATTATTATAATTATTATTGTTCGGGCATGTATGGGTATGGAACAAAATGATCATGCATTTCGTATCATTGTCATTGGGAAGGCCTGTATTCATGCACATTGATCCAGTTCCCAACTTCAGCAGCTCCATGGACCCCTGCAGCAACTGCTTTCCATAAGCTTCCCTCTGGAGAAGTTGAAGTTGTCCTCACCCCGGATGCTATCTGCATGCCGGTCACGTAACGCTCTGTTACCCCATGTAAAAAGTGGGCATTGGGGGGGGGGGGACTTTTTCTTCTTCCTCTTCTCTGACATAAAAGGACAAAATGCGTCATGGAAAAAAACTGTCCTCCGAGATTTGCGCGGCGAAAACGTGCACAAGTTCCTGTGAGTGCGTGCGTGCGCGTGTGCTTTATTCACGTGCATTTCACAGTGAAGGCGTTATCGCTAAACGTCTCCCCATATAATGCATCAATTCCATTCAGAAGAGCTCACTTTATTGTACTTATGCATACCATTAAAATGCCTCGATTGCTTATTACCTGTAACTGCAGGCAATACATGTGATACACTGTCCCTTCAATTGATTATAATGAACTAAATGCAATTTTGCAGGGAAAGCTCTATGACCAACCAGAGGGCCCCAGGGTACAAATGAGCTGCTGCCGCCTTTTAACCCCACAATCTTTTCTTTACTGGAATATAGCTGGCCCCCGAGATTTTCCAGATCAATCACTGTGTTCATGTTCTCTGAAAACATCCAACCGAACCGTTCCAATCGCTTGCTCAAGAGCAGTGTAACTGCACAGTTACCTCAAAAATCAGCAGGCCTTTAGCTCCGCTCTAATAGTCATTCTCCTGCACACCCATAAAGTTTCCTCTGAACACACGTTTGCAAATTTCATAAGCATGTATCATCTCCCTCATGTTGTAATCTTTGGGGCTTTTACGCAATCATATCGAATGAGGATTGCAAATAAGGTTGCTGTGTGTGCTTATATGCAGCTGCAGCCAGGACTTTAGAAATATTGAGGTTTTGTTGCAAGCCCAAAATGTATACAAATATCTTTTGTATTTTTATTATATTTTTTCAGGTAACTGAATGCTGTACTTATAACACACATAACATTTTATTGTGTGACGTCATGAATGTTTTTTTTTAAAGGTCACAAAGAAATTAGAAAAAGAGAAAACGATTCATGATTGGTGAAGGCGGCACGTGTCAGGTTGTTGGATAATTCACCTGCTGTTCATTGAACGTCTCACAGCTCATGAACGCAACGTTTTCTAACACACGATGGCGCTCGAAGCTCGACCTGAATGTGGTCGCGGCCCGTGTCGGCTCCTAACTTCTCCCAAACCCCGACAAATCAATGTAAGCCTCATAGTAAACGTACTACACATTATTTATATGACTTACATGTGAGGTATAGAACATTCTCACAATTACTTTTCAGTGACAGACACTCAGGCAGCCATAGATACTAGTAAGCAGTCTCTCAGGGACATTTGTTGTAATGTATTTACATTACTGGCATTTGACGTTTCTAGCGTTACTGTGGTAACATTTATTAGGGTGTATTATCATTACAAATACCGGAGTACCTGAATTTGAAAAAAAATGTTGAGTGACGCCGAGACTGAAAAGTGGCAGGTTCCGTTTTCCAATAGACTGGAAAAATACCATCCTTGGAATCGGGTCAATTGCGTGCCCCAAAAACATCTGTTACATTTGCATGAGGAGGAGGAGGAGGAGGAGGCGTCTGTGTCGCTACGTGCCCACGTGACTTCGGGTTGTGCCGTTCTGAGAACGGAACCTGCCACCTGCCACATGCCACTTTGCGCTTTCGGCGCTTCTGTCGACAGATAATATATTAGAGAAGATCATTAATATGCTGTCGGTTAAATATTCCGTCCCTTCCTTTTATGCAACGTTAATGTAATATACCGGGGTACGCACGCGCACGCACGCACACCCACCACACCCACACGCACACCCACACACACACACGCAGTCAGCAGCAGCGACCCACCGTCCCACACCGACACGCTGCGTGGACCGAGACCGACTGACGCGCCGCAGCCGCGGGGATGTGGGACGAGCACGTGATGGGCGAGCGCGGAGGACTGTTGTCAGAGAATGCCACCGCCAGCCGAGACAACAGTTTGCTCCCGACTGTTCGATGCCAGCTTTGAAATATAGGTCGAGCAACCGATAACGTCGAGTCGTGATTCTTTTTTTTTGGGGGGGGGGGGGTCCAGCGGACTGCGGTAAACATCCCGGTATGCCTCCTGCTCAGAGCCTCCAATCCAGCAGACTGACCCTGTCCGAAACAAGCATCGGTAGGTGCGCGTGTGCGTGCGTGCGTGCGTGTGTGTGTTTGTGCAAGGTCATCAGTGTGTCTGCAGCAGCTTTTTAATCAATTCAAAAAAATACATACTGTTTATTATTTTAATCGGTTCCCGTCCACAACGGTGAACATCACACTCCCTTTCCTTCGTGTCGGTTATAAATAACAATAGCATGTATGTATATATATTTTTTTTCTGTCACGAAAGCAAACAAAAGACCCTGGTTGTTCTCCGGACCGTCCCTCTGTCCTCTTGGGGTCCGGGCCGCAGCGCGTCACTGCAGGCGCGGCGGCGTTGAGTAGAAGCGCTCTGATGGTTAACTGGCCGACACACACATACACTCACACACACACACACACACGTCTATGCAGCATGGCCGTCCTGCTGCTCATCGTATGAGGGATAAAACGGCCCTTTGTGTGTATGTGCATTTCAGTCCGAGACGAAGCATCCTTGTGCATTTTCTTGACACCTCATGTTCATTGTAGACCAATGTTTGTTGTAAAGTCACCTATAGAGCGTCACTGGACTGGAGATGTGGTCAAAGATCCTTTTCAGCCAGCATCTCTGTTCAGGAGGTTCAGACGAGCTGGTTTTAAATCACAGTTGTGGTTGTCAATTGTTCATCATGTTTAATTTGGGAAAATTATTCATATCTTTTAGTTATTTGACTTCAGAATGGCAAACCGCTCACATTTTGTTGCGTATTCTAACATCTCCTTGTGTAAATTTGATTGTTTCCTCACATGTTGTGTTCAATTTTGACATGTCGGCACCGATGGCATCACCAGGCCATTTTTGAAGCAATATTTGCTGTAATGCCAAATTTAATTCAATTGTTACCAGGATGAAAACTGAATACATTCTAACCTGGCATGAATACATCATACAGTATGTTTTGTAAGTATTCAACCTCAGTTGAGCTTTTCAAAACAGTTCCGCTTATGAATATGTCAAGTGTGTATGTAAATGGTGTATTTTACTGTTGATGCACAAAGCCAGGTTTGTTTATCCTGTTAATTATGATCAACATAGAAAGCCATCGGCATTTTCAGAGCTAAATACCTTCAACATAATTGACTACCCACCACGACTGTAAAAGAGAAACCGGAGCCCACCTCCGAGTCTCTTTAAATACTTCCCATCGCACCGATGCTTGTCTTTTAGCTGCAGCCTCGTCCATCAACGCTCGCATCACAGCAGCAGCGCTCTCCCGTTTCTCGCCTCGCAGGTTCCTTTAAGAGAAGGAAGAGGAAATCCATTATAGTGACGGTGTTGCTGCTCATCGTCTCCGTGCTGATCCTCATCTTCGGCCTGGCAGCGACCACCAGGACGCAGAACATCACCGTGGGCGGGTACTACCCGGGAGTCATTGTGAGAGCACGCTCGCACCTGCACGCCACAGTCTCGGGGGCCTGTCAGACCTCATAATGAGTACGGGTGCGAGTGAAGAGACGCTGTTTTCAGGCAGCTCTCCCAGCTCCTGACGAAACTAATTACTGAAGGTCTCTGAGGGTTGAACTTTCCCCACATTCATTATTCAGCATCGCTGTCATTAGGGGCTGAGTGAGGAGAAGTGTCTCAGTCCATAAATGGGTTTTCGTCACAATACTCAGCTTTTAGCGTGCGGTCTCAAGTAAAGAGCAACTAGGAAAAGCAACCGCTGGATGTCAGCTGAATTTCCTCGGATGCGCCTCCAAACCAATTTATTAGATATTTAGTTAATTCCTCTTTATTTATGATTCATGGAATTGATAACATGCTGAAATTGTTCCCTCGGGGGCACTGAGACGCATGTTTTATCCAACTGCTTTATAATCAAATCAGAGAAACGCCCTAACATCTTTTTTTGTCTTTTTTTTTTTTTAGCTGGGCTTTGGCTCCTTCCTGGGAATCATTGGGTCTCATTTGATAGAGAACAAGAGGCAGATGGTAAGAGGATTTGTGTAACATCTGTGCACTGAGATCACTTGTAATGTCACTTATATCACTTATGTCTGCCCTCGCACAGAACTGTCATTAAACCTTGTATCCGTCCCAATGACCTCACCACAGCCTGTTGGTCTGATCGTGTAATTAAAGTAACAACAGAAAGCGCTGACCTGACCCAGACTCCCACTCGTCCCGAGGAGGTTTGTGTGTCGGAGCACAAGTTTCCTGAGGCTTTAAGGGACGTGCATCCAGAAATAGAAACGGGGTGTAAGTTGAGGAGGACTGATGTCCACGCTGGGATGTGGGGAAGGAAACTGCATGTAACGGGAGCAGGTGGGACGTGCCGGGCGAAGGCTGTCAGGGCTGCAATGAAGAATGGGTTTGTAACGTGGTGTTCATTTCACAATACTCAGCAGAGTTTGATCGAGCTGTGACGTCTAACACCGCATGGTCCCTCGTGTGAAAGCTGCTTTCCATAAAATGTTAATACACAGAATCACATCTTGATGACGCATTAGAGGCACAAGTTGACCAACACGAACGTTTGACTAAAATGTTTTTAAACACTTGGTTTAGTTAGTATCTTAAGGGCCTGTTTATTATGGGCGGGGGGTAATTGAATACATGCTATCTCTCCTTGAGCAATGTAGATGAGGGTGGGGAGGTCAAACGTTGCAGTGTATATAACGAACTGGGCTCCATGAGCCTCCTCCACCCGCACCCCATCCCATTCAGAAGTATGCATACTCCCGCCTGACGATACACTTTAGAGTTGGAAATGTAGCCCGGTACGAAAGTGGTGAGAGGAAGCTCTTAAAGTTGATGGTTGTCTATAATTTCAAAGGCCTTGCCGCGTGACGAAGAGTGACGACGCTGAGTGACGATGTTTTCCTCCACAGTTGGTGGCATCGATTGTCTTCATCAGCTTCGGAGTGGTGGCCGCCTTCTGCTGCGCCATCGTTGACGGAGTGTTTGCCGCGAGGCACATTGTGAGTACCACGATGGCCTGTGTTTGTTTAACAGAGCCGATCGACAACTCTCGCGCCCTGACTTCTACAACGAACTGATTGATCAACGGCCTCTATAGCTTGATAAACACACAGTAAAACACATGCCCCCCTGCAAAGGCCTTTGATGACATGTGGCCGTCTGTAGCAGCTACTGCTCCCATCCCAAATATATTACGTGGCAGGGGGGGGAATTCTCCAAGTACTTGAATCAATAAATAGCCACTAATGTAATCTAAAAAAACAACCATGCGGAGATGAGTTATGACTGGGTGAGAAGGGAGATCGGCACCGATAGCAGGTTGTCGGTTGCTTTTAGCGTCAGTGGGATAAAACATCTCAGGGGGGTTTGTGGCACGCTGTTTCTAAAAGAAAATCAGAAATATGGATCCGCGGCAGTCAGAAGAGATGATGTGATGCCGTCAGACGGTTACACACTCGGACTCGGATGTTTTTTTTTATTTATCCACATTTATGTTCTGAAGTTGACTTGACGCTTTACCCTGGTTCTACATCGGGGCTTCCAAATCCATATTACAGTCCACAGTCATTGCTTTTCGGATGTGCTAAAACGGCTATTCCTAAAGTGCTCGCATCCAGTATGATGTGTCCTATTCATGGGAAAAGTGTCTGACCCTTCACAGCTGTTTGAGATAAATCAATAACAAATCAAATTACCACAAACTAATTGACATAATGAGCCTGGCTTTTCTTTTCCCAGTTGATAATTCAGTCTTGCTTCCTCTGTTCCTCTATTCTCTGCTTCGATTGATGAAGTTATGATCAACGCTAAACTTTGCTGTCACTGCGCAAGCTCTTGTCTCTTTGCTTTTGCGTCTTCTGGTTCAGCTGGACTTGTAGAGCCGCGCTGAACCGAGCTGCTTCCTCTAATACATGTTTGTTGTGCTGCAGGACCTCAGGCCTCTGTACGCTGGCCGCTGTGAGTATCACTCCAGTGACACTTCACCTGAACGCGACGTAAGGAACGCATTGCTTTACACAATTACAAATACTTTCCTCCGGAGTGAGAAGACTCGTTGTTTAAAACCCCTCTTGGCCTTCAGGTGGCGTGTCAGGCGTCATCGCGGTCATCCTGTAACCTGCACGTGAAGGGCAACACCTGTTACTGCTGCGACCTCTACAACTGTGGGAAGTGAGTAACGCTGAGAACCGCGCGAATCAACGGCTGCTCACTTTGCTGCGCTGCTTTGCTTGTTTGGACTGGATCGATGCGTACCGTTGTGCTTGAGATTTTTTCTGCACTGCAACGTTAATTGTATTAGACTGTTTATTTTTCCTTTTAACCTTTGTTTCAGAGAACATCCTCTTATGGGACTTCAGAATAAAGATGTATTGAAAAAGTTTAGAAAATCATCCATGCTTTGGAAGTAGGTCCCTTTTATTTCTAGAACCGTATCGGTGATTTAATCATCAAGTCGTGTTAATAAGTGATGGCTAAAGCCATTTCTGTGGTGTAACTCACTGTATGAATGTGCTTTTACTTTTGCCATTTCCTCTCTGCATGTCCCTGTCGGGTCCAAACGCTCGTCCGTATCCTTCGTGTCACCGTCTCTCATTTGTGCTTTTCTTTTACTGTGTACAAGAAGTACAAGAAGGATGAACATGATGAGCATGACTTTGGTAGCTTGACCGTACGCCGTCTCCCTCTCTTTCCCACCCACTGGTCCAGCCGCGTGGAGATGATCGGGGGCTACCACGAGTATACGGACGTGAAGAGCTGCCAGGACGTGGTGCACCTCTATCACCTGCTGTGGTCCGCTACCATCCTCAACATCATCGCCCTCTTTCTGGGCATCATTACTGCAGCGGTGCTGGGAGGCTTCAAAGACATGGTGGGTACATATGAGGGCCGACAAAGAGGAGAAGCCACCAGCTGGGCTCATCTGCCGCTGAACGTTTTGATATAATCGGGGCCTCGTCGGTGGTGGGCCGATGATCTGAGGCGAGGTAATGCTGTTTGAGTTGATCATTTAAAAGAAACCGATCAATGTTCTTGGTCCCCTGGTCAGATTCCCTCCGCTGCCTCAGAGACTACGTCTGAACCAGAGGCCATCACCGCGCCCGTCCCCCCACAGCCGCCCGCGGCCGCCACCGCCATCGGCTCGTATTACGACACGGCCCCTTGCCTGCCGCCCTACACGGCCTACGACCTGCAGGTAACCGGCCACGCAGAAGAGAAAGTTGTGATTTGAAAATGGCGTTTCATGTCCGGGTTATCTCAAAAGGGGCTTAATGTTTAAAGGCCTTCACGTGCGTCTTTAGTTCTTACACTTTCCTTTCTGTCGGCATGAAAACAATCGTTTGAATTGAGTGGTCGACGTCCGCGGCACAATCATGACGCTGATTTGGCCTGAAATTTGTTTCAGGCCAAAACTGAGAAAAAATCTCCACAACCACATCAACTAAGAGGACCTATTTAGGCACCAATTCTTAATTTAATTAAAAAATGTATTGCTTATTAAGATGTGAACTACGGCATGTTTAAAGTCTCAGGGGGATAAAATAAGCGATTGTTTGACCATTTCTTAAACCATAAACAGCTCTAGTAAAGCTCTGGTCTCGCCTGCAGGGCTCCTGCCTGTTTCCCGACTCCTCGGGCCTCTCGGATGACTCCCAGTCCGGAGCCAGCCACCTGTGGCCCACCATGGTCCCCCCACGCTACTCTCCCCCCCACAGCCACCCCGACGAGAAGCCCCCACCCTACAGCCCGTAACTGTCGGGCCAAGAGGGCACCGAAACCCCCCCCAGGTGCTTTTCACGTGCCGATTGAGCGGTTTGAACGTTCAATTCCTCTGAACTTTGAGAAGGAAGGAAAAAGGCGGCACCTCCGCTCCCCACCCCCTCCCGACAAGAGGAGAGAGACGACCGGATGGAAGCCAGGACTGTTTACACATCCATCTGCCTTACCGCTAACGGGCTTCCGGTGCAGCAGCTCTCGGCCTCTTTTGTGTCCACGGTGTTTCCTCCTCCAGCTCCCGCTCTAGGTTTCCCTCTCGTTAGTTCACACTCAATCACGCCTCGTCACGCCTCGGGCGACAGAGAGGACGGCGTCCTCGCTGTTGCCGAGGCGACGATCCGGCGCCACCGTCGTGTGAGATCGAACCCGGTGACATAAGACGGCTTTGGTGTGAACGCTGGATGAGAAATGTAAAAACTGTAGTTGTAAGGCTAAGGCAGATGTTTCTTTAGCGGTGTTGTAGGCCATGTAGGCAGTCATGCAGATGTTACATGCTTGTTTTGTATGTACAGCAGTAAGGTATACAGATGCTCCGTTAGCGGCTAAGAATAAGGTATATGAACAGATCATGGTGTCTACTTCAGTGTGTGTTGGTGCACTTCACAGAGCAACGGTTATAAAGACATAAGTTATTTATGCAGTAGATGTTAAGGGAGGACGGTTAAATTAAGCAGGTAAACACAAACCGCCTCCCTCGTTGTCAGTGGTCATAACATCACGTCTTTGTGTTAAAGTGAGTCGTCTCCTGACAGGTCGGTGCTGGATCCGCTGACACGAGGAGTGAGATCGTGAAAGAATCGAAATAGTGAACTTAGTCCGCGAGAAGGGTGTCAGCTTCAGTCACTGCTTTTTATATTTTGAGGCCATTGCCGGGGGCTGTTTATCAGCTCCTTTTTGTCTTGCCATTAAAACATGTTTTGTGTAATTGAAAGAGCTTCTTCTTATTCCAGGTAGCGCCACCATGAGGTGACGTTGACATTTTTGGAATGAATCATCTCATCAATCATCTGAATGTCCAAATTTGTTTGAGAGATAATCCTTAAAAATAAGTTATGAATGAAATGACAATATTTAAATGCTGTTGGGGCCAGACAATTAAGTAGAAATAGTAAAAGAATAATTTATTTACCATCAAGGAATCTTGTTGCTAATTAAAGGGAACATTTACTTAAACATCAACAAAACAGTATTTCATAAAACTATTTCATATTGTATATGACTATCACCCTAATAAATACATCTGAGACAGGAAAAGAAGTGGGTTAAAACAAATAGCAAACATGGTAATCTGTTAAAATAACAAACAAATCTCACATTTTTTTTATTGATTCCCATATTAGCACTGCTTTTTTTTTTTACTCATACCAACCAATTACTAGTTTGATACAATATAAAAACAAGAGTAAAAAATGTAAAAATACAGAAAATCTTCTTCCTAATTCAACATCAAGTGCTTTACGTACAGACAAACAATGCTCCATCGATGTCAATCCTATGGTCACATGGATGCACTTGTCTCTAGCCTGCTCCACGTAGGTTTAAAATATATATTAAAAACATATCAAAAGTAACAGAAATAAAAGAATGTACAAGCAAATGAAAATAAACTTTTTTTAAACACTCAGAAATGAAATAGTTATCGTATATCTTCCCTTCCACAATGGCCAGATGTGCAATCACACAATGGAAATGTTTTACTTTCCATCATAATTAATATTCTCCCCCACAAAATCAGGTTTAGGAGTCTGAAATTAGAACAGGTCATTGTCAGTTCATAAACACTGTTAAATTTAACTCCCATCTGATGGTTGGTGCATCCAGTAAGAATAGATTCAAAATAAAAGCAACCCTGGTTTCATAATATCATTTATATCCTGTATTTGATAAAAATCTGTTGAAACCAGAAAGTGTATTATGATGTATCCTGAATGAAAATGGTTCAATCCTCCGCTTCATAGAGAAGCCTAATTTCATGTGTTTGATAAAAGTAAAGTTTAAATAGATATAACTTGCCTGACGCAGTGAAAGATAATGAACACGATTGTTGTTTTATTACAGCTTGGGAGTCTTCTTGAATTAAACTTTTATCATCCACATAAACTACTGGTTACCTTTGCCATTTTACTGCGAGGCCACAACTTCTTCCAAAAGGTGACTTATCATTTCTTCCAATGATACAAAAGAGCACAAGCGGAGTGACACAAGTGGACTGGTCACTTTACGCTACTCGCACCCCCCTTCTCCGATTTCTACCAAGAAAACACTAAGAGATTACAAGCAATCTCTAACCTTCTTCGCTAGACTCAGACGTTATTCAAGCGTTTACCATCACCAAGTTTAGTAAAATGCTGCACCTGAAAAAGTGATTTTAGAAGGAACTAGGAAGGATTGTTGACGTGGAACAGAGAGGTGAGGCAGGGAGGGCACCACAGAAGGCACAGGTACTGGAGCATCCAGCGCTGCTCAGTAGGTCTCCGGTATAATAAAGTCAAACTCCGTGGCTCCCGGTCGAGGATTGTTGACGGCCTGGCGCCCGCGGGAATCGGGCGGCATGTGAGCGTCCGGCTCGACGAAGATGTCGTCCCAGTTCAGCATCCGGCTCTGGGTGGAGGCGCGGACGTCCCCGCCCGTGGCGCCGGCGGCGATGTGGTGGACGCTGCCGTCCTCCGATATGACGGGGACCCCCGGCCCGTCGGCGCTCCACGAGTACGGCTTCATCTCCACCGTCTTACACGGCAGCAGCCGGTACAGGTTGTTGTCCTTCTCGTCCTTCTCCTTCCTCCCGCTGGGGTCCTGGTTGTGGGCTTGCTTGCAGTGGGTCGCCAGAATCTGGTAGTTGAGGAACGTCTCGTTGCACACCAAGCACTGGTACCGCCGCTCCCCCGTGTGGTGGATTTCGTGTTTAGTTCTGTACTCGGCCAGCGCAAAGACCTTGTCGCAGTAGTGGCACGGGTACTGCTTTTCCCACGAGTGGGTGTTGAAGTGCCGGCGGAGACTCGTCAGACACACGTAGGGGCGCTTGCACACGACGCAGACGTAGAAGGTCTTCCCGTCCATGACGAGCTCGTAGTGGTCCTCGAGCTCCGTTTTGGGCTTCTTCTTGTTTGAGCCGCCCGTCGGCAGGGTGAGGGCTTTATCCAGGGGTTTCAAGGGCGTGGCCATTAAGTGCCTCTTCCCTTTGTTGGCCTTGGAGCCCCCTTCGCCCGGATCCTCCTTCAACGGGACGATGTCGTACGTGTTTTCGCCGATGTTTGCGTACACCTTGCAGCCCGACGAAATCGAATCGATCTCGGTGGTCGTGTTGAGCGTCACGGTCTTTTTCGCGGCGACGGTCAACTTGGGACTGTTGGTTAGATTCGCTTTATCGAGGAGCTTTATTTTGGAATCCCCGTGCTGAGACGAGGCGACGACTTGCTTCTGGTGGACTCCCGTCGTGCCGCTGTTTTCCGAGGACTGAGAGGCACTTGGGGGCTCGGGGGTGACATTGACGGACCTGGCTGGCGTCGTCGGAGCACTTCTTGAGGGAACTCTGGCGGGGGACGCCGGCTTATCGGAGCCGCTGTCTGGACTGAGCAGGGGGCCGCCGTCGGGGACACTGGGGACCGGACAGCTTACGCTGGGAGGCTTTGCTGGACTCATTTTCAAGGTGGTCTCCTTCTGTTTTGCAACCGTATGATTCGAGTCTTCATTTTGCTTTGGTGCCGCCTTTCCCAAATCGGCCGCCTCCAAATCAATGACCTCGCCGGATTTGGCCGCCTGCTTGGCTGCACTGGTTTTCGCGTCCGTCTGTGAGACGAACAGAACTTCGCTCTCCGAGTCAGAGTCGCTGGTGGCCTTGCTCGTCTGATTGAATTCCTCTGCAGATATCGAGAATGACTCCGCGATGATGGGCATTGCCTCTGCGGGAGCGTCACTTTTGCTCTCCGTCTCCGTCTCCTTTGACAACCCGGGCAGACCCTTCACATGTGATAATGGTGACCCTAAATTTGCAATGAACTTGACTCCCAGTATCTGTCCCGCATTGATCAGCTCCTCAAGCATGTCGGAGCGGACGCGGTAAATCTTGGAGCTGTAAATGTAATTCAGAATCTCCTCAAAAATCTCCGCTTTGATGAAGTTCAACTCGATCACTTGTCCGGCCACACTGAAGAGCTGGTGGAAATATGTACTTGAAGCGGACAGGATTGTTTTGTGAGCTCTGAATTTCCTGTCCTGGATGATGATGGTGACATCACAAAATAATCCATGATTTCGCTGCACGTTCATTGAGTTGAGCACGGCCACTGGGTACTGCGTGTCAGTCGCAGAAATCAGCTTTAGACTTGGCATGACTGCGAAGACAAAAGGAAGAAACGATGGATCACATTAATCAAATCAACAAGAAGGCGGACATTATGGAAGCGTGGCGTATTCAATTAGGGGATTCGACTTAAAAAGACGTCAACTTAAGGACATCATCAATCATCGTCACTGCTTGTTACACCCAGTTTCCAGTTGTCCCACTTTTTCGGGGAGAAAATCATCTTAAAAGAGGGGTTGCTCTGTGGACAACTTGTCTGTAGCTTTGAGCAGCCTACGTAGAGAGGTTGATAATGCAACAAGTATTTGTCTTGTTTCTTGAGGTGCTGAGGAGGCCATACTGGTCAAACATGTATTAGCCCAATAACATTAAATACGGTGTTTATAAGCAGAAAATATACTGCCGCAGTCTGCCCTGGACCATCAGGGTTTTCAGTCTTGCAAATGTCAGACAACAAAAACAACGTGAAGCCACACGTCAAGTTGAACGAAGCTGTAGAAACTAGCTGTAATGTTGGGTGTCGCGTGACACTGCACGTGTGCACATCAGCGTTTATTGCGCTTCAAGTGAGACCGTCGCCAATTCGATTAAACACACGTTCACGCAATCGATCAATTTTCACAGAGAGGCCGGTGAACCGTCGGAGCGGGCTAACACAAAAGGCACCGCTAGCCGCGGTTCCTCCTCACTTCCGCTTTCCCGAGAAGCAGGCGGGCGCGGCCTGCTGGTTAGCGCCTCGTTAGCATGCTAGCATCGAGCGCAGCACCGCGCCGGATGCGCAGAACGGCGTTTATTTTTCAACAGCGGCGCGCGGCACGGCTCGTTTACCTGCAAACCCTCCCCCCCTCCCGGGATCTTTGTTTCGCAGAGCAGGATCGCGGACGGCGACTGTGTGGTATCTTAAGCTCGCCAGAGACAATGGCTAACAACACACGGCTTCACCCCGCCGGTCGCACTAGCGCTTCATCGGCTCGGCAGCCGCGAGGAGTCGCCGTCGTGTGGGATTGGCACGCGCACAATTAAACCATGGTATCGTAACAAGACGTACAATAACAGCGCGACGTGGAATTCATGTTGGCCCGGAGCTACAACGAAACCGTGCCGTTATTTCAGGGAATGGTTTCGTTAACGTGTAACTGTTTCCGCGCCGGGTTTGGCGTCGAGTTTACTACCGGTTCAGCGCCTTCAAAATAAAAGTGGAGCGACTAATTCTATCTCACCAAATAAATAGGCAGGTAAATTACCTGGGAGGGGATTTTTTTCAGTACGGCTTCTGATTCTCTTCCTGACGTCCTTTCGGTGCGGTTGAAGTCCGCATGAAGTTCATCGGGCACGGTCTTCCTGTCCCTTGTATTGATCATGATCCCCCGCGTGTTTTGCGATGTAATGCCGCTTCATGTATGTCCCCTTGAACAACACGTTTTGCTTGCAAATGAAGAAAGTAGCGTCTGCTTTCAACTCCGTGAAAACTCCCACCAGCTTAATAATGATTTCACATTTAGGAGTACATGTTTAGCTGCCCAGGGGCGCATCTATGCTGTAAAAACGACACCGTGTACCGATGTTGTTGTGTGGTATCCCACTCCGTTTGGCTGTGTGGCTCTGTTTCGGTTCACGGAGCATACTGACTTGAACTTCCGGTGCAGAATGTCCCGGGATCTCCCAAACGGGTATCCAGAGCTGTAAAAAAAGAAGTCACGTCAACTAAAGTTGGGGAAAAAACCCGGGATTGTCACGTGATTCCCCGAGACAAAATGGTCTTATGTTTCATTACAATGTAATTGCTTTAAAAAAATGCTGAATGCCAAAATATTGTTTCTATAATAGCCACACAAAAGCATAAATATACACCTGTTTCTATCTGAGATAGAGAAAGATCGATCGAGAAAGAAACCCCTTCTTTTGTTTCTAATTATGATAGAAATATATACAGAGAAAGGGTTCAGATATTGGTACATCATGGTTTGCAGATATTGGAGCAATTCGGGATAAGGATAGGTATATTGTAGGATACATTCAGGAGTCAATTATAGAAGTTTCAAACTGGTCTCTGACAGTTATCAGTAGAAAGTCAGACACTGTATTTTCGACAAGAGTGTCACAAATACCATTGATAAAGCAGAAGATAAACGTTTTAAAAATGCTGAGACATTGTGTAGTCACTATGTGGGAGATCCAGGCTTTAGCATGAAGGATATGTGTAACATCTGTTACATATTTATTGGGTAAGTCAAGGTCAGGCCAGTTGTAGAAATGAATTCCTCTTCGTTCACGGAGAAAATAAATAAATACATTATACACATGTATTTGAAATCTTCAGAAGAAGCACTGTGAATTCTGTTCTTTAACACGGGACTTTTCTCCCTCATACTGCGATGATGGGAATATCCTGAATATAACAGTAGGGGGCGATAACGCTCCCATCAGTTGCAACACCGAAGAAGAAAAGGACTTCCTGTTTGTTGGACGCTTTTCCTGCGTATCACAAAAAACATGGACGCGTGTTAAATTTACCTCCTTTATCTCTCCAATTATCAACTTTAAAACAAACAAAAAAGCATACCGCGTGTCCCGGTGTGGGAATGCCACAGTCCGACCGCTCAAGTTCCGACGGCGGCGGCGGGGAGCCTCGGAGCCCTCGGGCCCGTAGGTCCCGGGGTCGACCCCGCAGTAGCAGCCGCGAGCGGAGCCTGTCTCCGTACAGCTTCGGGCCCAAACTCCCGCAGCCACGGAACCGGGAAAAGGAGCACGAGGACCGCGACCGCCGGTTTCGGGAGGCGAGAAACATCAGGCGAATCCGCATAGGAAGCCCCCGCCGCAGCCGGTCCAGATCCAGAGAGCGGCACACCAACAACAACACCAGCAGCACCACCACCACCAGCTACAACAGCAGCTACAACAACAGCAGCTACAACAACAACAGCCACAACAACAGCTACAACCACTGGTCCGAGCAGCGGGACGCTCCTGGAAAACACGGGAGCTTCAAAGATGACGGTTACTACGAGCAGCACAGAGACGACGCCCAGAGACAGAGACAAGAGGCTTTTATTGCGAAGTAACGAACGAAAACACGCACCACTCAGACCATATTCACGCCAACGTTTGGATGTTCCTTAAATCACAAACAAGGATATTTCCTTGATTTAGTTGAGGCTCAAGAGTTGTAGTCTTTCCAATGGTTTTGAGTTTTTTGTTAAGATAATCTACATGAAATACCTTGATATTAGTAATAGCATCAAGAGGAGAAACATTTTACGACCTTCAAATGCAACCACAGAAATACATGTTTTTAAGAAGAACTTTCCTCGGAAAGAGTATTTATTTTTTTGAAAAGTGTTCTATTCAGTAAACCCAAGATGTTGTGCTTGCTAAATGATCCTGGAAATGTTTTTTAAAGATCGTACCAAATGGTTGAAATCATTATCACAACAATAATTCAGCTGTTTTCCAACATCGTCAATATTGAATTGTTGCCAAGTTCTACACTGTGTCCTACAAAATATTTGTAGGTACAGTTTCAAAGATATATTTGCACTGATATGAAAGCTGTCTCAAAGGTTTTCTCAATTTGGCTCTAACTTACGGTGTGTGATATGTCGTTTCTAATGATTTCTGCATCTGTCTTTCTGATACAGGCGCCTGCAAGAGAGGGAGAGGATTGGTGAGTTGGGTTGTCCCGAAGTTTGGGGATATTCACCAAGAGTCAAAGAGCCAGAGTAAGTCAAGAATCTCCCCTTCCAAAGCAACAAGTTTTTATTATTGAGAAGCCACCTGTACCTTATACCATATTTCTGTACCATATTTCTGTCTTTTGTTTTCCACCAGCTCTGATGAATTCACACCAGTCGAAGAGGACGAAAAAAACAGCAGTTCAGGATCGAGCTCAGAAGGTACAACACGTGTTGTTCGAGGATGAATACAAATGGGATTCTTGTCGGAGACAGTTTGAATTTAATAACACTTCTGTCATTTACAGAAGAAAAGAAGAAAAAAAAGAAGAAGAAGAAGAAATCCAAGAAAAAAAAGCACAAAAAGCACTCAGAGGACAGCGAGCTGGAATCCGATTCAAATGGTAAATCAATGTCTGCATTAGAATGAATGAATTCAAGATGCATTCATTTCTTTATTGTCTGAAATACCTGTTTTTTTCTAATCTTTAATTAAATTTGATCTTACAGAAGAAGACATAAAGAAGAAGAAGAAGAAAAAGAAAAGCAAGAAGTATGTGATGCTATGCAGCAGAACTCCAGCTTCATTCACACAGGAGCAATATTTTGATTTACTAAACATCTTGTTTCCTTTTAGGTCAAAGAAGTCCAAGAAGAAGAAGGCGGCCAAGAAGAGTCATAAGGAATCCAGCAACAGTGAGGAGTCAGAAGAGGAGGAGGAGGAGGGAGAGGAGGGAGAGGAGGAAGATGATCCCAACGGAGTGATGTGGGTGGAGAAAACCTGCATGGATGAGAATGTGGTCGGCCCAGAAGCTCCACTCACACACCTGTCGCAGGACGACAGACCTTTGGAGTAAGTCACATTTCATTTCACGTGATGGGTCCCTAATGCACTCAACATCGCTAGGATTGGAATTTCCAAAATAAAACAAAAGGATGTGTGTAGATTTACAATGCTGACAGTTTATCACTGCCCATATAAATCTATATATTAAAAACGTTGTTACTAACAAAGGGATTCATACTTTTTTTTTATATACAATTTTTTTCCAAACTAATGAGTTTTCTGTTTCTTCCAGTTTCGGTCATGCACTGTTGCCAGGTGAAGGTGCTGCGATGGCAGAGTACGTGAAAGCGGGCAAACGTATCCCCAGAAGAGGGGAGATCGGTCTCACCAGCGACGAGATCGCGAACTTTGAGAAGTCAGGCTATGTGATGAGTGGCAGCAGGTGTGTGTGATATTTACGTGTAGAAATAACATTTTGTATCGTAGCAATGAAATAATTGAGTTTAAGATCATGAGGTGTATATATACAATCTTTTATTATCTTTTGTGTGATGCTGACGAGTTTCCAATGTAACCACGCAGACATCGTCGCATGGAGGCTGTGCGTCTGAGGAAGGAGAACCAGATCTACAGTGCCGATGAGAAGAGAGCTCTGGCCTCCTTCAACCAGGAGGAGCGGAGGAAGAGAGAGAGCAAGATCCTGTCGAGCTTCAGGGAGATGGTGTACAGGAAAACCAAAGGCAAGGAGGAGAAGTGACCATCATTATAGATTACCTTTTATTAGGAGGGGTATTCAGGTTTTATTTCTTTGGATGATAAACACATTCAGTTTTAGTTGAATTCACAGCATTGCAGGAGGATTTTTATCTGGAAAGAAATGTGTAAAACTTTTGCGGGGTATTCTGTTGTAGTATACCTCCATTCTTTACTCACAAGAGTCTTCCCTTTCAATTGTTCCACCTTTACTTGTTCTTGTAAATGTTTATCCTGATCAGAGCAGTAAATAAATTTTCATTATCAAGTTTTGTCTGCACCTTTTTTGTTTTATTTTGAAATATTAAAGGCCTCAATCTTTTGAAGAGTTTCTTCACCAGAAGCAGCAGCTCATTATACAACATTTAAGACTTCAAAAATCATTTCAGTTCACAGCAGGAAAAAAAGTGATATGATGGCACTTGTTTGGCTCTACTGTAAATATTTTAGCTGGTTAGTGGTCAGTAAATTATGTAGTGTAACATGTTCTCTATTGTCTTTTAACCAGTTCACTGGAGCTGGCTGCTATTGTCAGAATAAATATTACTTGTTCAAACACTTCCAAATAATATCCCATTAATTTGGACACAAAGGCAACGATTTTAAATGATCGATTAACTCTCTTTTTCAGGAATCAGGAATCATTTATTGCCAAAATATGTCAAAACATACAAGGAATTTCTTTTGCCGGTTGGTGCGTGACAGTAGACAGTGTAACAATAGACAAGACAACATTGCACAAGTAATAAAATAAAGTAAAAAGAAATGCTAATGCAATGGGTTAGTGGAATAAGGCTATTGGTTAGTATAAAACAAGAGAATAAAGTTAAAGTTAAAAAATATTAAGCATAAAGTGCACAAGTGACGAGTGACGACAAAGTGCTAAATTACAGTTAAAGTGGCATATGCAGTGTGAAGGGGAGTGACCGGTGGAATGTTATAGTCAGTCAGGAGGGGACCGGGCTCTGTTGATGAGCCCGACTGCCGACGGGAAGAAACTGTTGGTGTGGCGGGAGGTCTTAGTCCTGATGGACCTCAGCCTCCTGCCAGAGGGAAGGGGCACAAACAGGTTTTGTCCGGGGTGAGAGGGGTCGGCCACGATCTTTTTAGCTCGCTTCAGAGACCTGGAAGCGAACAAGTCCTGCAGGGACGGCAGATTGCAGCTGATCACCCTCTCTGCAGAGCGGATGACACGCTGCAGCCTGCCCTTATCCTTGGCTGTGGCTGCAGCGTACCAGACGGTGATGGAGGAGCAGAGGATGGACTCGATGATGGCCGTGTAGAAGTGGACCATCATCGTCTTTGGCAGGTTGAATTTCTTCAGCTGCCTCAGAAGAACAACCTCTGCTGAGCCTTCTTTGCAATGGAGCTGATGTTCAGCTCCCACTTGAGGTCCTGGGTGATGATGGAGCCCAGGAAACGGAAGGAGTCCACAATAGTGACGGGGGAGTCGCACAGGGTGATGGGGGAGGGTGGGGCTCTGTTCCGCCGGAAATCCACAACCATCTCCACTGTCTTTAGAGCGTTGAGCTCCAGGTTGTTCTGGCTGCACCAGGACACCAGATGGTCAGACTCCCACCTGTAGGCGGACTCGTCCCCACCAGAGATTAGTCCAATGAGGGTGGTGTCATCCGCAAACTTCAGGAGCTTGACGGACTGGTGACTGGAGGTGCAGCTGTTGGTGTACAGGGAGAAGAGCAGAGGGGAAAGAACGCAGCCTTGGGGGGAACCGGTGCTGATGGTCCGAGAGGCTGAGACATGTTTCGTGCTGGGGAAACATGTCTCAGCCTCTCGGACCATTTTTTCTTCAAATTAATTATTCTGTTAAATTTCTGAAAAACGCACACCTCAGAACTCAAGGAGATGTCTTTAAATGTCTTTCCTGAGCAATAGCCAACCCAACTATGGTTTTAATTTAAATAAAGCGGTTTCTTCCTTACTGAAAAAAAGCAATGAGGCAAAGGGTCATGAATTTACTTTGGAGAGTCTCAGTCATCAGACATTTAAAAACCATCCCCAATACAGCATAGGATGCTCAATGTTGAGTCTACAAATCGATTTAGGCCCTGAAAACAGCACTGTTTTTCACCTGTATGGGGGACAAAACATCTACAGAATAAACTCAACAACGCGTGAACAGATGTAAAACATTTATTTTATTAGAGCACAGATCTCATATCTTTTGAAATTCAACAGAAGAGCCAAGAAGCACTCGTTTCAGTTGTGAAAAATGTAATCTATAACCGGCTGAAATATAGCTGAATGTTGAGTATAATCTTGTAGTTGTCAAACTTCTGGTCATCAGTGGATGTTCTCAAGTCCCTGTTGAGAAGAAGAAAAAAAAGATATCTTAATTCTACATTTTATTTTCATACATCAACTGATGACATTTGTCTAGGCTCTACTTCCTAAATGTTAATCTAACGTTACTGAAAATCACTCACCTTGGACTCATAATACTTTCCCGACCCTGACACTCGCTTGTCTCTCTCCATCAGATACCATTGCCATGGATACCGAGCGATTCTCTTCTCCTACACGGAGAAAAATAAAATGCTCATCAATCCAGTACTTGGAAACAAAAAAAATATGCGCTTCGGACGGACTTCTATTTGAGGACCCGGTCACGTTAGCGTCATCCTCACCTTTCCTCCGTTGGTGAACTTGTGGATCTGCGCGGTGGCGATGCCGGGAATGATCAGACACACGGTCATGACGGCGAAGCCCGGCAGGATTTCATACCACATGATGACAGCCGGTTATCCGTCGGGGGACAGAGGGGGAAACGTGGATAACAACGCCCGGAGACAACCTTCAACGGGTTGTTTAGCTAAGGGGCTAAACAAAATGTCCACTGTGTTGATGACCTGTGTTCCGCTAGCGGAAACAAGGTAACACTTCCTGTTGGATGGTTTTCAAAAGAAAAGCGTCTGCTCTACGAACGTCATCGTTGTACCAATAAGTGACTGTTCTGCCCTCAAACGATTGTTTTGTAAAATATTTCTAATACGATTTATTTTACATCAGGTATTACATTTTAGATTACTAGCCGAATGGTAAGAGAGGAGTTTAGGCAGGAACAAATATAACTCAACATCACGGCGATAGGACGATAATAACAGAAACAAAATAAAAACTGAACTTGCAAGCTTTTATTCTGAAAGCAATCCAAAGAAGGAAGCATGCTTTCTTTGGGATATTATTATTTTCAGTAGATTAAAACGACAAACAAAATAACCCTGCGTTCAAATTGACTGAAAAAACAGACAACAAAACAAAATACATTTATTTAAAATGTGTAATTCAGAGTAGACGCATTCAGAGTATATCTTCACTCGTCGCGCCCTCATCTGGCTATAACACAGAACCGCAGGCCCATCCGCTACAGGGGAAGCCAGCAGGTTGTGCAACATTGTTGTCTGTGAACTAATAAAACAAATCAGGCCTACCAGGTTTACCAAATGTCACCACCACGGTAAAAACACTAAACAATTAGAAAATTAATTTAATTAAATTAAATTAATTAAAAAATTATTATTATTTGTCCCTGTGAGAACGGATTGAACAACACAATACGTTCGTTTGATCAATAAACACTTCGACAGCACCCATTCTGATCCGTTTTGTAAAGAAGTCTCAAGCTATGAATATGGACCCTTAACCTTAACCCTAAAGCCCGTAACCATAAAGGCTAGAAAACCGGCAACTCTCCAAATGGTCACAACACCTCTTCCAAACATTGGCAACTGCGTCGCAAAATCGTGGCAGCCGGAAGTGCCTCGGCTGCCACAATTTGCTCTCTCTCTCTCTCTCTCTCTCTCTCTCTCTCTCTCTCTCTCTCTCTCTCTCTCTCTCTCTCTCTATCTCTCTCTCTCTCTCTCTCTCTCTCTCTCTCAGAAGTTACGGTTGCTACGAGCGGGCTGACTTGCTAACAAAAAAAAAAGTAAACAAGTCTGTGGAATGAGATGATATACAACGGCGGTAGCTAACTTTTTTTCGACAATGAAGGAAGACAAGGAGAACGCTCGGCCCAAGGAGCGAAGGGTGGAAATAAATTGTGACGATGGAGAAAAGACGGAGAAGTCGAAGGAAAAGAAAGAGGCCATGACGAAGGTACAGCTTAGCTTGCTAGGTTAGCCACCTAACCTAGCATTAGTCGTCAGCTCTGGACACATGGTTTTATTAAATAACAGGGTGCTTTTAACATGGTCAGATTGTTGTTCGTTATGTGATAATATCTTAAAATGATTTAAGTATTTTTTTATTTTATTTTTTTTATTAAGATTGTGATCCGACGGTTACCACCAAGTCTGACCAAGGAGGAGCTTGAGGAGCAGTTACAACCTCTCCCGGAGGTGGACTACCTGGAGTTTTTCTCCAACGACGCCAGGTGGATTGATTTAAAGAGGTTTCATTATTTAAAAAATAAACAAACACACAACCAGCGACTCTCAGTCTAACACGAGTGTTCTGTTCTTTCAGCCTTTATCCGCACCTCTTCGCGAGGGCGTACATCAATTTTAAAAACCAAGAGGACATAGTTCTGTTCAGAGATCGATTTGATGGATATGTGTTCATTGACAGCAGAGGTACGAGGAGCATACGTTCATACATGCATGCATGCATTCACAGCTACTGTTCTTCATGCTGCTCCACATGTTGTTGTTAACAGGACAGGAGTATCCTGCTGTTGTGGAGTTTGCACCTTTTCAAAAGACTTCCAAGAAAAGAAGTAAGAAAAGGGACACAAAATGTGGAACAATTGATGAAGGTAAAGATATTTCTGCTATTGTTTATTTTATTGTTAAAAATACAGATTTTGAGATGTGTTAGTTTGTTGTAGTTGTTAAGGAACCTTTTGATATTTTCTCTAAGTATTTTGTTTCTCAAAAGAATCACCTTAAATAGCTGCTAGTTGTTTAACTTCATATTGTATTAAAGTACAGTACTTCAATTAAGAATAGTTTTGAAAATACTTTGCAGTGTAAGCCTTGTAGAAGCAATCCTACTGGAAGCAGCAACATCCATTAATTTGTGTGGTGTTTATTTTCTTTCAGATCCTGATTACAAGAAGTTTCTGGAATTTTACAACGGCGATGACGACAAGTTGGCATCAACACCAGAGACACTGTTGGAAGAGATTGAGGCAAAATCAAAGGAACTTGTCGGTAGGTGAACGCTCCCTAAATATGCATGGTACATTTAATAAGACACACACACTCACACACTGCTAGTTAAATGATTTTAAATATGCTTTCTTTCTCCCTTCAAGCTAAAAAAACAACTCCTCTGCTCGACTTCTTGAAGAATAAACAGGTAAATAAATAACTGTGGCCCAACAGTTTGGTGTACGAGTTACATTTGTTAAGTTGCATTGTTAATGCAGACCTCGTGTTTTATTTGACTGCTGTTTAGAGAATCAGAGAGGAAAAGAAAGAAGAGAGAAGGAGGAGGGAGCTTGAACGCAAGCGCCAACGTGAGGAGGAGCGTCGCAAATGGAGGGAGGACGACCGGAGGAAGCGCAAAGAGGCAGAGAAAACCAAGAGACATGAGAAACCCCTGGAGAAGGACCGGGACCAAGTTAAAGAAGAACCAAAGATTAAGGTCTGAGATGCATCGCATTAAAGTAGTTTAATATGGTGTGAAATCTCCAGCAGCTCATTATGATTTATTTCTCTTTCATTTCAAATGTGTAGCTTTTGAAGAAGCCAGAGAGATGTGATGACGGCGATTCTGAGAACCCCAAGGAAAAGATCAAGAAACCCGACTGGCCAAACAAAGACGACAGAGCCGTGGGAGGCGCCGATCATAAGAAGCGTCAACACATCGAGAATAAGGAGGATCGAGGAAGGAAGTTAGTTGCTCAAGTAATACAAATATAAAAAATGCCACTTTGAACAGATTACCTGAACCTAAATCGTGCTTTACGCTCAGAGTGGACGAAGAAGGGAGGAAGGAGTTCAGGGAGCGTGACCTGGATCGAGACCGAGAGCGCGACAGGGAGCGGGAGAAGGAGCGGCTGCAGAGAGAGAAGGAGCGCATCCGGCGGCAGACGGAAAATCGTCGTAGAAGGAGAGAGCGTCAGGACGGAGAGACGTTGTGCAGGAGGAGGGAGGACGATGTCAAAAAAGACAAAGAGCGTGCCAAGGAGAAGAAAAGGGGCGAAAACCTCGGAGACCCTACTCACTCTGAGAGGCCGTCGAAAGACTACAGGAAGGACGAAAGTAGTAAACGAGAACGTCTACGAAATAAGGTGACGACTTAAAGCCTCTCAAACAAAGTCATTTTTGCAAATGTTCAGTACCTTTAAGAGCATTGTTTCTTTACATCAGGACCGGCCCGCGATTCAGCTGTACCAGCCCGGAACCAGAAGTCGCACTCGAGGAGGCGGAGGAGGAGCAGGAGGGGAATCCAACTCTGCTGACAGAAAGCCAGATACAGAGAGCGGGAAAGTGGCTGACAAAGGAGAGGATTGAGCACATCTACACTCATGCCATTTGAAGTGTGGTGAGGAGAGGGGAGACAGGCCTGCGAGGCTCAGGGCAGCAACGTGGCACCTCAGGGCGACATGCACAGTAGTTCAAGCAGGGCTGCACCCCGGCTCTCCCAATCCGAGGCAGAGAGGGGATTGCGGAGCCTCTTTACGTTTTTATTTTTTAGGAAAGGTAACCGTAAACGTTGGCTCACAGTTTGGCTGTAGGGCACATTAGTCTAAACCAAAGCTTTCTTGGACCACGTAAACTCAAAGTGACCTTGCTTCAGTAATGTTTCCCTGATGTGCAGCGCAAGCAATGGCTTTAAACATGTTTGTCCATATCACAACTTCCCAATTACTCAATTCAAACATCGCAGAGCTCATCAATATTGGTTCTTCGTTAATGAGATTTCTGTTGTTGCGTTGACGTGTTCAGCTTGAAGTCTAGACATGGGAATCTTTCTCTGCACGGGAAGTGAGACTATTCCAATTTATGTGCAGCACTTTGCATTTCTTCATGGTCCGTCGTTGTAAAATTGTGTTGTATCCTGAGGTACAAAGTCTGTACGTAACCTGATTTTGAGATCATGTATTTTGTTCTCACAGTCCTACAGTGACCGAGAGGAAGCTGCCATTTCAGACTAGACTGCCATGTGAAAGCCATGCAAGCTTCAATCAGAGGGATCAACCAGTGGCCTTCCTTGCTTTTCTAAACTGAATCTGCTCTTAAACATGAACGTGTGGCACTAAACTGAATACAGCACTCTCGGAATACAGAGAAAACATCGCTGCTGCTGAAGCTTATACACATTAGCCATGTTTGACTAGAAATAAAAGAGCTCTTCGAGTATGTGTACATGTCCTTTTTTTCCCTCTTTGAAATGATGTTCATTATTACAATTAAAAAATAAAATGTTTAAGCTTTTGATTGATTTCATAACACATAACAAGTTTTATTGAATCCATTTAATTAGACTTAGTAGGGATAATAAATGCGGGAAACTAGACATGGATATTTGTCCAAGATGACGGGTTGGACTGGGACCGAAAGGTTTCCGTTCTGCCAACAACATCCTGATATACTCCTTTGATTAGACGAAATCTAACATAGGGTTCTGCTCTCATACCTACAAGTTGACTTTATAATGCAGACCCTAAACTACCAAACCCTAACTTTTTTTTATCATTTTTAATCCCAAACATTTGAACTGTTTCAGATAAACAATTACCAGACAGATTTTTTAGGGTTCCAGTAATAACGGGGATTATTTTTGGGCTGTGGTGGCCGCGATGGTCAGATCCTTTAGTACAAGTCGCAATACTCAGATGTAAAAACAAATAAGTATTCGTTCCCTAAAGTTTAAAAATTAGAATTTCTTACAAGACAGCTATATTAAATTCAAATTTTTGTCATCATTAGTTATTAAGCAGAAAGTTCATATTTCAGCAGATGGAGGTGGAACTAATTATAACTACTTTAAGAATTGTTGGTTATTCACATTTCTAAATTTGTCTTGTATGTAAAATGTGTAGGCCTACACGTAAACTAGCTGAACATGGCAGCTAAGAGAGAAAACATCATCCCATATCACTTCATATCCATACTAATTAATAAGAGTACTAAGTACGGGCCACTTAATATTAAGTATTAAGTAGCATCAACAATAAAAAAATACCCAAAGAATAGTCCAGGCCGCTATGGAAGTCCACGGATTGTGCCTGAAAGTACCACGATGCATTTAAACACATCCACCGCCTGGTGTCGCTGTGTGTATGACGCCTACCCTGCCTGGTGGACGCTTATTGGATAAAACCACCGACGTCACTTCCTTCTTTCTCTTCGTCCGGCGACATAGTCGGGAAAGGACTGTGGACAATATGGTAAATATAAAATCTTAAAACATCCACGTCTGCAGTCCCTCTAAACATGCACTTTTATGTTGTGTGATTGATAATTATCTCAATGGTACCTCACAAATGTATATGTTGTCCAGAAATATGAAATATGTAGTCTCATAGTAATGTTGCTAATGAATGCTAGCCAGTAACCACTGCGCATGATAGCATGTAACAGCCTTCATTGACCTAAATATGTATTCTAACGTGACTTAAATACAGTCGGTTTGATTTGCAGATGTAAAATATTTAATGGGTTTGCGCTCTTTGTTGTTTTCTAGTCGTCCCACAAGACTTTCAAAATCAAGCGCTTCCTCGCCAAGAAGCAGAAACAGAACAGGCCCATTCCTCAGTGGATCAGAATGAAGACCGGAAACAAGATCAGGTGAGTTTATTGTTAGTAGTAGTTTCGTATTTTTCAGTGTTAACCGCTGCAACCGGTTCACGTGGACACGGATTTACCAGTTATATCACTGAGCTATTACTTGTTATGTTATCGTATTGGTGCTCTTGTTAACATGTGCAATTTGACTTACCAGCTGTTCAGACACATCCTATTAAAACCAGTAGTCTGATTCAAGATTTCTGGAATAAGTCCTACCATAGGTTGTCTTGTTGGGTCTCATTCAGGTGCAGTGAATCTACTTAATAGGTATTTTTGAGGCTCCATAATAACCATAAAATGCAAAGAATGGCATGTAAATTACATTATATCCCCCCCTCAGCAAGAGTTTGGAGTTATTTAATGGCTGTGAATTTGCTCTCTAATACCGCTTCTTTGCTGAGTTAGCTCTCTGTCATCTCTATCAGTAAGTGCAGAGATGGAAGACTCACTAATGCAGAGAGGAAACTGGAGTTTAATGTTATGTAAAGCAGGTCTGCAAATGCAGCACTTCATTGCCGTGGCGTGTTGTCATTAATCCTGCTGAGAGCATTTTTCTGCTACGCAGCTCCTATTCCTCCTCACAGTGGAGCTGATGACGCTTTGTAGCAGAATATTTCACTGTTTTATCCAAAGGAGCCAATTTATCTACTGAATAGCTCTGCTGTAAGACTGTCATAGTTGTTTACTCAAATGATTCTCATTATGGCTGCAAGGATTGTAGCAAACTATTGAGGGAGTAAAAACGAGATTTTGACTTATCAGGTTTAAGTATGGACTTAATGTCACTACCAAGGCTGCTGAAATAAGCCCAGAATATGCATCATTTAAACTAAACCCTTGAACCTGCTCTTATTTTGAACGCTGCTACTGGAAACATTTTGTAGTTTGGGGCTCAAATAAATTCAAAGAGCTGCGCAGTGAGTGCCTAGTGGCATATCCTGCTTCAGGATTTAATGCACATAAACTACAGCTTGCGGTTTTGTAATTGCTTATCATCAAAACCATCATGGTTGAACCATAAAAGTTTCAACTATCCTGAATCATTTCCCTAAATATGGTTTGATTTCAGGTACAACTCTAAGAGGAGACACTGGAGAAGGACCAAGCTTGGCCTGTAAACATGGGGATCTGTGGATCCCTGCGTCCCTCCATTCCAACATCTGCCAGGACGTCCAGCTGCTGGGCCTGACCCGGAGGAGGGAGCCATGTTATCTGGAGCAGCATTTTTGTACAGATACTCTGGTTATGCTCATGTTTGATAATTAAAGATCTGTGGTCAAACTTGATATGAGGATTCCCTGGCTTTATTTTTTGCAAACAATTCACTTTTCTTCCTGAGGTACACTAAACATCCTCGGGCTTATGCTGCTTCGGCAGAAGGTTTTACACACCTGACCACACAGCAAATACTTCTGTAACATTGTTTCTAGTTTGGCCAGAATCTGCTTGAGCTTTAATGTTCGTGCCAAAGAAAGCACCGCTATTACACCAGTAGTGATGGGAAGTTCGGATCTTTTTTTGAGTCATTCGTTCATTTCGGGGGGGTGGTATGCAGGACACGTGATAGATGATCTACAGATCTGTATCCGGCAGATAAATGAATCGTTCACCTCCCGACCGTGTCTTCGGGTCAAGGATTCGTTCATCGGTGACCTGCATAGGCTCAGCACTGGTACCACTTGGTTGGCAGAAGGATCATTTTCCACGTGACCCTGCAACGAATCATTTGTTTCCGTGGCTGAGCCTATGCAAGTCCCGATGCGTGGCCACGAGAAAATGAACTAATCTTTTTTTGAGAGGACTCGTTAACTCTCGAGTCCTTGTAGGGATTCGTTCAAAATGAACTTTGTTCAATTGTTCACGAACGACACATCACTCCACCACCAAAACCATTCAAAAGATCAACTGAGTATCAGTCTGTAATCTTTGACAATTCACTTTATTTAGTTACACATTAAAACGTTCCTTTTAAAGCATGTAGGAAACACTGCACCCACAGTTGTCATTTCTGTCTGTCTGGTTTTTGAGCATTTTCCAGAAATTGGGCTTTAAATAAATGTACAGGAACACCAGGACTCAACGTTAGTACCTTTTCTCTTCAGAACGTGGACATCACTGACACTATCAACCCCATGTCAGATAACAACCAAGTGTTACAACCCTTCAGCTTTTCCCAAAAAACGAGGGCAGCAGCTTATTTAAGAACCCAAACCTCCCGCTGCCCCCCCTCTGAGTCCGCACCAAGGAGCCCACCGCCGCTGCCCCTCCGCGATCGACCTCGCCGTGCGCGGTCAAGTTCATCGCACCGGCGCTGTTGTTGTTGAAGTTCCGTTTGCCGTGTCGCGCACACCCGCCGTCGTCGCGGTGCTCGTCGTCCCAGGTGCCCAGCAGCTCCCTCATCTCCCGCGGGGCGTCTCCCCGCAGGTACTGCCACGCTCTCCTCCCGCTGTGGTCCATGGCATCCACGTCGGCGCCCAACGCACCGACCAGCAGCTTGATGACCATGTACTGCGCGTGCATGCTGGCGACGTGCAGCGGCGTGAGCCCGCCGCTGCCCCTCGCGTTCACGTTGACGGGGATCCCCGCGCCCTCTGCGTGGCGCACGAGCTGGAGCAGAGTCTCGCCGCGTCCGCTCTTGGCCAGCCAGTGCAGCGCCGAGTACCCGCTGATGAAGTCCCTCCTGGTCAACAGGTTCGGGTCCTCGGAGATGAACTCCAGGAGGTCCTCGTAGCTCCCGTCCACGGAGGACAGCATCCACGCGTGCTCCATCGGAGACAGAGCCCAGCCGGCGATCTGCTCGGAGGACGCGACGCTGAGCCTGCTTGGGGTCGGGATGCTCAGGAGGAGCAACTCCTTCAGGTGTTTTTTACGCATGGCGGGTGTGAGCGACCCTCGCTCCGAAGCCTCCCTCTGAAGCCCCCCCGGCGCGGGGCCGTCAGCGACCTCCAGCCGCCTCTGCAGCCTCGACATGCGTTGGAAGGCACTGGGCATGACCTGCATGCCGTACCGCGAGAGTCGCTCCACCACGGTGGCCTGTCGGGGCGTTCCGTCGGTGTGACCGGCGGCTGGTTCGGATCCAGGCGGGTCGCGTCCGGCGTCATCTGGCCGGCTCTCATGCATGCTGCTCGGTTCCCTGCGCGGTGAGCTCAAAGGCGACTTCCTTTATTTGGACAACACCCCGAATACCGCATTGAGTGATTGTCTGGCAGCTGGTTCCACCAGATGAACTGGACTCATTGGCTGAGGCATTGGAGGAACGTCTATTTTAATACGTCCACATTAAAATGTGGGAGATGTTCCAGATTGCAGCTTAAAAATAACGATTCTACCAATAGAGGAAGTTCCGCATTTTGCAGAGTAAAGTCGAGAGACATCATATCAAACACCGCCAATACGTTCGTGCCACTCACCCGTTCGGCCAAACACACGCACTCCCATTTAACTCCACATGGTATCAATCATTAAGCGCACTACACTAGTAACAAAGTTGACAGGAATATGAATAATTGTTTAAGAGTCTCTCCGAAACAAAGCGACACATCCCATAGTATCTCCCTTTAAAATAGGAACTGAAACAAATTTCATTCTTATCTCAGACGAAAGCAATCGCGAGAATTCCTCCCATGTGACCAACGATGGACTTCAGAGCAGGAAGTACAGCGCTCCCTCCCCTGATACCTCGTCACCCATTAGAAAAACAACACGGCAAAGCCAAATGAGATGGCAAGAACAGATAAAATAAACTTTATTTCAGTAAAAAAAACAAAAAAACAAAAACATGCATCAACATTCAGTGGGTGAAAGATTCTGGAGGAAGTTCAACAGTGAGCTCATCCAGTGTTTGCAAGAAGGCGTCCAGCTCCGAGCAGTGATCTGTGGAGAGTTAATGATATAGTGAGTTAATGAAACCACTTATTTGGAGCATGCAGCCCATACTTGTGGCTCCAGCTGCCTGACAATTATAGCTTCTCATTCAGTTATAAATGGTCATTTAGAAAATTGTCATTTGCATAAGATAAAACAATTACTTTTTCAGAACTATTCCTTCATGAAAAAGTGCAGGTTATTTGACCAGTGTAAAGCTGCATCGGTTTTATTGAACTTAGGGTAAACCATATGCTGGTGTATAGTTTTAATTTTTTATTATACATTTCTTAAAAAATACAAACTAGTCAATAGAACTAATTATTGCAATTTCGGTAAACTAACAAACCTCACAATAGGTAATTGTGTTTGGCCAGGATATAAACATTGAATTGCACATATTTCACCATCATTATAAACACAGGGAGCAGTTTAATCATTGTCGAAAAAAGAAAAAAAATCCACCCTAAGTTGAGCTTTCTTAATTATTGACGGTGTGTTTATTCAAACACTGATGCTATATTAAAAATATTTTTCTCAGCACCAAATGAATTGCAGTAGATACCTGAACGTTGTGGCATCTTTACAGGCGATGGATTTGGGAGTGCAGCAATAGTTTCCAGGCAGTCGCACAGACGAGGAGCTCGAGGGAAACGTGCCAGTCCGGGCAGCGCAAAGTCACCGAGGGGAATCAAATCCTCAGGCACGCCGTACTTCTCGAACGCTGGAAAGATAGACATCAGGATTTGCTTTAATACACGTTTTTCCTGGACTCAAGGGTTTTATCCATTTTAACCGAGTTAACCTACAGAACGAGATTAAAAAAAAATCCAACGTGACACCCTTTGTGTGAGAAGCAGTCATGCACGCATGGCGTTTGTAAACTGCAGCTACACTTCTAAAATCATGAAAGTGGCGTTAATTTGTGAGGAAACAAAAACATGCAAGAATCATAAACTAGTTTGCCACTGAGCGCTTTCTGCAATAGCCATGCACCAGTGACGCAAACTTCAGTGGTTGGCCTACAAAACAAATCCCTGTAGTGCACTACGGGTTGAGTCCCGAGGGAATAAACCATTAATGGACTTTCTAATTGAGCTGCAACTCCCATCCAATGTCCATCGCTGAAATGTGAGCTTATAGCCGATAGTTATCTTACGAATATGCAGCAGTCGGAGTGTGCCTTAAATTGTTAACTTTTGTATCACCAGAATAAAATGTTAGAAAAAAAAAAAAAAAAAAAGAAGTGTCACGACTGAATGAGTCAGTTACCAAGTGGGTCGTAAGGGATGAACTTCTCAATTTCTGGGTATTCCTCCACTTTGTTCATAGAGGCAGGTTTGACTTTAGTTTCCTGTGGGGAAATCATTGCATTAGTACACAAATAGTTTGAGGTACACAGTACACATCCTGACATTCAGATTGCAACTCTTTGGTTTATTCCGACCTGTGGCTTTAACTTCTCTTGTGTGCCGACGACAGGGGTGGCCATTCGTTTGTTGACGGCACCAAAAGCCTTACGGCCCAATTGCAGGGGTGTGTGTAAGGTTTTGGCACTCATGGGAGATAGAAGTTTCTCTGGTAGAAGAAAAGGGCCCACGGTTAACTGATCAATATTACCAAAAAAGAATATAGCACATGGTTTGAACTTACCTGGAGCAGACTGAAGGCGCTGACGCATCTTCAGATTAGGTGGCTGAAGACATGCGTTCTCTCGCTCAGCAAAGATTATGTTGGACATTGTATCTGAAGACACAAGATGACATTAGCTCAGTGAACACATTCGCACTCATTAAGGAGGAGACCGTTCTGTGAGGTTAATTATTTAGACACAATCCAGCACAAAAAGGGCCAATAGGGCTTTGGCATTGTCCATGCCGGGTCGTCGGACAACTGACTAAACCAGTTACCATTAGTGATGAGTGCTGAAAAAAAAAAAAAGGCTTTTAGGTCCCAATTTAATGTTCAACAAATTTGAAATTTGGGATTCATTTTGGGATACGATACGATCGGGGATGCTCATTTTATAGATATGCATTGATCAGAAAGATACATTCATTAAAATTGCTTTGTGAAAGTTGATGCTTGAATTTAGTATTCAAGGGAGTTGCAGCTTCAACACATTTATCACAATATCGATGGCTTTTAAGCCAGTAAGTGGAACGTTTAAAACAAAAAAAGTTCTCAAAATGGTTAGCAGTTGCCTTAAAGGGCAAATTCACCAACGTTAGAAAGATTGCAAACACCAAATCTCCTGTAATTGAGCAGTTAGCTGCCCATTTAAAATGAACGTCGAATGTTCTAACGTTGAGATAATTTCACCGAGTTGATCACTTTTCAACGAGCCAAATAGAACGTAAAACTACCTCACCTACGTTTGTTTAGTCTCCGTTAGTAGGTTAAAACCACGTTACGTGTAACGTTATTAACACAACGTGCTAACTGCAGCTGTGCCTCTGATAAACCCGTGTTAAAGTTACCTCACGTCAGGTGCGCTAGACGACGTTTGTTGCTCCTTCACTCCGGGGCTTCTCGGTTGTTATGGTCAGGAACTTCCGCCTACGAGCACCCGCGGCTGTTTTTTAAAATCCACGGCTGCATCCTATTGGTCGCTGAACCGAAGACGCCTTCAATGGGCGTTTCCATAAAAGACGTTCGACAGCAGAGCCGTAAAATGAGAGTCGCGTCATATACGTTCAACCCCCGTGCAGCATATTTACACCAGTGGGGGTTCACAGATCTATCGAAAATAGTAATTCTGAACTCATTTGCAGATCTGTGTTTACATGTTTGATGTGTATGCTACACTTAATTAAGGTGTTATGGATGCGCAATATTCACCCATCGTTTAGCCTAAAATACGTCAACAAAGGTACAACTAGTAACTCTAGGTGTTACAATTCCTCAAATATCAATACATTTTTTTTAAACGTCTAATATATCTAAAATAATAAATATGTGATTCTTCCACATTCATAGTATAAATCATTTAATGTTCGTCTGAGGTACGACGATAACCTGTGACGCGACAATACGGCTCTAATCTACGATAGCCTTTGATAAATGAACCACCGTACATAAATAACGTGACGACCGAGCTATTTAGTAAATAGTCCTGTGTAGTTTATTTAAGTTACGGTGAAATACCTATTCTCAGATACACATTTGACAAATTAGTCCTACGTTCCCAACAACTCAAACATAGCTTATGTATTAATATCAAGTTATATCAAGACAATGTTCATTCCTGTTTAGCAAGCTTCCATTGTAGTTTCCATTTAATGGTCTCTCTAATTCGTAATGGGCGACACCAACGACGCATCGTGTGGGGGGTGCTCGGTGGATATCACTCATTTTTTCATCCCCAATTTTCTTTTGGAAGACATTTCTTCAAAAAACGAGCCGAGTTGTACCCGGCGTTTATAACGGTCCCGAGTGAACAACGTCCGAGTTATTACAGTGGGGCACAGCCGCCAAAACAGTCCGTTGAATAATGGTACATTCCCACTAGGCCACCTTTCGGCGTAACGTCGGCAACGCAGCTTCCTTTGCTCACCAGAAACAGCGGCAGAGGTTTCCACTACCACCATGGCGTCAACTGAGATAGCAAGGCAAGCGGTGAGTAACCTATTTTACTCAGGATGCCATAGCCACCATCAACGCGTAGCTCTTGAAATACGTTTGCTGTCCTTTTACCTACGTCAAATATATTTAATTTCCGCCTTACGCGCGTGGAGATGTTTAACGTTAGGTTTGCTAGCACGCGCGGTTTCGGTTAACGTTAATTCTCCATTCAAAATTCAATGGAGCGTCGCCAAACAAGAACCGACATTTGCGGGCGGTTTGCTCTTACCAACTCACTGCGCCTTCCTCAGATCTTATTAAATACGCGGTTCAAATTAAGTTAAGACCGAAGCTTTGCTCAGTGGTAGCATTCTCTTAATTTCCATTTCCGTCAGCTAACGCCTGCAGACATCCTGTGCCGATATCGATGGCTAAAGAATGACGGTTTCAATCGAAATGGCGCTGCGCGGACTGAAATAACGTGCACTACCGTGTAGTGTATTCCGTTATTAACGTTGGCTCGCGGGAAACGGACGACCTAACGCGGTGCCCATCGGCGGGCCATTCATTCCGAGCGTCCCCGGTAGAGCACAGCCGCGGCGCTTATTTCCGTTATGTTGTTTCGTGTAACGTTGAGTCCCGTTAACTTTGGTTCGGGCGTTGCCTGACGTACCAAATAAATTCTGCTCGTTTAAAGTCGTTTCGACCGTGTCATTTGGAAATGATTATGCAAAGTTTACCTGGCTTTTTGTTTGGAGGGGGGGTGGAAGGGAAGCCACTTCCCCCGCAGAAAGACTGCTCTGAATTGCATGGTTTTGCATTTTTGATATCGCGTTTGCGGCCCAGTGATTGGCTATAAGTGGCTGGTAAAGCAAGAATGGTTTCAGGAATGTTGCACTTGCAGCCGAAGAGCAAAGGCTGTTTGTACAGTCATATCACCCCCCCTGTTTCCCCCAATACTCCCCTCAGCTGTTTAAACCCAATTTTAACTATCCAAATAATCCACAACTGTCCAGTGCCATCAGCTTGACCGGTTATTTAAAATTGACCCTCAAACGAAATGTTTTTTCTACCGAAGCCACATTGGAGAGCAAGTCGAGCAATGCTGCGTTATGTTAAGCCACATAATGGCTGGTTGGCTGAGGTCTAGCTGGTTGCGAGCCCTCACTTTGGTGTATAATCTAAATTCTTTGCTTTCCTGCACCTCATAATATAGACGTGGGCTGCCAAAATGAGATTCGCGGAGATGGAGATACTCAACAGCAGCCACACGCCCCCACACACATGGACCAACAGTGCTTTTACACTTGGGTGTTTTGTGTGGGCCCCGGTCCAGAGAAAGACTGTGTACAAACAGTATAAAACTAAGTGCAACCGGCGAAAAATAGAGAGTTAAAGGGTTCGAGTCAAAGTGAGACGCCAGACACACAAGTTCCATTTATGTACATTGTGGGTCGTAACCGTCTCGTTTGTGGGAAGACGGTTCAAGCTCAGGAAACAGGAAGTGAGCAACGTTGTATCCGAAGCCAGCATCAAAGTATGACATGATCAAATGTTGTGGCAGGTGCTTTCACTTGAGTGTGATTTTGATATACATTGGTATTTCTGCACGGGGAAACACAGTTCTCGACATGTATATGTTTTTGTAGTGTTAAAGAGAAGCCACAGGCTTCTAATATGGCATACAGTCAATCTGATGTTTACTGTTGATTTTAGGGGGAAGGTGCTCGTGCCGTCCCTCTGGCAGGCCATGTCGGCTTTGACAGCATGCCGGATCAGCTGGTTAACAAGTCTGTCAACCACGGGTTCTGCTTCAACATCCTCTGTGTTGGTAAGTATGCATTAAAATACGTTGTCTCTCGCTCTCTCTCTCACGCTCTCCCTAGGCTAAAAGATGACTTATTTGCTGCAATGAAAGCCAAGCATCTCCACAAGATGCACAGCACATTGCTTTGCATTTGACCTGCTTGAAATCTTTTCTGGCCAATGAGCATTGGTGATTAGAAATTCATAATTGTAGTATTTTAGTGTATTATTTTAGTATGACAATTATCATTTTGCATAATGCTAATTTTATTAGACATGACACAGGCACACCAACATAGAAATGGTCATTATTTTCCCTTGCTCTCAAGACCTTGATGTATGATATTTGTTTGGGTTATGTTTGGGTTTTAATGTCTAGTTATGTTCCGACAATATGTATGGCTTGAATATTTTGATGATAGTTGGACCTTTTTAGTGGAATTCTTTAGACTTTTTTGTTCACTGAGTCCATTTACGCTTGTGAAAGAGTGAAAAATGGATACGGTCAACAATAATGTATTTTTCATAATAGAAAAACAACTATTATAAGCCCAGAAATAGGAAATGTGATGCATCTTTTCCTTTGGTTTCTAGAGGAGATTTAGAAATGTGGAGCAAAAAATGGGCTAACATGCTTAGGCTGTAGGTCAGGCTGTGAGGAATAAAAATAGAATTTCTGACAGAGGGAGCGCTTCATCTGAGTCATATGACAGCCTTTTAACAGTGAATGGATTTAAGAATGCATCAGCGAATAATAACTACTGCTGCTGCTTTTGTGATCAGTTAGAGCATCGATTTATCAGAAGCGTACAAAAATCAAAAACAGGAGGTAGAGACTGAATGGAGGTAACAGTTCTGTCTCAAGGAATTCAAGATAAATGTTTATTGGATCCCAGTAACATGAGACTATTTCTCTTGTGATGTCCAGGCGAGACGGGTCTGGGGAAGTCCACTCTCATGGACACGTTGTTCAACACCAAGTTCGAGGGCGAGCCCACCCAGCACAACCAGCCAGGAGTCACGCTCAAATCTAATACCTATGAGCTCCAGGAGAGTAACGTGCGCCTCAAACTCACTGTCGTCAACACTGTAGGCTTCGGAGATCAGATCAACAAAGAAGACAGGTAACTCAATCCGGACAAATGTCACTTCTTTCTGGGAGAGAGAGGTCTGTATCTCAGAAAACCGGGTTTTTTCACACATCTGGCAGAAATTCCCTCTTGATCATGCACACTACATTCCTGACATACAATGACTTTGTGAGAGCTCTGAGCTCTTTGGGGGCTCAGGTTCCTTCGGTTCCCAATCCTGAGTGAAATGCGTACAATGGGGAATCAGGTATCCATCTCACCGAATTTTTTTGCCGCAGTTTCCTTGTATCAACTTTTCCAAACTATCCTTTTCTGGTGTTTAACAGAATTTCTGTTATGTTTGATGATGTCTTTTTCAAAATCCAAAAAGCATTGTCAGCAGGCTTCCTATCCGCGGTGTAATTACTAAAACTCATTATACTCTTCATAGTGAAGCAAATGACACACCAGGCGCCAGCTGTGATTATGTCACAGGTGCACAACCAAGCGTCGTGACCCCCTGCCTCTGAATTTATTTTTACTCCGTGCATGTGATCACGTGACTATCATAAACATATTTTGTAGAAAAATTACATGGGGAAATAAAATCAAAAAATATCATGGAAAGAAATTCAAAATATGTTCGTTAAAAAAATGTCATAGGAAAAACAAGTCAATATTGAAATGTCGTATTGTTGGGAATGCTTCAGTTGTTTACGGACAATGAATTGCATGGGTAAGGACCCCATAAACAGTCTTTGTCCTCCAAATTTGGCAACATTTGAAGGAGCTATGCTAAGCTAAGATATGCTCATCTTACTTCTATTTCTCCCTTTTCTGGCAGCTACAAGTCTATTGTGGAGTTCATTGATGCCCAGTTTGAGGCATATCTACAAGAGGAGCTGAAAATAAAACGCACGCTACACAGCTACCACGACACCCGCATCCACGCATGCCTGTATTTCATCGCTCCCACAGGACACTCACTCAAATCGCTGGACTTGGTGACCATGAAGAAACTTGATAGCAAGGTGAGCTTTGCTTCACAAACTGTTGTCGTCAGCCAGACGCCATCTTATCTCTCCATACTGTTGATCTAGTTTGTGTTGGTTCTTTGACGCTTTGGGATAATTTCCTCAGTTACTCGGGTGTTGAATGACAAGGCCCCCTGTACTGCAGAAGAATGTTGTTAAAGAATACCTAATATGTAATGCTGAGAAACGTGAACAGACTGAGTGACATGCCGTCAGCAAATCCTTTGGCACTGCATTGTTATTTGCAGCATTTGATCCATCTACTCTAGTCATCGGTCGTAAACCTTTTCTAGGCCATCTGCCTGCATGCCGATTGGCTGTGGTCTCGTTATTGCGTCGGTGGAGGTCAGCTGCGGAACTCTGTCCGCTCGTTGACTTCAGTCCTGTTTCTTTCTTTTTTCTTTTTTTTTCCTTTTTTAGAAAGGGCCTTTCCACGGTAGCTTATTTGCATGGACCTCCTGCCTTTTGTACAAAGAGTCAGCTCAGTGTTTGCCAGAGCAGCTGTCCCCTCTGGCTCGTACGCACAACAGCGTGATCCAGAGCGGAGCAGCCTTAGTTTACACATTCACCTCGTGGGGGGGGGGGGGTACAAGCAAATCTCAAAAGTGTCCACAAGTAAGATGTTTATTCCCCACCCGACACAATAGTGAAGTAAATAATTACTTGTTCACGTCAACCTGAATGTCCTTTGCCGTTAAAGCCCCCCTCCAACTCCCCCCACCCCCTGGTTGGAGAGAAAAATGACTTGGGATTGTGTGGGCGACTGAGCTCGTAGGAAATAGTTGTGTGGTTAGGAAAGTCTTGTAAGTAGGTGCATATACAAGCATGACCCGGATTGTATTTTCTCTTCTCCTGTCTTCTCTTGTAGTTTACTCTTCTTTTTGAGTAGCATGGATAGCACAGATGTGGTAGAAAACACTCAAATCATACTGGTAACACCATGTTTGGAGAGCTTTCAAGTGATCTGAGGAAGGAGACGGAAGCCTGCAGCTCTTTGTGCTGCCTCTGCTATTTTTATCTCTGCGCTCAAGAACGTGGAATTGTGTGTGATACAATAAGGCCTGGAGCTACTGTGTATTGAAATGATGGAGAGAGCACAAGTTACCCTGGGTAGGCCGTGATTGACAGGGGCATGAAAGAAAGCGCCATGGGTGTATTTTATTCTGTTACCTAACCTGAATGGTGGTTGAGATTGTATCCTAAAAGACCAGCGTTAGGTGAAAAGAAGTGTTTTCTAACCTTGTGGCACTTAAAATAAAAAAAAACTGGTGATGAAGAAGTCCACTGACAGACATCTGGTGTTTTACTGCTTCTCTGAAAGCATTGTGTGCACCACGTCATTGTGTCGGCCTCTATTCAAAATCTCTCAAATTCTTAACTGCAGGTCAACATCATCCCAATCGTTGCCAAGTCGGACGCCATCTCCAAGAGCGAGCTGGCGAAGTTTAAAATCAAAATCACCAGTGAGCTGGTCAGCAACGGAGTGCAAATCTACCAGTTCCCCACTGATGATGAGTCTGTGGCAGAGATCAACTCCACCATGAACGTAGGTCTCCCTACTCGCTCTCTGTCTACATTGCAGGCTTTTACGCAGAACTGTTAATATTGTCCAGACAAGCCTCCCTTTAAATCCTATGGGAATACCAACGGAAGCTGTTTGTGGGGAGGATTTGAAGAAAGCTCAGAAGAATGTTTCACACCCCCCTCGCTCTTTTATCTGCTTCACAGAGCCATTTGCCGTTTGCCGTGGTGGGAAGCACTGAGGAGGTGAAGATCGGGAACAAGATGGTGAAGGCCCGGCAGTACCCCTGGGGAACAGTGCAGGGTAAGCCTAGGTCACACCCTGCACAGGAAATGAGAGCACGCTCCCCCCGTTCATGTCCCTCCTCGGGTCCAACAGCTGCTGTTACATAACCTCCTTTAGCTGCAGCACCCTCTCTCCCATTAAGCTGTACGTTAGCGCATGACATGCCTTTTTTAATGATTCATTATTATTGACCTACTTGATCTGTACATAATGGAGTGGGTAATGTATTGGGAAGCTAGTAGATCTAATAAATTAACATCTTGGTTTTTCAAAGATCACACAGTAAAGAAATGTTAAACACGAGGACATCTTGAAATGTCTTGTTTGGTCCAACAGCCAAAGCTAGTTTGTAATAATAAAAACAGAATAAAGAATAAATCCTCACGTGTGAGAATCTAGATCAGCCGATGAGGAATTTTAGCCTCATCAATAACCAGAGTGATGTTGTGATTATAAATATAGTTGACTAATTTTCCGACAATTGATTAACTGTTGCCTCTCTACTTTAGAGCTCAAGTGTATTGTTGACTATGAGGCTTATTTACTTTAATTTATTTTCAGTGTGTCATACATACACATCATCTGTGTCGAAAGTTTAGTTTTTTTAGACATGTATCAATATATATTTATATCCCCAAGCTGAGAGACTGCACTTTAACTTCAGCCATTTCTTTTTAAATATAATGTGCTCAACATTACAATTGCATCCACAGGAATAATAAGAATACAAAAAAACCTGTTCTCCTAGTAATTACCAAATGCACTGTTTAATCTCTCCATTCTTTATCTCGTATTGATTCTTTTCTCACACTGATATCATACAAGTCTCACACACACACACACTCACACGGTCTGTGGGAATGTTCCCCTCAGTCCTGTAACAAAATCCATAAACAAGCCACAGGACGTAAAAACACTTTTCTGTTCTGACTGGAACTGTGAATCGCTCTCTCATGTTTTAATACATTAGATTGATTAATTCAAACATTAAGTGATGCTGGCGTTGCCTGTTTCTGCTATTGTACACTTATTGCTAATGACTTCGATGATCCGTAACGAGCAGGAAGCCGTCTGATGTGTCGTGACGTGTCACTCTGATGTGTGTCTCTCACAGTGGAAAATGAGAATCACTGTGACTTCGTCAAGCTTCGAGAAATGCTGATTAGAGTGAACATGGAGGACCTGCGAGAGCAGACTCACACGCGTCATTATGAGCTCTACCGCCGCTGCAAACTGGAGGAGATGGGCTTTAAAGACACAGACCCTGACAGCAAGCCCTTCAGGTACATTACATTAAATTACATTACATTACAGGTCATTTAGCAGACGCTTTTATCCAAAGCGACTTACATTACACTTTAAACCCATGGCCTTTTCACATTTTTGCCTGGGGAGCAATTAGGGGTTAGGTGTCTTGCTCAGGTACCACTCACATGCAGCTGGACTTTATCTTGTTCTCCACCTACAGGTTTCTACCTCACATTTTATTTTGCATTTTTCTGCATCCATTTATCCTGGAAATTTAAAATTGAGTTTGCTAGAATGTACCAGTTTGTTTCTTCATCCACCCTGTCCTTCCTCCTGTGTCAGTCTTCAGGAGACGTACGAGGCTAAGAGGAACGAGTTCATGGGGGAGCTGCAGAAGAAAGAAGAGGAAATGAGGCAAATGTTCGTCCAAAGAGTCAAAGAGAAGGAGGCCGAGCTCAAAGAGGCAGAGAAAGAGGTCATTAATCTGATCACACACCATCTTGAAACATCATGTGCATCACTTGTTTAAGGAAGTTTCTGCTCTCGTTCACACAAGTATCGTGTCACCAACAGCTGCATGAGAAGTTTGACCGTCTGAAGAAGCTCCACCAGGACGAGAAAAAGAAAGTGGAGGACAAGAAGAAATCCCTGGACGACGAACTCAACATGTTCAAACAGAAAAAGACTGCTGCAGAGCTCTTGCACAACCAAGCCCAGCAGGCAGGGGGCTCCACCACACTCAAGAGGGACAAAGAGAGGAAAAAGTAAGTATTGTTCTTCTCCTCCTTTGTTCCTTTCCTTTGCTTTCCTTTCATCTATCCTTACAACCGGAGGCACAGGACACCACCTCCAGTTGCTTTAAAGAATGGAAAAGGCTGGGTACTATGAAACTGAGAGGGACAAGGCCATGTATTATTACATTGACATTTCAGGATGTTAATCAATTGCCAAAAGTTGTAGACTACGTGGTTTCTTGTGTTCGAAACCATAAAGCATTAGACAATTCAACTAAAATATTCAGCTGTGTCCTGATGAAATCAAACTCCTTTTGCATCGATACCACTCTGTGCCTACGTGCTGCAGGCAGAAATTAATTTTGGTCCGTCCCGCAAAGGTCATCAAAGGCGTAGTGGTTTCTCTGTCACCACTCGTTCATTATCTGCCAGATACCTGTTTAATTTAATGCGTTAAGGAGGCTTTGGCTAACCCAAAGACTTCTTGCAGACTCTCTGATCTTCTGAGAGAGGCCGCTGCTCCATTTTACCCTCCATATAATAGGAGAATATTTTCAGCTGTAAATTCTCCAGTGTGGAAAATTAAGAGGAGCAGAAAAAGGGAGTGACTTCTGACAAGGCCTCGCTGTCATAATAAATAAATAAATTCCTCCGAACCGATTTCTGTAAATAACTTAATTGCAACTCTTGCAACAGAAAGGCAGTTCATCAGCAGTAAGTAGTTTTCGTCACAGTTCCTAATTGTTTCAGTGGAAGCTATTTGACGGTGTTCCTCACACTCTTTTTGGTTTGAATCAACCTCGTCTAATATGAACTTCATTGTCATTATTTGTTTCTTCGGGTATATCTGACATGTATTCTGTTGCTCTTTCACTAATCATGAGCGTGTGGGTTTTCCACTTTGTGTTTCATGCTTACACCCAGTGTTTGAAGCCACATTGGCTTGAGTGTAACTGCAGTGCTGTTGTTGACGTGCTGTTGGTGCCTTCATGTTGGTAATCAACTCCTGGTTTTGTTTTGAAGCTGATGTCACGCCGTGCCTGTTAGAAACGGAAGAAGACACTTGCACTGACAAGGTTCTTGTTGCTTTTTTTTGCTTCCCTGTTAATTTATTTTCTTCACAGACACCTTTTCACCTTTACCAGCTTTGCCTCGAAAGTTATTCTTCCAAAAAATGGGGCCTCCGTGCAGCTTTAGCTTTGTCTGTGGTTCACTGATTTAAACAAAAGACTAAAAAGGTCTTGCACTAAAACTATATAATCTGTGTTAACACTTTATCTTTCAGTATTTTCTTCAGTTTCCGGACAACACGATTATTAATCACGGCTTGTTTGTCGATGTGAATCCATCCCGTGAGTGCATGTGTCACCTATGTTGCATCCTTAATGTTTTCCAGTTAACTCCTCCCACACTTGCTGCATGCTGCATGGGGCATCTTTTCTGGTAAGGTAAAAGCTCAAAATATAATATATATTTCATATAAATAACTACAAGTGAGGTATCAACTTTTAACTCATGACCCATAAATGAACACAGACAAAACTTTAACATATCATTTACGAATAAACACTTACATTTTTTTGCTCCATTAATTGACATCCTGCTGTTGGCCTAAATATAGAACAGGGTGTAACGCACAACGGCCCTTCTGCATATCCACATTAGAATTCCACCACTATCAGATTAACCTTTGAAAGATATTAAATCTATTTAATTAAGATGAATTACCATGCATTTCATTTGCACTTGTAATATGCAGTACAAAGCGGTGAATGAGCATTGTCATTGTGACATAAAAGTGCAGGCTCACAGTGTATCATCGCTAACATCTGTGTCCATCTTATCCATGAGCTGCTGGCCAGTGTTAGCGTCCTCGTGCCAGTTTCTAAATCAACCGGTTTATTAGCTTCCCACCCACCCATTTGATAAACTGGCCCATCTGCCTCCCTAAATCCACAACGGCTTTTTTTGCGGCTCTCCAAAGTCCTTCTCCACCCAACCCTGCAATCGCACACAAAGAGCCATTCAAAGCTGAACTGAGACCAACCGGCCACACCAGAGCAGCGACCTGCCTCAGGGCCCGTCTCTGTTCGCAGCAATGTTCTGTTGATCCCTCAACCATATGACGACTCCCTCTGCTTCTACTCTCTCTTGAGTGAAAACAGCTAAATCCACAGAGATGTTTTTGGACCTGAACCGCTGGGGAGGGTACAAGTGAACAAAGACATCTGTCTCGCAATATGTAGACTCCTCAAGCAGCTCAGGACTGTTAAAATAGACAAAAAGAAGCTGCTGTTTGATCAGGAAGACAATCAAAAACTCTGTACAATCAAAGCTCGGTGGTGGGACAAGACCTATAAAATTAAAACCCTTGTTTTGGATGATTTTGAAAAAATAGGCGACTGTACTTGCATCCTGACCTCTGTGCACTCAAACCTTTATGAGCACGACTTCCCTCTAAATCAAACCTAATGTTGATGTCACCCCCGTGAGACCGTGTGTGTCGTGATGATGTTTCAACTCAAAAGAAAGCAATAACAGCCCTTCTCTCTCATTTCCAGCTTAGGATTCCTGTAGAAAAGTGCTCCCTTGTGGCCATCCTGCTGTGAATGAGTTTCCACCCCATCATCTTCTTACAGTACCCTTTCCCACCCTCACCCCACCCATCCGGATAAATACACCCTCCACATGCAAAGTGCTCTCTGGAGGACGCTGAGCATTCCTAACAGTTTGACAGTTTTTGCTGAATGATGCTTGTATGTTATGTGGTTTATACTTAGTAATGCATTCCATGTTGGTTTTATATTATTGATCAATTGCATGACAAAGTGAGCTTTTTTGAATATTAACATACATGGCCACTGTAGTGATGGTCAGACATGTATCGAGGGTGAAGTGAAACACACATCAGACAGTACAACCTCAGAATCGACAGTATGTGGTAAAAATCTGCAGAAGATTACAGTAAAGAAAGAATTAAGTAAATCGATGATTGACGGGAGGATGGATTAAGTCGTCATTGAGCCAATCTCAGAATGAAGCACAGCAATCACAATAGTGATCCTAAATTTCACTAACAACAAATAACAGTGATTTAGTCATTGCAATTAATAGGCCTCGTAACCTTTGTAACGACCCACGTTGAGCTGCTCCTTTGTCAGAAATGCAACGACTATCTACATTGGCTAAAAAAAAAAGTTTAATTTTTTGCGGACTAATAGTGGTAAAGAATACATTGCGTTAATCCCCCTTTTAAGTGAGGGCAACTGTATTAATGGCGGACCCCTCCACGGACAACGTAGACTAATTACCAGAAATGCAGAAATAATATCAGGACCTAATTTCATGATATCTTACAAAATGTATTTTTCTCCAGTTTATAGACGTTAGACCTACAATATAAATTTCATTTAAGATGTGAATGTTTCGGTATTCGTGTCCTTTTGCTGATGTTTCACTTTATCCAGATGCATGAGTAGTTTTGAGCCTAATCTCCTGCCACTTCTCCCATACCTCATTCATTGCCATGTGTTATTTGCATACTTGTATTAGCTTTTATATTTGCACTTTTTTATACACAAATGTGATATTTTTGAAGTATATAGAAATGTTTTCAGTGCAACTGTAACATTATTTACTTACTATGAAGGCACATTTAAAAGTAATCCATTACTATTTCCCTTGTCCTAAATGGACCAGTGTTTGTATCAGTGTTATATAAAAAAAAATATTAACTCAAAAGAAAATAAAGGCCAGTTTTTCACCAAATGTTACAATTGTGGCCATAATCATTGTGTATTACAAATATTGCCGTAAATTAGGAGATTAGAGGACATTTTAATGAATCCGGGTCGGGACGGTGGGTGTATGCTTAGTTTGCAGGTTGTATCGGTTCGGTTGATTTGTTCTTAAGTCTTGAGACAGTGAAGGAACGTTGATGCCAACAAGCGTCCCTTTTATGGCCTGATTCACTTAATGTTTTTTTTCCACCGCTTCAAAGTCTTTGGTTCAAGACCAGGGAAAAAATACCTCAAGACAATGAGCCATTCCCTCCTCCGAATCTTGCACTCACTGGTCTGTGTGGTTTCGCTTTCCTTTGCAGTAATCCCTGGCTCTGCACTGAGTAGGCCGAACAGCCCTCAAGCTTTGCTAAGGGACCAGAGTTTGTGGGTACTGAGTACATCAAATGACCAGAGGCTTTGCGGACCCCGTTCTTCAGGGTTCCTCAATCACTACCTGCTCTGCTATCATTTTCATTAGTGTGTATCTGTGTTCCACTGCTGCTCTAACTGCTCCCTCAGCGATCCCATCTGTGCTGCTCATTCTCTTCTTTTTTTTGCCTCTGCTTTTGTTCACAGGTGCACTTTTTTTTTTTTGGGCTGTTACTAACACTTTTTTCCACTTGAGCGAGATTATATGCACACTTGTTTATTGTCATGTTTGGATAGTTATTCACTTTTTTCTTTTGTAAATTGGACCACAGGCGCGATGTGATTCATTCAGTGAGCCCAATATATGGGATGATTTAATCCTTACTGTGTTGCTTGAACAACTCTGATCCCAGGGGCGTTTTTTACTAACTCTGTATTTCTGATATTCAAACCTAGATACATTTTCTACCTGAAATCAAGATACAATTCAATATCTCAAGCTTGACCTGTGTGGTGGTGTTGTTGTTTTTTTTGTAAGAATTTCTGCTTTGCCACCTTTCTAACTGCAGGCTTTTTTTCTTTCTTTATCTCTTTAGCTTCTTTTAATCCGTCTTGACCAACTGAAGAGGGGATTGCAGCTTCAGCAAGAACTAAGCACCCTGTACCTCTCCCTGTTTTTCCCGCTGTATCAACCCTTTTCTAATCTCCCTGTTGCATCTCCTTTATTTGATTACGGCCTTATGTGGACTCGCATGGTATTTCTAAACCCACTGGTGAAGCTCTGAACACATGCAGGTCGGGAACCCGGGCACAGTTTAAATCTGCTGTTATGTCTTAATGTATATAAAGAAACGCTTGTAATTAATAGAAATCATCAGTTAGGGTTCACACATTTCCAGGGTTCATCGTTGTTTTAATTACAATCATCTGGACTATGCACTCATCTTTTCAGTAGAAGTTATTACATTCTGCTGAAACATTGAGGCTTGCTGATTCTTAATAATTCAAGAAGAACTTAATGCACCATGTATTACTTGTTATTAACATAACAAGTAATAATTTTGTTTTCTCAAGTCCTGTCCCATATGAAACCTGCGTCCAGGTATTCTGAAATTTAATTAATGCAAAAGTTAGCAATATTGCTTTTTACTAGTTCATGTGATGGTGCCCATGTTTACAAGTCACTCCTGAATACCATCGAGGTCACATTTAATGGCCTTTTATTACACATTGTGCTTTATTATTCACCAGCCTATTCTATATTTTTTTGCATGCATCTTTTTATTTGTTTATTTCTAATGTTTGACCTGCTTGTTTTTATTCCCTAATAATTCAGTTTTGAAATTTCTTTTAACTTTTATTGCTGTTTTCTTCAAATTGTGCATATTATTCATGTATGTTTGCTCTGTCCTCTCATCTCAGCCCCCTTTTTTGCCAAATATTAGTGAGAGTGTGAGTTGAACTGAATCCAGGATAGGAGTATTAAAAAAATACTCATGCATTTGTATAATTTATAAGGATATATTTTGTGTATTGAAGTGGAGACTTGTGGTTTATTGCCTATGACGTTTGGACGTGAATCTGAGTGTAAAGTAACATTTTGGTGTCAGAAAATGCCATACATTTTTCTAGTATCAGTCATCACCTCTTGTAGTCAAAGACTCTCCCACACTACAAATGAATAAATATCTTACTTCAGTTTGATTCCTTTGATGTACATTTTCAATAATAAAAAAAAAATGACCTGAATGTATTAAGCTTTTGCCTTTTATTTACAGTGTTGGACAATAACAGCTACACCAGATCAGGTCTATTCATTTTTAAGATGCCAAGATGAAGACAACTGGTCTCTCTGGACCAAGACAATACTTGTTCATAGAAAATAGATTACAGATGTCAAAATGTGACATCAACCAGTCATAATTAAACAAGGGTACAAAGGGTATTGACAGAACTGTCTGGAATTGGAATTGTCTGGAGGACAATAAACACAACCAGGACATTCATTCACACAAATACAGAACATTAAAGTACCTGGCCAAATTAATTGTCTTAGTCTTCTTATTTATGGAGGAGTAAAACTGTTTATCTGATGGATTTCATGCCATCACATAATAAATACAAGTTTCAAGGTTGGGATTTGTGAATATTGGATTTTCCTAAAAAAAAAAGAAGTTTAGGTAAATAGTATAATGTTTTAATTGTATTGCTATTACAATTAATTTGTCATGGGAGAATTACCTTATTTCACTTTATGTGTTTTCGGCGGAGTGAAGTGACTGCAGCTCCTCGTGCTTGAACTGTCCGGCGGCAAAGCATTGTGGGTCATTGCGGTAACAGACGCCATGATTTTTACTGTAGTTGGACCAGAAAATGGAGGCTCTCCGCCACTTAGCTAGCTAGTTTAACGGCTGTCTGGAGCTCCTTAGCGGGGTTGCGCATCTCTTCATTCCTACCTCGGATATTACACCCAGGGGATAAAAATCGTAAATGATGGTTTCTGAATCTGATGATAAAACTATATGAGCAGCGTCTTGCTGCTTATGGGCTGCTGGGTTAGCAAAAGGCTAGCAGCTAGCAGCTAACTTTTAGCTCACGTTTAGCTCACGACCGGGAGAGCCCATGTTGGCTAGCTAGCTAAAATAAGCTAGCACGGAAATAATAGCCGGTTGGTCGGAGGTATAACGTTACATGCACTGTCTCTTGTTCAGCCAAAGTACAGAGATATAAATGGAACCAAAGCCTACACCCTAAGGTAGGAGAATATGACGCAGCTAACAAGTCGAAAATTGAAATGTTAACTTAAGTGTTTAAGTTATTTTAAACATTGCAGCTTGCGAGAAATGAACTCAGTCGGCCTACTGCGTCATTCTGTCTGGGCCTTGTTTTGGCAAGAAATGCAACGGCATTTCCATCATTTAATATCATAACTTACACCTGATTTCTAGTTTTGATATATATAAATATATAATTGTTTCCAGCAAACGTATCGTTACGTGTTGTTTCCCACCGGATGTTTTCAGCCTTCATCGGCAGCACGGGGTATTCACTACGTCCAGATATTACGTGTGAGTATTTCATTCATATTAAGTCTACCTTGTTTTGCCTCAATAACAGGTATGGCCTGGATTTGATTTGGACCGTGCTGGTGATGGCAGAAGGGTTTGACACTGGCGAAATGCCCTCCTTTGACCCAAGTCCTAGTTCTGATGCAAAAAAGAGACCTACTTCTTCTTCTGATGGCAGTGAGTGTTGATCTGGGTTGCCTGTTTATTTATAAATGTTTCTGTTGTTATGGCAATGCCATGTTTAATCTTACATGTTCATCTGCAAATGTGCTCACATAAAAATATATAATCAGTTTTAACCTATATTATGTCGTTGCAGGAGACGAGCCAATGAGGAAAATGTCAAAATTTGGTTCCAGACCTCGATTCGAGCCTGTACACTTTGTCAGTGGGGGAAGCAGCGGAGGAACTGGCGCTGATGAGAAGGAAAACGATAAGGAGCGCCGGAGGAGTGAGTCGTTTGGTGCAAGACAGTGGGACTCTGAACACTCCTCCTACAGCAGCACCAGCAGAGCGCAGGGCTCCTCCTCCCTGAGGCCTGCTTTCGACAGACAGCCGCCGTACAGTTCTGACTCTTGGGGTTCCCATAGAGACAGAGACCGAGAGGTTTTTCCAGGTACCACGAGTGGGTTGGGATATGGCGGACGTTGGTCCTCTTCAAACTTTATGGTAAAAACAGAGCAGGACTACTCAGCCAAGTATGACGCCCACTCCTCTCGAGGTCCCGATGGCTATGCTCAGTCCCACAGGTACAATGGATACGGGGGAGGGAGAGGATCGGGAGGCTGGGATTCAGGACGTCAGGGTTTAGGATTCAGTCAACAGGACCGACAGTCATCCAGCAGGCCATTCAGCAGAGTCTACAACAGCCCGGGCAGAAGCAGTCCCACCACTTCTCAGTCGGCCTCCTCGTCACAGCCCGTTCCTATATCTCAGTCGACGTTGGATGAGAAGCAGAGGCTGATATCCAATGTAGCGTCAGCATTGGCCGTTGCCTTTAGGGACCCGATGTACATGACCGGAAGTGAATCGCCAAACTATAATTTCATGTTGAGCCGCAGCATTCAGGCCTGCAAGACTAATCCCGAGTATATTTATGTCAACCTGAAGGACATTCCTCAGTCTGACCTACCGAAGAACAGGAAAGTACCAACCGATGGTTACGCCTGTGAATTGAGATGTCAGGGGGTGTTTCTCGCAACCGGATACTCGGGCAGTAAAAATGGAGCTAGGGACCGGGCTTCCGAGCAGGCTGTTAAACTCTTCCTGAAAACAGTGGAGGTGCGTGTGGTGCAGCGCAAATACAGACACTCTGTAGTCAACGACATAGTTGTGTGCCAGATGCACAGCCCAACCCCCGGCTTCTTACCCGCACTCCGAAACCCGGAGGACAAGCCGACACCCAGCTCGAAGGGCCAATACGAGCCTGACAAGCGGAAGCACTGGACGGAGTTCGTGGTCATGGACAATGCTCACGACGCCATCTGCATCCTCAACAACTCTGCGGCTTTCAATCGCATGAAGATAGACTATAAGTTCGAGCTGCTCCCCAAC